GACAGCTGCAGTGGTTGGGACGCACGGTCAAGGTCTGCGAATATAGCGTCTCGAGCCGTCGCCGCCGCATGCTGCCAGCCCGGTCGTCCGATGCCAAGTTCGAGCCCCCCTCGAAACGATAGCTGCTTCGGACTGGCTTCCGAGCAGCGTATAGCAGTGTTGCCCTTGACGGACGCCTTCTGCGCACGAGTAACCTGCTGCCGTGCCAGCGGCCTCCACACCGAGACGCATCGAAGAGCGGCATGACGTTGCTTCTCGGCAGATCCATCCCCAGGCTGGGCTAGCAGCTCCATCAATGCTGCATGTTGCCCCAGCGGGAAGTCCTCTCCTCGACTCGCTTCACGAGAACCTGCCCCTTGCGAACTCTTGTGCCTACAAGCCCGGCCTTCCCACCGTCCGGGCCGGTTAAATTTAACCGATGTGGGCTTTAATCGGCCGGGTCGGTTAAATTTAACCGATTTGGGTTTTAATCGGCCGGGCCGGTTAAATTTAATCGATTTCGACTTTAGTCGGCTGGGCCAGTTAAATTTAACCGATTTCGGCTTTAACCGGGTCGTGCTGCAGTGGTGGTTCCAGACCCTCTTTCGTATCAGGACCGCCCTCCACGTATCGGCGAACCCCCCCCCTCAAGTTACATTAACAAGGGGCCAGCAAGCCGGCGCAAGAGCATCACGCTGGTTGAGCGGTGGTAGCCAACTCTAAACCCAGAAACCGTATCTCCTCAACCCTGAAACCCTGAAGCCAGAATCTCCGAAGACAGAAGCCCTAGCAAGAAACCCTAAACCCACGAGCCCTGAACCCAGAAACCCGTAGTCCAGAAACTCCGTACCCCCTAAGCCCAAACTCTAAAACCTTGAACGCAGAAACCCGATGAAACCCCAACCAAGAAACCGTGAACACAGAAACCCTAGCAACCTTTGAGCCCAGAAGCCGTAAACCCAGAAACCCTGAACCGGCAACCCTAAATCTAGAGACACCAAACCCAAAAACCCTGAACCCAGAAAATTTGTTCCCAAGCCGGAACAGAAACCTTCAAACAAGAATTTCTAAACCCAGCACCTTAAACGGGAAAAGCTGCAATTCTGAACTCGGGAACCCTAAGCCCAGAAACCCTGAGCCAGAATCCCTGAGACCCCATACTCTCAAATCACCGGAATCCAGCTTGAACCCAGAAACTCCAAACCCGGCAAGACATTCCAAGCTATTAGCACGTGAAGCCCGTCAGGTATGCCATAGCGCACGCATCTAAAACAGGGAGGGCCCTGGAACAGCCGCGGTGACTGCGTGATCCCTCCCATTTCCCTGTGAACCCCCCTTGCATCCCGGTGGACCCTACACCCCAAACCCCAAGCCCTGAAGTCAGCACCCTGAAACTCCCTGCCTGATCCCACCGTTTCCCGGTGAAACGTCTTTGCTTTCAGCAGGACCCTGATGTTCCCGCAGCTTGGGATTGTGGAAGCTAAGTTTTCAACATTCTTGAAACATGTTGTTTACAGTCGCGTTCTATTGCTTGTATGTTAGCAAACTGAGAACCTGAACTTGTGGGGTGGAGGAAACATGGCGATTTCGGCCCGAATTTATACCATACAGCATCCATGCAGCACCCAATGATAATGTAACTCGGGGGGGTTCGAAATGTAACTTGAGGGGGGTTGGCCAGACATGTCCCGAATCAAGAGCCGGTATACGGAGCATTGGAAATGTAACATGGGGGGGGGCAGCAGCTAGAAATGTAACCAAGGCGTTCCCCCGCCTCCCCCAGCTAACCCCCCCAGGATCCCCCCAGTGCGCCGGCCATCTCGATGACCTAGTTCGGCCGTGCCCCTGCCCATTTTTTTCCGACACGGCCACGGCTTGCGGTGCTTCGGTGGCACTCGGCGCCTACGATCACATGGCGCGCCAGACCATGCAAGAAGGTTTTCAAAGCACTCGGACCTATGCTGCATGTGCCTAGCGGCCTAAGTGTTAACCGTGGCTCTCTTATTGTGCAGGCCACTCCTTGCACCTGTGTTTTGCCGAGCTCAGCTGCACGCACAAGCTCGAGCGACCGGCTGTGCCGCCACGGCTCGTGCCCCGCTTGCATGTCGGGAGGTGGTCGGGCAGGTTGGGCCACCATGACATGTAACTGTGCCAACTGCGCGCACTGCATAGTGTGCCTGTTCCCGACCGGCTTTCTGGTGGGTTGACCGCATGTTCCCAGCTGCCCGCAATGCTCGTTGGCGAACAGCACCCGCAGGTGCTCCGCTGTGCATCCTGACAGGCCCGCGGCTGCGCCCGGGCATTGCTCCACTGGCGTCGTTGTGTTGTGACACCGCTCTGGGCCCACGGGAATTTGAGCTTCGGGTGGCCGCCGGTTCGGGTCAGGCAAAGCAGCGAGCGTCTCCTGGCTTGTGGGCACACGTGGCATGGCCGTAAGCGCCAGTGCCGTGGCGGCTGGAGCCGCAGCATGGAGGTCGACGTCTTCGGCCTTTACCCGGCTTGCTCTTTTGTCCTTGACACCCGTGACCACCTCCCTCGGCGCCGGTGTCGCTAATTACGGCTGTGCGGCTGTGCCTAGGCGGAGCAGTTCGGGCCAGTGCTTCGCAAGAAACGCTTGTTCGCGGCGCCCCTCCGCCAGTATGCGAGATTTGCTGGGGGGCGGACCGCGACGCAACGGCAGCATGCTGCTGTTTCGAAGCATAGCCATAAATAAGTCGCTTCATATATCCACCATGGTGAATGCGGCCACCCTGGTAACGACCCCCAGCCGGGGTCAGACGTGTTGATGGCGCTGTGTAACGCAAGGCCAACGCACCACCGCTGTCGCTTGGTGGTCGTTGGGGTTGAAGCTCCGCGCCCTTTACGATCGGCTCGCCGACGCGCTTTGGAACCGTGCGCGGATTCGCTTGCACGAGGGCAACCAGGATTTGGAACGCCGCTGGCGAGGAGCCACCACACATGGCCGACCTCGCCGTCGGAGGTGATGAGCTTATCTGGGTTGGCAACTGGTGCGCCCCCCGGGCTTGCCAAGGACTCAACATGCTAGGCTCCCCCTTTGGCCACGAAGGCTTCGTCACGCGCCAGCTGCAGCGCAAGCACGAAGAGCAGGACCGGCTTGTGCAACGCAGCACCTCGCCGGACGACCTGCGGGCCTCATGCATGCATGGCTCCTCCACCATTGCTGCGCAGCGCCGCGCGCGAACTATTTGCTGCGCTTGCCGCCGCATTTCACCGAGGCCTACGCAGCAGCGCATGATGCCTCCATCGCTCGCTGCCTCGCTGCACTGTTCGGGCAAGGTGAGGCGCCCTTGCCACCCACCGGCCTCTGTGCCACCCAGCTGCCCCAGCGTTTTGGCCCAGCCCCGCACCTTTGGGCCTCGTGGCAAGACACGCTGCCTGCGACGCCTGCGCATGCCCCTGCCGCTCGCGCCGTGCAAATGTGCCTGCCACGGGCACCTCGACGAGTTGGGCGATCATCGTGCCGCGTGCGCCACCTCCGGGGTGCTGTCGACGTGCGCGCTGCCCCTGGAGCACGCAGTCGTGCGCGTTTGCCGGGAGGCAGGCGCACCGCCCGCAACGTTCGGTTGGCAGAGATAAACCTCGACGTGCTAGTTGCTGACGAACGGCGAATCGAGGTGGTTGCCAATGGCCTCCCACTGTGTGGCAGGGTCGCAGCTTGCCATTGATGCCACGGTCGCGTCCCCCTTGACGCGGCGAGGCGAGGCCCACCCCCCGCGCTGACACTGTGCCCGGCAGCGCAGTCGCCGCCGCCAGACACAAGCGCCACGGCACCTGCCAAGAGCTCGGCCACGCCCGGAGGTGCCGCCCCGTCGTTTTCGGCACTGAAGTTGGCGGCAGGTTCGGCACCGAGTGCAGTTCCTGCGCCTTTTGGCGCAGCATCGGGCCGCTGCCGTTCCCAGACCGCTGCGCCCTGCCGCTATCACGGCCTGGGTCGTGCGATGGTTGGGCCATACTAGCTGTCCCCGCGCAGCGCGCTTTCGCAGCCTCCCTGCTCGAGTTGCCCCCTGCCGCCGACTTCGGGGACGGACCGGGACCAGAGCTGCATGAACTCCTCTCGGAGGCGCGCTAAGCGGCCGCCCGCGGCCTCACCAGCCACATGGCACGTAGCTTGCAGGTTGCTCGGGGACCCGTCGCACCCCGCAGTCGCAAAAAGTTGCGGGGGAAAACAACAAATGCTGTACTGCTTGCTGAATAGCTTGGCGGTTTTGAATCTCGAGGTACGCGGGCTTTGACATCCAACAGTGACCAGCCGCCGTGACGGCCACCAGAGTCTAGAGTCTAGGGCTCATGTTCATGATTTTTCAATGCAGCCGGAAGAAGGAGTGGTAGAAAAAAAGGCAACTGTGGCCAGGCAGCTGGACAAGTCCGTCGAGCATGCGCTACCGATGGACGGGCTTTCTTGCTGTCGCAGCGCAGCGCGCGCTGCTTTACTTGTTGATCGAGCCGCTGTTGGAGCGGGACACGGTGCCACCTCTGGGGTGATCCGTTGCTATAGTGGTAGGCTCCACTAGGACCCGCAAGCAAGCAGAAACAGGTGTGTGGGGTAAAAAGATGGGCGCGTCGGCAAAGCGCCACTTTTGGGCGATTTGCTGGAAGATGCTCGTGATGCGCAGCCGTCGCCCTGCCGCTTGATATTCGCACTTAAGCTGCTTAGAGGTAGCACGCACAGACTAGCTGTTGTAAAAAGCAAGAATGGCATGTTGCGACGATCGAAATTGACGGAGCTCCAGTGTCCCCCCGCTTGCAATCGCAAGCTCGCATGCGTTGAAACTTATTGCTCGTGCAGTGGTGAACCAAATCTCCATGCTTGTGGCAATGGTTCAGAGCGCGCGCACTGTTATCAGTTGTCAATGAATAGCTCCGAAGAGTGAGTCGGCGCCATTGACTCAGCAGCCGCAATACACCCATGTAGTTCGATGACTGATACTTACAGAAAGTTTTTTTGGCGACGCGACGCTGTTTAATGTTTTCCGTGGCCATCGTCGCCGTCTTGCGGCGTCATGACCAAGGCCAATGCATGCAGTTGCATGGTTGTTGCACATTGGGACTACTGAGATGCGTGTAGGTTGTCAGCGCAATGCCGAGTTCATCCAGTGCAGCAGGCTTCCAGCTTCTGTTCGAATCTGCTCGTGTGGTTCAAGGGTTTCAATGTGCCGAGGTGATCCACAGCATCTGGTCTGGGGGAGACCAGAGCTCGACAGCTTCAGCTCCAGTTCGGCCGGGTGCTTTTCGGGGAACCAACGCAGAGAGATTTCCATCGTAGGGGGAAGGCGAAGGGTTGTTCCAAAAGTGGCCGAGGGAGACGAGACCTTCAGCCTTTACGAAGGCACGGAGGGCGACAGGCCAGCTGCAAGTTTTGGTTGGTTTACGCTTCGGGGGTGCTGTCCGTCTCGCATTGTTGCTTTGGTTTCTCCTCGCGTTTTGCTTTGTCCTGGCACCTTCTCGCGCTCTGATGGGTGGTGCACGTCTCCATCGCTTCTGGAAGCAACCCTGTTTCCTCATGGCCAGGATTCAACCACAGCGAGTCCGGCAGCCAGTGTGCAGTGTGTTGTTGCTTTCAATCTGGGACATGTGAAATGGAAAATTCCTACATATCGCGATTTTCGGACCCTCGCATGTCTAAGGTGCACTCAGATCACTCCAGATTCATGGTGAATGGACGTGCGTTTGAATAATTTCGCTTAGACCCGGCCAAAGGCCCATGCCATGATCTTCATCGGACCCTCTTTCGGCATGGAGCAGCGGTTTTACAGCTCACTGTACCTCCCTGCATACACCCCGGCCGCATCATGACGAGTGCCAGAGGTGCAAGTGGGGGTGTGAGCTGCGTTTTGATCCAGAGATTTTTTGGGGTGTGTTCAATTTGAGTCGCCACGTACCACGGCACGACCTCCAAGCTGGCACAGTCTTTCTTTGAGCACAGCTATGACAGCTAGGAGTCAAAGTGGCGCGGGCTGAAGCAAACAACAAAGTCAAAAGACAAAAGGGGTAGGGCCGGGTAGGGGTCACTAGAGCGCATTCAACCAGAAGACGACAACGTCATGTAACAGGACCAACTAGTTAAACGACTGTTTCTCGTCGTGTCGTGGCATATTTTCAACATGTCCACATCGCGGTCGAAGCGTGAAACCAGTGGTGAACGATTTCGGTGCCAGGCAACATTTAACTTCTGGGAGAACTCTGAGGCCGAAGCTTCGAGCGGGGCGCACCAGCTGTTGCACGACTGTGACACATCCAATCCTTCTAGCTCAGTGCCTCGCCTGCATGTGAGACGGGTCGAGTTCAGAGTGTGGGTTGATCCTATTTTTGTGCGGCATCATCCGGTTTAGCGGGTGGTTGAAACCTTCAGTCGCTCTCCAACATCTGCGGTTGCCGAGACCAGCCAAACCGAAAGCTCGGAGAGCCAACACAACGACGGCAAGAAGGCCTGCCGAAGCAAGTGCAAGATTTCGAAAGCAAGTTTCACAGTCACGCCCTGATGCCTTCTTGAATGGAGGCTGGGCGCATGGTGGCTTGGGGCAAGGCCTGTTGCAAATCAGCGCCTCGCAGCCGTGAGTACATGTTGTCTTCTCTCTCTGGTCCAGGATCATGTGAAGAAGTTCTATGCGGAACTCAAAGCAGTGGCGAAGCACACTTCCCCCACCAATAGGAGCTCCTTGCGAACGTGCAAAGCTGTCAATCTAGCTGCTCATGTACGAAGAGACGTGCATTCAGTTGTCGGGTGGTTGTCACGCGCCTCAGACGTGTGTGCACCATGCCGATGCTTGCATCTTTCGACAATCGCCTGGAGCAGGGGCTCGCAAGGAGGCGTGAAGGGGCTTGCTGCAGCGGATTCGGAGCATGACGCTCGAAGAATCTGAGTTGGCAGCAGGGGCTTGCTTGCTGCCGTCTCGCAAGACGGTTGTGCGTGGCTGTGCTAGCAAGACGGAACGATTCACCCAGAACCTTGCGGGCCGGCTGCTTGTGTTTTTCAGCCAGACTGCCTTCTCGACAGACTGCTCCTTGCTGCCCGAAACGTAGTGATTGAATCGAGCATTTGGACTGCAACCCCGGCGGTGATGGCTCGAGGACCGCTTGGGACGCCACTGCGAAGAAAGTGGCAGAGCTGGCCCAGTTGCTCGAGAGCAAGGCAGGACGTGCCCTTGGGCCACGTCGGAGCGGAGCACGCCGCCACACGAGGACCAGCTACTAGAATCCGAAGCCGACGAGGAAGATGAGGCCGACGATTCAGAGGCCGAGAACCTTGGCGAAGGCACGTGTGCCACGTGTGCCTGAGAGTTTTTCATGTAACACTACCACTCGAGCTGTGATGTACGCACTGTTGTGAACGCCTCGGAAGGCATGTGGTCAGTCGGGTCTGAGCACCATGCCACAGGGCAATGCAGGCTCGGCACGGGGGCACGGGGCCACCGCTCGTTCAATTCCTGACTTCCACTTGTGTCTTGCGGCATCTTGCAGCCTTGCACGCAGGCCCTGCCATTATGTTTGCACCTCAGACGACTGAACGTCTTGCCTTCCGTGAGATCAGCGCTCCGGCTCAGGTCTTTGCGAAAAGTGGCTGTACAAACGGCGCAGCGCAGCTCCCCAAGTGTTGCAGTGGCGTCGTTCGGCATGCCAGGCTAGGATTCAACCGCTCTCGCTCCCTCCCTCTCCTAGCGTTTCGCGGTGCATTCCGAAGCTCTCTGCAAATCCCTAAAGTAGCAGCTTCGCAAACGATCCGCGCGAACCCGCCGCCGTCCACCCTAAAGATGCCACACCTTTGTGTCGCCAAGGTGTACGTTCTGCCATTTCCAACATCCGAAACGGTTCCGGCCAAGACCTTGCAGGTCCGAATCCTGGATTCTACATTCCGCACTTCACCTGATAGCCCTGGAACCCTAACGTCCTTAAAGCCCACATCGAAAGCTTTCACACGGCAGAATGTCAGCAGCCCAGGAGGTTCAGATAAACAGGCTGAGGCTTTTCTGGTCCCTGCCTGAGGTCCAAGCGATACAAATGCAAACGCCTGGCATCGGTTTTGGACAAGGTCAGTCGCTTCACAGTGTGTGTTTCTCTCTGTGTGTGTGTGCCTCTAACCGAATAATAGCGCAAGAACCAGTTCAGTTCTCTGTATTCAGCCGCGAGGTGTTTGACAACGACCCTGATTCTTTTCAAAGTCTGGTGGAAGAGCTTAGCTCCCAAGGCAGGTGCCATGGCAGTTCTCTGCAATCAGCACTCATCCAGGAAAGGTGCCGAACATGAACCTATGGTCCTGTCTACAGGTGGCTACCTGAACACGGTTGTCAAGAGCAAGGTAAGAAGCCTGCAACAGCGCTCTCAGGCCGGTTCTCAGGCCTTGACCTTGCTGCTTCTTGCCTCTCACCCTCGCCAGGGTCCACAACCGCTGAGCCCAGCACGTCGAGCTCTGAAACCAGGTCTGGTGTCTCTTTGATCTCTTTGAATGAAGTTGCTTTTGTGTAGTAGAGTCCTCGAACGCTGGACTTAGGAACTACGGTCATCCCCCAGTAGCTGATACGAATTTCCCGGAACACATGTGCACGCGGAGAGAGATAGATGTATATGTGCGTGTCTATATTTCTATCTATATATCTACTTATCCTTGTAATACTCGCCGCTGCTGGCAGCGGATGGTTCTACTTTGGGATGACCGCAGCTATTGAAGCTCACTTTCTCCCACGGCCGCCTCCCCTTTCCGGCCTTTCGAAGGCTATCGCTGGTTGACAGATCCTGAAACGATCGTTTTGCCAGCCAGCCTTCGGCTTCATTCGGCCTCATGAATTCCCTTGCTGGTTGCAGTGCTGGTCCAAAAGACAGCAAAGTGGCAGTACTTTCCGGCAGGGCCGTATTGGTCTTGCTGCGGGGCTCCACAGCAGAGTGCTGCAGCTGGAGCAGGTCTGCCTTAGGCATCTGCAGGAGTTCAGTGACGCAAGACCCGTGTGGCAGTGGCTTAAAGGAAAGCAAGTGACGAAGGGGCTCTCTCGATCTAGGCTGTGTAGGGCTGTTTGAAAGCATCCCTCGTTCGTCGCCGCGGATGGCAGCTAAATCTCGGCCTACAGGGAAGAACGGAAGGTTCGGTGTTTGGCGCTTTAGATTTCAGCTAACATCTGAACCCTCGACCTTCACAGGAGTTTCAGAGTTTACGGGGTATAACGGTATAAAGGGTTACCCCATTTAAATGAATTTAGTGGTCCTCATGGTCGCCAACTCGTGAGTGCGGAATGGGTGTTTCGGAAAGAAAGCCTGCATATGGAGACCTGAAGGATGAAGTTTGGAGGAGCTGTGGACTCGTTGTCTTCGAGCGCTTTGCAGCGCAGCAGTTTGAGCGAAGAGGGCAGGAGGAACGGTCAAGATGCGTCGAGAAGTTGCGTAAGCAAGGTGCCAGCAGGATTGCAGGAATCAGCAGCGATCGTAAGTGACCGATGGCGATTGGCTGCAGCGAGTAGATGTGTACTGTAATCATACCAACTGAAATATACCTCGATTCAATATAACAAATCAACCAATCACTGTCACAAGATGTTGAACCAGTGCCCGACATGATACCGCATGCATTGGCATTGAGCTGAGAGGAGTAATTATTGACGCAGCTTCAGCCAAGATGCTGTCAGTAACTCTGATTGCACACCTTCCTCCGAATGCCCAGAGGGTGGGCACACGTTTCCTTGGACAATGTTGGGCCCAGGCCCTTGCCATGTCTGCGGAAGCCCTGCTGCTGCACGCTGCTCCCGATGCAAAGATGTGGCGTACTGTACTCCGGACCAGCTATAGACTATAGTAGGCCCCTATAGGCCCCTATAGGCAGCAGGTAGGACCTGGGACCTGGCAGCGGAATAGGTCGGGAACCCCGAGAGTTGTTTCGCAAAGCAGCTGCGAGGACTGCCAACGCACAGATTGGCCGAAACACAGGGATGCGTACCGAGAGGCTGCATCAAACTGTGTCCACTCCAGTCGACCCGTTCCACATGTACACGCACAGGCGCCGGCCGCGATGTCGAAGCAAGAGCCAGGCCAACTTGGAAATGGCTCAGTGTGGCCCCCGGGCAGCGGCATGCAGTTTGAACTTTTGCCGGTGCGTTTCATTGAGTACATCTGACACAACACCATGGCAGATGTGCAGCTGAAGGTCATGCCCACGCAGAAGGAAATCGAATGGGATGCCGTTCGAGCGATGCTGGGGCAGGAGTCGGGCTGCGTCGCTTTCTAAAAGAGCCGTGCTGATGCCTGCAGCAGGAGCCCCGGCCTGGTACCAGTATCAGCAATGCCTGCGGCTTAGACTTTGACTTTGGTGCAGCCCCAGCAGTCGCTGTATTTTGGGGAGGCTGACAGAGCTGCTGGCCCTTCTGTGCCTTCGGCATCCCGCGGCACGGCAGCAAAGCCTCGGAGTGAGCGTGGCGCTTGCAGACCGCAGAAGACCAGAGGTTGGAGCACCCCGGCGACCAAACCCACACGACCAGCACCCTGCGATGTTCGAGACTTAGTTCGCTTTCTGTTTCCTCGCAGTCCTAGCACACTTGCAAGGGATGGCCTTCGGACACAGTTCCCAGGTGCAGCTTGTTGGGCACCGAAGCGTTGAGACGGCCCAAGTCGTCGTCAACAAGCTCAAGGACAAGGGTCATCCATGGTACGAGAATGTTTTTTCCGAAATGTTAATGTGCATTGCAGGCGCTGCCATGTTTCAAGTTGCCTTCCGAGGAACGCGGCGTCTGCATCATTAAAGCCGGGGCAGATAGGTGGGCAGGGTGTTGTGCAGTGGTACTTTCTTCTCTTCCACCGCTGTTGGCAGCGAGCATTCAGCTTGCCAGTTCCAAAGTGTCATAGCACATCAATCGTAGAGAACTGTTTTACATTTAAAAACTTTAAAGCATAGCTTTTAAGTTAACATTTTAAACATAGCTTTCATGTCCGCACAAACCCGATGCCATAGCTCCAACCGGACATTACGACAGCAGCTAGACCTTTCCAGGCCGAAGAGTTCTGCAAAACAGGTAGAGTCGCATAGTGCCATGGTGCTTTTCGGTTCTCCGTGGTGGCTCTGGGTCGCCGTCCGAATCTTAGCTCGCGATTTTCTAGCTTACTGGTAGGTCGAATACAAGTGCAGAGGTGCAAGATCACGCGAGACGGCCCTGTGCAGCAAAAGTCGTCAATAGATGCGACTGGGACCTATCACCTTTATGACACTTCTCAGGCCTTGCTTGCGTGTCCGGGCTGCGCACAATGGCGAGATGTGCCAGGCAGTGACCGACACATGAGCTGGCACCTGGCAGTGCGCAGCGTGCGCCAACCTGTCCGAGATCTTGCAACCTCGGCAGGCTGCTTCCTGCAAGATGCGAGGTTGGACTTCTTCTGCATGCTGAGTTCTTTTTCGTGACTTCGCTGGAGCTGCGAGTCAGGTATCTGTTAACCCATTTGGACCATGTCACAAACCCCATCCAGGCCGTCCTAGTCTGATCGAACATGTTCGACACCAGCATCACAGCTGATCTTGCGATGCAGTGCCTGGTGCACCTGTCAGGCAGTGCTGGACCGTTTGGAGTGCCAGTTGCTTTGCAAGCAGACTGCAGGTCAGGGGGCGACATGATGTGATAGCATCCCATGTTCCAGCCGAAGTGTTCACTAGGCTGCGGTGACTTTGTGTACTTTGCAGCCTCGAAGGCCGCGCCCGAAATGTGTTGTTAAGTCTCCCAAGCTTTGATCGAAGACTCCACTAAGTTCTGCTACCTTGGGCGCAATCACAGCGGCGTCGTCGGCACGCAGGGTGCAGTGCCTGCATCTCAGCAGGTGACATTTGCAGCGCAGCGCTGGTTGGGCCGGACTGCAGATTAGCGCTCCTCTGTTCAATGCTGCATAGCACAGGTCTGGGCCATCCGCCTGCGCAGAGGCGCTGATTTACTTCAAACTAGAAGACCCAAGCTGCTCGCGCATTCGTTGCAGCTGCTGCTTATCGTCCAAGTAGGTGGCCCAAGATGTCAGGACAAGCCATCTGCGTGTGAAGACCTTCCAACAAAGCAGCCATCTCTTCAGCTTGGCAAGTGCTCACGCGACATGTGTGGCATGGGCGCTGCAGATTCAAGCTTGTTGCTTTAGATCTCCGAGGTTCCCAGCGGAAACAACTGAAGAGACTCAGAGGCCAGCAGCTCAAATTCCAAACTACGCAGCGCTCTGCTGTTTGGTGTCGGCTGTTCTACTCGGACAGGGCGTGGCCAATGGGATTTACGCCGACAAACCTTCAGTCACAACCTGAGTTTTGTGTACTTCTTTGGCGGCTCTTCACGCCCATGCTTAGGTGCTGGCCCACCAACATGTACTGGCAGCCTGCCTTCTGCAGGTGCTGCAGCGTGCAAAAGGGCAGGTGGCAACGGCTGGCACAGCGTGTTGCGCAGATCAATTCCGCCCACCTCGATTGAAAACACATCGACTGCGGGGCCAGGGGCCTGGAGGGCACGTTGAGTTCCCAACAGCTTACGATGTGCCGAAGCTCCAGTCGGAACGCAGCACGAAGCGGAAGATGAACGAAGGCAGGCAGCCAAAATGCGGTACAGACAGACGCCCTAGCGATAGTTAGCAGCAGCGATAGCTGATCCCAACAATGATTTCTGTCGGTAAATAGCACCTGCCGCATCCAAGCCGAGTCTAGGTGTTGTCCTCGCACAAATCTCTCCCCTACGCCGCACTCACACCGCAGAAGCTGCTGTTGCATGAGCATGTTCAGCTCCAGCGACCCCAGAGGTTTCGGAGGCAGAAGACACAGAATGGCTAGCGGCTATCGGGTTAGGTCGAGGTCGATCACAATGAGGTGCCTTGCTGCAGATGTGCGAAATCAAGTGGAGAAGCTGTTGAGTGCCAGTGCTTAATTTAATGCTTCATGCGAGCTGCAATTTATGCCGTTCCAAAGTCTCAAGTCGAACTTGCTTCACCTCAGCACTTCATCAATTGGAAGTGGAGATAAGGACCCGACTGCATTGTGGAGGTGGTAAGTTGCCGATTTCAGGGCGTGTCGCCTGCGAAAGCTATATTTCAACTTGCCGGCCAAGGCATTGTCAGGATTTGCAAAAGGTGCACATCCCCGCCGAAAGGTTCATGCCCAAGCTACAGCTGCTGCGATTGACTAGTCTTTAGACACAACTCGGTCTCATCGCGAGTTTGAGGTCATGTGCAGCAAGCTGTGCCGGGAACGTGCTATGTGGCCACCTCGGTAATCCATCTGGCTGCAGCACGACTTATGAAAGCGAGGGTGGAAGGCTGGTTACACTGCGGTTTGTCAGGTTCTGCATGGCAAGTGCGGAAAAGTGAGGCGAAGCTCAGCTGTCTTGAAATCTTGCTATCAAACCGGAGGTGCGGGTTTGCAGTTCTCTGCCGAATTGTCGATGTCTGTTCCAGTGGCTCAAGTCTAAGTGTTTCGTCAGTAACTACTGCAGCATCTCTTCATATCAGAGGCCATGCTGCGTGTGGGGTGGCTCAGCTTCTTATGCTCTGCCTACAATCAGGTTACTGCGACGACACAGACAGTTGGGCTACGAGGTGCCAAAGACACAGCACCACGTGGATTGGAGGATGTTCCGAGTTGCAGCGAAAAGCCAAATTTCCAGCTGGCCATGAATGCATGGTGTGGTCATCAGACTGAGCCTTTCGCGTGCTCGAAGGAGCGCAACAACGACAATCCCATATGGGACTGTCACCAGAGCACAGCTGCGCATTGCACTTCCGGCGCCAGCCTTTGTGCCTGGCCCGGGCAAGTTGCGCCCGCTCCGGTGCCGGCCGAGTCGAGCGGCTCGCCACCTCCGGGCATTGGAAACGCAACACGTTTCGTGACGTGGAACCTCTACGTCTTCACGCTGGCCGGTCGCATTTATCCGGTTGTGGACGAACTGTTGAGGATGCAGCCAGAGATCGCTGCCATACCAGAGATGTGGAGCGAGAAGTTTGCCATCCTGGATCGCCTCAACCAAGTCTCCGGCAACGTGTGGGCCTTTGCACCTGGTGGTGCTACAGAGCAATACAACGATGCGGACATCCTGTATCGTTCTGACAAGTGGGAGCACTTAGCGAGCGATCTCGTTCCATTTTCGGCGGGTCGAGCTATCAACTGGGCAGTTTTGCGCCGGAAGTCCGACAACTACACCCTCATCGCATCAGGCACTCATCCACTGTGCTGCCTGGGAGATTTTGTCATCCTGGAGGCAGTGCAGTTTGTGACTAACGTCCTGCACCAGGTGCAGCAGACGCACCCGTACCCCATCGTCCTCATGGGAGACCTAAACACGGGGTACTTTCAACCGTCGCAGCAACTGCTCAGACAGGGTCAGGCGGATGGCTTCGGCAGGCACTGGACAGTCCCACTAACTTTCACGGATGCATGGGCAGAGCTCCATCCCGGCAACCCTGATCCATCAACGATCAATGATGATCCAGTCCGCCTCGACTACGTTTACTTTCAGAAGACTCCGCTCTCAATGGGCGCTGCAGTGTCAGCATCGCAGGTTTGGCCGCGGGCTGCGGGCAGCGACCATCGTGCGGTCTCAGGAGATGTCGTTCTCCGCTAGTGTGTGGCACTAGGGTACATGGTGTCCAGTGCTCCTGGCAGTGCTACAGTACAGGGTGTTGCCTGCTGGGGTGTGTGGGAGGCTGTTATGTGCGGTGACGGCTCATTTTTGACCAGCTGATCCACATTAACATTATATGCCAATTCGGTAGTGAATTAGACACTCAATTCAGCATTTTGGTCGTGCTTGCCTGCGGCAGCATGAGAGGGTTTTCCTAGTGTGCTCAAGACGAGCTGCGCTGAGATTGTTGGGTGCTCACTTCCACCTTCACTTCGTGTCCAGATGAATCATGAAGGCCCGGGCGCTTTTGCGCTGTGCCACCTGACAACAGGTGTTTTCGTGCCCGCGGCTGTGATCTGGTGACCTGGACCCCGAACTGTACAGAACATGGGCCTTTGCAAGGAACGGAAAGGTGTTCAGCATAGTGGGCAACAACACGCATGAAGCCTTCGGCATGCCTAAGCGCTCACATGACTTGGCAAGGCTTCGCTGGAAGAATGCTTCCAAGGACAGGAGACCCAGTGTGGTGAAATAGCTACTTGTTCCCCGTGCTCCAGTAGATGTACCAGGTGTTGGGAAAGACTGCTTCGGATCCGCACCTGAAGCAAGCATTGTTGATGCTGGAAGATTTCAGCATGGCGTCTACCGCGTGACCTCCAAGCTTGCGAAGTCGTATATACTTGGTGCAGAGAGCATTGGACCCATTCGAGTTCATGCTAGGTACTTGCCGACTTGACGGGGGTTGAGCTGCAAGGTGGGCAGACGAGGGCAGCACTCAGTAGGTTTCCGGTCCAAGATTCGCAGCCAGGTTTGAGCCTGATGTTTGGAACAGCGAGCGTCCCCGTTGTCAGCCAAGATCAGGTCGTGGAAGAGTCTTGTTCTGCTCTCTTCTCTGAGTTCGTGAGCGCTTGGAGGCGGTACGTCGCTGCGCGAATCTCTGTCTGTCAATCCTGGCATGTCAGGCGGGGCATGCTCGGCAGCCGAAGTCTTTGTAATGATTTTTTGACTCCTGAGGCTTGGCAGTACTCCACCTCGCAAGGGTGCTACATCCAAGATCCTTCTCAGGAGATGCCATACCCCCCTGTCATCAGGAAAGGCACAGAGCTTGCCAAGACGGCTGTGGCGGGACAGTACATCCAGCGCGTCTGCCCGGGCGAAATGAGTCACCTCCGAGGAGACCAGCCTAAGCCAAGGCATCCCGAAGCCGAGGCGCCCAAGGTGGTAGTCGTTGATGCTGCTGATGCTGCTACTCCTCAGATGCAGAGTCCCGAGGGAGAAGTCGAAGATGCCGTGATACGGACAGTTCAGGCCACCACGCAGAGGACACATGCAGAAACGACAGCAGTCCCAGCCAGCATGAATGCGTTCACTACATCGGCCTCACCTGTGGTGCCAATTTCTGCCATTCTTCCAGTGAACTCGACACCTGGTATTCCCTTATCACGAACCGGGGTGGCCGAAGCAAACCCAACAGCTCCGCCAATCCCGGTGATCACAGCACCTCCGTCACCGGTGTCAACAGCACCGGTTGTTGCAGCGCCAGCCGTGGTTTCAACAGCGCCGACTGCCCCATCACCCACTGCACAGCCGGTTGCCGCATTGCCTGCTGCACCCACTGGTGAGCCTGTTCTGGTTGTTGCCAAGAACGGACGCTCCGAAGCACGCTACAGAGAGAGCGGGCTAAGCGGGCAAGGCAACATGCTAGTATCACAGCCCGTGCACCAGAGTCTCGAGCATCATGCCGAGTGGCCCTTTGTTATTTTTGGCATTTTGGGTCTGATTCTGGTCTGCGCTGGTGCACATGCCCTTCGTGTCTACGGCAACAAGAAGGCCAATTACTATTGCCTCGACCCAGAGGAGTCTGACGATTCTTTGCTTCACGGCTGAGCGATGAAAGACTGCAGTACTCATCGCATCTCAGAGCATTGCGGCATTCCGGCATTGCAGATGTAGTGCGCGAGCGCAGGTCATTCCAAAGAGCCGTTCACATGGAGGCGAAGCAACTCTGGGAGCCTCGGCCGCATCTGAGGGCAACTCGGCAAGCCAAGGGATGTTCTGCCACTTTCTCCCGTACCCGGTCAGGATGCCGGGGCCTACACCAGTGCGAGCAAAGGGAGTCCATCCACAAAAGGCCAGCATGCTTCCGCAATGCTCAAGGTGAGCCTCAAGAAAGGGTGGTGATTGAGAGAGGGTGACCTTGAAGGGTGTGTAGAATGGACTACGTTTGGTGCCTGCCAGTTCAATGTCTCTGAGTGGCATGGTGGTGCAAGGGGGACCCGGTATCGAGAGCTCCATTTCACAACGACAGCACGACCCTGACATAGAATCCGCCCTGTGCAGCTCACGAAGGCATACGCCATGTGAGTGAGATGCCTCGCTGTGTTTAGGGATAATTATACGAAGCAGCTCAGAGCTAACGCATTCTCGATGTCAACTGGCTTGGCAGCCTGTTTTGGTCATGCGTGGCTTTCGACGTGAAACTAAGATGCACCAGGTGGCAGTGAGATCCAGTTCAACGCGAGAGATGACAAGGCCGGGCGGAAAGACTCTTCGTCAGCAACCATTTACACTTTTCATTCGTTCAAGTTGCTTCAGTGGAGCTGGCTTGGCTCGCAGCTTGGAGTTGCCTTCCAAGCCTGCATCAGAGGGGCAGCCATCGCACTGACGCGTGCTTCTTGCTGCATGCTGTGTGCTTGTTGTCATCATCCCAAGACAGAATGTCTGCTCGTGGTGCCTTGCTGGCTAGACGGCGCCCAAACGCGGCAAAACGCATCGTTATCCGCAGCTGCAACACCGCATCCTCGAAGCCACACCGCAGTGCCAAAGTCGGTGTCACTTCCACGCACATATGTAGACCAGATGTCGACGGATCAGCTGCATCTGCCGCCGATCATTATCCTCACAGCCTTTGGAGACTGTACTGATTCCAGTCTTCCAAACGGAAGTGGCAGCGTAGTGCAGATGAAGCTCGACTCTCACAGTTTATAGAGAGGGCTTTGGGCTGGGGCCCTGGCGGCAATCACTACCGGGTTGCGCTGAGCTTGGCGGAGTGACTTCCAGCACCTCACGGGCGATGTCGTGTCGTGGTGTCACCTCTGCGAGCAGCCATTGCGAACCCGGCCACCTCGCGTAGTATGGGCCCCAACGAGATCCGCAGCCTGAGCGACCAGCGAATGCAATTGAGGGTTGCTGGATGCTCCCTGCCTCCGCCAACCCTGGCAGCAAAAACTCAGGAATGCTCAGACCCCCAGTTGTGATTCACCACGGCACGCGACCTTTCCACAAGCAGCTGGGAAGCTGATGCGGGAAAGATTTATCGAAGCAGTTATCGAAGCGTAAAAGGCTGCAACTTGACCAGGCCACCATGAAGGGGATGCTTTCAGTTGACCCAAGGAGCCCCTAGTCTAAGAGGATTGCCATCGAAAGGTCATTTGTCTCAGCAGTGCCGTCATGGATGCGCTCGGCAAGAAAGCGCAAGCCTTGAAGGCAACGTTTTGCTTTTGGAGCTGAGCCTATGGGGGCTTCAAGTTTCTGCAGTCGTGCCCACTTCCGGGCTCTGATCAGGTGTTAGACACGCAGCTAGGGGACTTCGGCTGGGGTGTACACAAGCTGCTGGAGGAGCCGGCGTTGCATTCGTCCTGTCCTGCGTCCTTGCAAGCTTTGACAGGAGCAGCTGGGCTTGACTCTAACAAAGCGCACCCCGGGCATGCTCTCGTGCCTTCTGCTACATCAGCCTTACCTATTTCGATGGAGCTTGTGTTGCCGTTCCGTACGAGTGCACCTGCAAAAAAGCTGTCAAGCAGAACCAGGTGCTATGACGGTAAGACCGTTCCCGACGCTCAGTATGGTTTCCATGTCGACAACCCATATTTGTGCTGTGGCTGCATGTGGAAGTAGAAAACGAGTGGAGATGGGAGTGGAGGTGGTGCAGTTGTTCTTCAGTTGTAGTCCTCTATCCAACCTAGGGCTTGGAGAGTCGTTTGGGGTTTGTTGTTCCAATTCTCATCGTGGAGTCGCCGAGGACGAACATGGGGGTCCCAGATGACGGCAGGCCTCCGAATTGCAAGTGTGTAAGCCAATCACTGGAAGGATGCTGGACATTTCTGCTTTCGTGACCAGGAGGTTAACCCTTGTCTATTACATCGCCGACGGGCCATGGGATGTCGAAAAGGTGGCGGCTGATTGTCTTGAGAAGTTCGAGGCACACAGGATCTGGTTCTGCAGGATGGAGGCGCCCTTCAGGCCCTGTGCAATATTTGGTGTCCAAATCCTTGTTGTCAGAAGTCGAGCTGGGTGTGCTTGGAGTGCTTGGCAAGGTGTGTCTCTCGGATCCCAGACGGGCTCCCAGCTCAACTGCTGAGGCTGAAAGACACCTCTCCCTGTATCTGCATGCCAGCAATGCCAGCGCAATCTGCTGCTCTGAGCAGGCCTTGACTCACGAGCTCTTCACAGTTGCGCCCGAGGGGGACACACTGGTGCGCCCAAAAACCTGCCGCTGAATCTTTGCTCTTTGCGCCTGTCTGCAGAGCCCCCTATTTTTGTTTCCGTGCTGCAGGTCGCCTTCTTCTCGCACACCATGTTCCTCACCTTCACTTACTTGTAGCCGCTACACTTGGCGAGTGGCAGTCTGACAGTTTCACAGAGCGATCTCAGGTTCCATGCGGTGTTGCCGGTGAGTGGGACGAAGCCGCGCTTCGCCCTCTCCACCTGGTTTATGGGGTGCTGATCCAACACCATCCCATCAAGCTCGGCAAAAGCGGCACTGTGGCGCCGCTTCTGACTGTAACAGAAGTGCTGATGTCAGTCGCTTGCGCTTTGAGCCTGTCTACTTCATTGGGCCGGGGCGCTCGTTTCCTTCGGCTGTCAGGGCGGGAGAGGGCTTCGACAACATGTGCAACCGCCAGGTCAAGCGTGCAACAGGAAAGCTGGCAATAACCCTTGCTCCCGATGGTGCCTAACCACTAAACAAGCCGCAAAGCACCCCTCAAGTCAAGAGAAGTTGGTTTGTAGATTTTCGCTGCTTATCCGGCTATGGCAGCAAAGCCCTTAGTCTGTCAGTCGTTTGATTTTAAATTTGGGTTCTCACAGTCTGAAGACAGCGACGACACTTGAACCTCGCAGGCAGCCATTCCAAAGATTGGCCGGGACCTGTCTTTACATGTGTCTATCCTCAAGTACGAGGTGGCTCTGTGCTCAGAGAGTAAGCTGCAGTCACGAAACAAGCTCACCCACAACTTCACATTTCCTTGGTGGGTCGAGGTCGAAAGCGGCCAAGAAGCACAAGGCATAGCCAAGGGCCTCGAAGTGCTGAAGGCGCGTGGTATGAGCTGCGTATTCCCTGCGGCCCTGGCATCCTTTGCTCGCCGATGGCTCCACTGCAGCGCATTTGTCTTGGTTCTCGTCGTTCTGTTTTTCGCTCGTTGTTTTCCATGCGGCAGGCACGAGTGTCCTTGGCCAAGACCGGACAGCATGTCGAATACATCTTGCAGGACGGGGGGTTTGGATTCGGCTTTCATTCAACGAGTAGTGCGACAAGGCGCGAAATGTGCCCGAGAGCTTCTCGTTTTTCTTTAGCAGGTTAGCATGAACGGCTCTTCACCCTGGACGCTGCCGGATCCCCTGTGATTTTGGCGACCGCTTGCGCTTGCTTCTGGCGGCATGTGTTTGCAAGTGCAGGCGGCGGCGCTTCAACGACGTGGCGATCATGCATGAAGCCTTGAGGAGGCATTGGCCGTGGAAGCCGAAAGCCCAAAATCCCAAAGTGAGAGTCCAAAACGCAAACAAGAGTCCAAACAATAGAACCGAGTGGATTCCGATCGCCAGCTTCAGTCGATTGAACGGGTTTCTTCGTAGCGACGAGAGGCGGGTGCCTTCCCTGCCGGAGCTCCCTTCGAAGTCTGTCCGAGGCTGAATGCCAGCACATCAGAGCCTTAGCGTACTGCATTGTTTAGGCAAGGCATCCGTAGTGGCCGAAGAAATATTTCCGAGGTCGTTCGGCAGTTCAGCAACTCGGCAACTATAGTCACGGTTTTGCTTTGAGCTGGCTGGCTCCTTCGAGCTGAGCTTTCACAGCTTGGAGCAACGCGTCACAGCAATGCTTGTCGAGCTTTGGCTTGAAGCGGGTTAGTTCGTCTGAAGCTTGCAGCTTGCAGCATTGGTGCCATGGCTTTCCGCTTGACCTACCGCCGTCAGTGCCGCTACAACACCAAGTCCAACAAGCAGCGAGTCGTGAAGACTCCCGGTGGCAAGGCAGTGTACCAGGCAGTCAAGAAGAAGGCAAAGGGCCCACACTGCGGCGACTGCGGCAAGGCCCAGGTTTGTGTGAGTGGGAGTGTGCGGGTGTGGGAAGTCAGAATCGTACAGCAAGAGTCACACTGTAAGTTTCCGTCATGCCAACTCAACCAACGCGGCTGCAGGCTCTGATTGGCCTGCCGCGTTTGCGCCCGATCGAATACTCTCGCTTGAAGAAGCGCGAGAAGCGCGTCAACCGTGCCTACGGCGGATCCCGATGCGCCCACTGCGTTCGCGAGCGTGTTATCCGGGCCTTCCTGATCGAGGTGTCGAGGCTGCACAAATTGCAACATCTCAATCAACCCTACACCGCGCAAGCGTCAAAGTCCAGACCCTGGACCCGAAACCATAAACCTTGCCACTCTGGCCCCAAAGCCCTAAACCCTATGCCGGCCGTCCTGCAAGCATCACTACCATACTTGTATTTCGTTGTATCAGCTTGCAACGACGATGTTGAGTTTATTCTGCGATGTTTCACTTGGTCTTCCTGAGGAGCAGAAGTGCGTCAAGCAGGTCCTTGCCGAGAAGCTTTCGCAGGCCAAAGAAAAGGAAGGAGGTAAGAAGAAGGGCAAGAAGTAGATCCTCTGCGATAGAGCACAACCAACGCGCCGCTGCATGCTCGGAGCTTTTCAAAAAGAGGAGATCGTGTGCTGGCATCAGCTTCCCTGGTGCACGCGGGTGTTCTGGCCACTTATTGTCTATCCTGAAGATCGCTTTCCTGTGACGAGGCCATGAATACCTGGAGTCCCGGAAGAACGCCCTTGCTGCGTACTTGAAACTTGTCAGCATGTGGCCCTTCTGACGTGCTTGTCTGCTTGAACCAATCCCATCCCTGCGCGTTAGTCATGTGTTCTGCTATCGGACGTGAGGCAAGGGTCGTCATCTCGGTGAACGGATTTGCTTCACAGGGATCCATGTGCAGATGCCGACATCTTCAACATGACTTGTGTCGTTCTGCCCAAGGTTGGCACACCGCAGAGATATTCTGAATTGCTTAGAGGCGCAAGAATTCTTCGGAATGTACGCCTGCCGCACTTGCGAGGGTACCCAGTGTTGACACGAAGCTCCATGAGCACGTCGTGCCAGGTGTGAGCGGGACCAGACGCTCCGCCAGCTACGCCCTGAAATGCGAGAGATCTGACTGCGAAGACTATTATTACTATTATTGCTATTATTACTGTTATTACTATTATTACCATTATTACTATTATTTGTAAGACTAAGACCTTCAGAGAGCCCAAGGCCCAGCGAGAGGGAGCCGAAGTTGGTGTCCGAGGCGCAGTCTTTTTTGGCGTATGATATAAGGAAAAGAAAGGCCTGAGAGGTTTAGGGTTTAGGGTTTCATTTCATGGAGATTTGAGACAAGGCTGCGACTGGGAATCGCAACAGCCTTTGTGTATCGACTGAAGTCTTCTTCCCTGCAGGTACAGGAGGCGGCTTATGGCATTACTAGCTTCGCCGTTCCGGCTAGTTTGCGTTGCCATCACGGTGCTCTCTGCTTTGCGCTGTTGCATCTAGTTTTACTCAGTTTTGCCAGGTTTACGAAGCCAGTCGCGGTGCAGAGCTCAGTCCTGAAGACCCCAATGTGTGGCCCCGCGCTTTCTCCAAGGTTTGCTGCTGCTCGGGGTGCGCATCCAAGAGTCCCAGAGTCCCGTCTCCGTGCTTCGGCGCTGCTTCGCTGAGAGAGGCTGCGGACTGCAACTGGATTTCCCGTATGGATACGAAGCCGCTCGCATGAAGCGGGAGAGTGTGGCACTTGGGACTCCTTCGGGGCTGTTTCTGTTTCAAGGCTCACAAACATCAAGTTGCCGTGGGAGCCTGTGGCCAGAGTCTTGGTGTGCCTTCTTTGGGAGTTGTAGTTAGAGTATACCTTGCCCAGTTTGGGTAATAATGCCACCGTCAACCCATGAGATGATCATTCCTAGGGTCCCCCCTACACTCCACCCATTATATCACTACTACTACCCATTATCAATACAATTCTAGGAATAACCATTACCCCATCCATTTTCTCTAAGGTGGCATCATTACTCCAAAGGGGCAAGGGGGTCCTTGTAGAATTTGGTTCAGGGTTTAGGGTTAAGGGTTGTAACTCTAATGTAATTATAATATATAACTGCTTATGTATTGTAATTACACTATAACTATGCAGTTTGAGAGACTATCTATTGAGAATTCTGAACGATCATTTCATTTAAGAACCGTGATGTTGTTTGCAAATACTCACAATGTAATTGTTTGTCTCTGTTTTTATAATAATGTAAATGATATATTGTTTCAATAAAAAACTTAGATACTCTGTGATAATAATGAAAATAACCATTAAAATACTTCTTCTTCTCCTGATGCCATTTGTAGAAGTCAAATGTATCTAGGTTCTCATACATTGTTTTCATTTCACTATGTAGCTCAAGTGTATACTCTTCTTTGACTAAAAATTTTCATTTTATGAACTTCATCATAGTCTGGATATTTGTTTAACTCAGTAAAGGGTAATATATAATCATCAAACAAACTCCTTAACTTACAACATTTGTCACAAGCATTTTAATCTACAATCTGATCTTTACAAATATTTAAGACATCGCACGTACGTAGTAAAGTTTTCTGCATGTTCTTAACGGGGATACACTTATCACATCTATTGAAATGATCGAACTTATGTATCCCATTATAAAACAAATATGTTTCATCGTCACTCTCACTTTCATATTCACTCTCACTTTCATATTCGCTCTCACTCATTACTACGATAATGTGTAAGCTGTTATTTCTTTAAGTCATTTTCTTAAGAAACTTTATTTTCTTAAGATTTACTGCATCGCGGTTTTTTTGACAGACTTCTCTAAACATTCAGAACAAGTCGCAATGTATTTCACATAACAATAAGAATGTTTACCGGCACAATAGCAACGCTTGAGACAATCCATCTATTTGACTTGCCTACAACGATAACACTTCCTAGTAACAACATTACCTGTTTCAGCATATGGTTCGAAATCAACTACTATCCTATCTACTCTTACTGGCATTATTATTGTTATATACACTTTTTCATAATGCGATATTATGAAAATTTGCACTGGTTCCTTAAGATTTAACGAAACTAATTACGAATTAGTGTCATTACCAAACTCTTATGGTTTGCCTATGAACCTGTAGAACCTGCTAGGCGCACGGGGGCATTGGCTCACTTCCTTCTTCTGTTTTGATTGGGGGCCTTTAGGCCATGATGGCCTGTCAATATACACGAGATTTTAATCCATAATACTTAAAGTATTCTTCAAAATATTTACATCTTTGTCTATCCTTTCCACATCCTCCTCCACTTTTTCTAACCTCTCTTCTGGCGTAGGCTTTCGTGATCCCCACCCGGTGGTAGCTGTATCAACACCTTCATTATCTTGTGAGGTTATGTCGTTTTCATCTGGTGTTGTTCCTCTGCCCATCTACCAACTACTTCTATCTTCAATTATTGTTTTACCTTCTTGGTTTATTTAGTTTCTTTGTGAAAAGTCTTTTTTCTAGATTTACAAGGTAGGCAGTTTAACCCATCCGTGTTCAAGTGGAAGCCACCTTCGTTAGGTTCCCTATGATTGTCGCCCATTATACTTTCTTAGTTTTTTTTAATACTGAAGAACTGCTTTAAGCAATTCTAAAGAAGCGGTGCAACACCTTTTAAGCTTGGTATCTTGTATTACAACTTTCTCAATTTCCTCAATTTCCTCTATCGTTTCTAAATACCTATCCATGATATTAACAGATATTTTTCTCTTATTAGTTAATGAGTGAAGAAATACCTAAAGTAGAACCGATAGACATACCCGAGTATAAATATAAAAACAGCAAGTTTGACATGATGCCTAAACTACTCGCGTGGATGTTATGCGTGGCTTCTTCAACAGGTGGTAAAACGGTATTGATACAGAACTTGATATTAAAAATCTACAGATCTTCTCACCCAGTGTTCATGTTGATGACACATGGTCGGCAATAAAGAAATACATAAAGGATGTAATGAAGGTGGATGCAGAAAAAGAACAGCTTTATTACGAGGAATACGACCCGGCGGCGCTAAAGAAGATCATAGACACTCAACATAAAGTAATTGATTTTCAGAAGAAGGATAAACAAAAGGATCTGTTTAGCATTCTGTTAGTGGTGGACGATATGGCAGATGATCCACGTTTTGTAAGATATTCTACTTTACTTCATGGATTGTTTGCAAGGGGTCGTCATAATGCCATCTCGTGGATTTTATCAACTCAAAAATACAATGTCCTAGCACCAGTCATTAGACTAAACTCATCAGCATTGTTCATTTTTCGCCTAAAGAATATGAACGAAGTCAATGCATTTTTAGAAGAGATTTCCGCCTTGGTGGATAAAAGCACGTTATATGAAATGTATCAGAAAGCCGTGAATTTTGCTCCTTACTCCTTCTTCTACATCAACACCAATGCTAAAGATGTCAGCAATAAGTTTTTCATCAACTTTGAACAGCGCTTTGAAATAGGAGATAGTTAATAATATCTTAATAATAATATTATTATTTATCAAAACAATGATACTGGACAGCAATGTAAAGTAGTAAAACTGAAGCAAGGGCATTTCCTTTTCTTCTTTAGCGCCTCTACTTTCTTTTCCTCTTCTTCCAATTTTTGTAATAGGTCTTTCATGGCAATCAGTAAAATATCCGTTTCCGATACCTCTCTACTTTTTTGTTTTATTAGTTCCATACACACTTTATACTGGTCTTGAAACTCACTCATATATAACAGCATATATTAATTTCAGAATTTTCAGTCGCTATCGCTGCTATTTTTTTCTTTCTTCTTCAACTTTGTTTCTTCCCCTTTCATGGTGGCCATTTCCTTTTCATTGCTTTGAAAAAATCTTTCATTTGATCAATTTCATTCAAGGCATATTGTAAAGCAGACCAAAGCAAGGGCGTTGTCATAGAATAGTCAAACCTTAAATATTCGTCTCTCCCCCGTCTAACGATATTACTCCATTCTTTGGGGAAGCCTTTATAATCCATCATATCGTTGGCAATAAAACCACAACATGACCTATCGCCGTATTTTTCTAAATCAATAAACTTCTATGTTTTAGGAACAATGTATTTTACTAACTCTACCGCTTTTTTACAATCTATCTCTTTTATGTCTTTCTTCAGTATTTGATCACTGCTGGGCCCAATGGATCCTGTATAAGAAATGTCACCTATAACATCAATGCCGTCTGTCGTAACCGTTAAGACGTTTTTCGTTCCTATTTCGGTTATTGTCTCACCGTCTGAATCCGGATTTCTCAAAAATAGTTGTTCCACTGCTCCTGCTGCTGTTTGATGTGTAATACTAAACTTTTTGTAGAAATCAACTGAACTACCTAAGACACGAAACTCGGGAGAACCAGTAGCTCCAATATCTACACGAAGTTCATTCTCTGTTGATAAATTACCTATTACATCAAGCGTTTCATTACAAGTAGTGGGTTTGCTTAATGTAATACCTGCTACATCATTCAATTGTAAAAAATATTTCACTTGATTGCGGGTCGGTTTTTCTATTGGTTTGTATTGAAAAATTTTGTTCGTTGGTTGATATAAAGTTTAATGAAAAATTAGCGTTTCCTTGTTGGTATATTCTTCCTCTGCTATTCATTTAAATCTCGTTATTAAAGGTTGTTGATGCTTGAAAACTTACATTTCCACCAAAATTAGAATTGCCACCGCCAACCGATAATCTATTGGGACCTGCAATAACGCCAATACCTAAATTACTTAGATAAACTCTGCCATTGCTAACTGTATTTAGTAATAATAAACTCGGGCTATCGTTGGAAGTATTATAAGCATTAAAGTTAAATGAATGCATCCTTATGTAGCCTTGCGCGTTCTTGACTTGGATAACACTACTGGCGTCTATCGTATTTTTGAATACTTCAATGCCATTAGCATTTGTTGAAGTTATTCTATTTCCGTTGATTGTACAATTATTAGCAACTTCCAAACTATCTACTTTCGTATCTCCGCCTACTGATAAAGAATAACCGCTTTCGTTTGCTTTTCCTATCCCTACTTCTGCACTTGTTAAACTTCCTAATCTCATTCTGTTAGAACTATTAGAAGAACTGTTATCATTTAAGATCATAATATTACCGTCCTCTTCATTCGCATTAGTGCATCTTAAGTTATTATTGACATATATCCACTGCGCCGTTCCGTCTCTAATTCTTAGTGTTGGGTTTGTGTTATTAGAAATACGCCATAATGAAATACCATTAGCACTAACTGGTAAAAATACAGTATCGTTGTTAATAATCATCGCTTTGCTAAAAAATACTTGTTAAAAAAATGTTGTTCCGTTTGTTGTATTAATTATTGCACTCAATATAAGTATTGGTATCAGTGTCGTCATTAGTTCCGTTGGTCAGTCGTATAGTACTCGCCGTTGCATTTATTGATAAGTCTAATGAAATATTTGGCTTTGTAGCGTTCGTGTGTCTTTCAATGCTTGTATTATTATTTACTAATTCAATTGGATTGCTGACACCACCACCTGCTCCTGCTATTAATGTATCTACTTCTCCTATATTGTAATAGTTGGTCGCTAACTGACTATTAGTTTGATAATTTGTTGTAAGAGTTGCCGTTGTGGCATAAGGTGTCAATGCTGTATTATCAATCCAATCATTAGAATCTATGTCAGTTTTATTGTAATAATTGGTTGCTAGTTGTGAATTTGTTTGATAATTTGTTGTAAGAGTTGCCGTTGTGGCATAAGGTGCCAATGCTGTGCTATCAATCCAGTTATTAGAATCTATTTCAGCTTTATTGTAATAACTGGTTGCTAATTGAGTGTTAGTTTGGTAATTATCAGTTAAGTTAGTATTGATAGCATTTATAGCATTGAAATTAGTAAGTGCTTTACCATCAACAACAGCAATAGCGCTATCTACTTCTGTCTTATTGTAAAAATTAACATTCAATTGTGCAGTTGTCTGAAAATTATTGGCTAAGTTATTATTAATGTCAGTAATTACTAAATTTAGACCGTCATTAACTGCTATAACAGGATTTGCGGCATCGTCTAAATCTTGTTGTGTTATACCACCTCCACTACCAACGTTCATATTTGATATTTCATTATCTACATAAGTTTTTGTTGCGTATAAATCGGGTAGAGCAGTGCCATTAACAACAACCCTATTCGCTGATACTGTGTTAGTGTTATTTAATGTCAATGTCATAATAATAATAAGATAAACTATTATTAGACTGTTTAATCGAACACCTTCAGCCCTAAATCCTTAATCTCAAGTATCTGTTCTGAAAGCATCTCTTCAAGTTGTTCACGGCGTGTGGACGCATAGCACGAAGAAGTTGGACGTGGGTTTGACATGAAGGCGTGACAGATGAAATGCCAAAACGAAGCGGCAAGTTGCTGAAGAGCCTGTCATTCCCTGCACTAACCCTTAACCCCAAACCTGAACCCAAATTCTATAAGGAACCCCTTGCCCCTTTTGAGTAATAATGCCACCTTAGAGAAAATGGATGGGGTAATGGTTATTCCTAGAATTGTATTGATAATGGGGTAGTAGTAGTGATATAATGGGTGGAGTGAGGGACCCTAGGAATGATCATCTAATGGGTTGACGGTGGCATTATTACCCAAACTGGGCAAGGTATACTCTAACTGTTGTGGGCGTTGGCTTCTGCTTTAGTCTCGGCGACAGGCACCCGATCTGCCCAGCTCGCAGATGAGCTTGTGGAAGGAGCAGGGCCCCCAATGGCGGCTTCTCCGACCTATTTGCACACAACCGTCAATGCAGGTCCCCACCGAACTCGAAGAGCTACCAACTCCAGCCTCTTGACTGCAGGAGGATGGGTCCTACACGCCTGTCTGTCGCGCAGTCTTCTTGCTTTCCCAGGTTTGCTTGCCGCTATTCCTCCTCCATCTCCTGTGTGGCAGAAGCCTGAGAAACACGAGGCTGTAACAAAATGACATCAGAGTTTTAGCAGCACTTTAGCTGCTGCAGCGCAGTGCAGTCTGAGGCTTTGGTCACTGGCGGTGAGGAGGGAGGCTGCTGCCTGTGTGGCTTGAACGCATGGACCTTAGACATGGGTTCTGCCATGTTCTGCCGTGTTACACCTTGCCAAGAACTAGTCCGGGGCATGGTCGAGTCGTACTCACCCTTTGGAACCGATCCCGCCAGCTCGCCTTGCATATCTGCTGTCAAGTTCTCTCTCACTGTAACTGATCCTGGGCCTGATTGAGGACGGTGCTGTCGGCTTTCAGAAGATGAGCGCGCCCAGCGGCGTGCATCCCCCAAACTGCATGGCTGCCGTTGTGTTTGTGCTCCTCTAACCAACTTTGCATGTCTGCATCCGACATGTGTGGCGGTCTGCGCGCTGGGCTCGCCGTGCTGTAGAAACATCATCAAATTTGTCAAATGAACAGATGCGCAAGCAGCACTCCAGGTTTCTCGTGGGGCTACGCTGCCTCTGCTGAAGCACACGGCCGCAGTCGGAGTCCAAGCACGAAAGATGCAATCTTTCGGTTTTCCGGTCAACTGGCAGCCTTTGAACTACGGTAAATGCGGTAGCTTGTAGCAAAAAGTTGGAACTGAAGGTCTCTGCCTTGGCCGTGGACGAGCGAGCGCAATGGCTTTTCTCGGCAAGCAAAGACAACGCCCTGAAGGCCAGACGGTCAGAAAAAGGCCCCAGGGCCCGATTGAAGCCCAAAGAGTCGGAGTCGGATGGCCGCAGGTCTACGACTTGGTCAGGCCCGGCGTTCCTTCGTTTGCTCTGGCTCTGCCGTGCTGCGGGGGAGGCAGATGATGCAGTGCGAGACGCATTCGCCGACCCCCACCACGTCGATGCATTTCGAAGAGGCAGGTGGTGCCTAGGGCCGTGAGAGAGAGACAGAGAGAGAGCGAGCGAGAGAGAGAGAGAGAGCTGCTCAAGGCGCAGCAGAGGCTCTTCACAGGCCTCCAGAGCGGTCAGATCGCGGCAGCTTGGCTCAGCTCCGATGGGCCAGAGTGGGAGGGCTCTTGGCGGCCTTGGGTCGTGTGGCTGAGGTTTGGGACACGTCCGTCCTGCCTCTGACGCTGCTTTGCAGCGTTCCTGACGGGTCGACGGCTGTCTCAAGGCATGGGCGGCCAACAGGGAACAGGGAAAGTCGAGTGTGGTCGCATTTCGGAACACGCCGCCGAACACTTCAGTTTGCTAGTTGCCACAAGGGGGAGTGCGGTCGATTGTTTTCGCTTCCACGAGCGGTTTGTCTTGACCCTGGTCTTCAGTCTGTTCTGGTGGTGCATCCCCGACCCGACCACAATTCAGAAGCTGCAACGGGGTACAGCAACCAAAGTCGAACTTCGGGTCAGGGTCAGCGGCATGGATTACGAGGCTTCCACAGGAACGTGCCTTCCTCGGACACCTTCTCCCGAATTGCTGTTCGGATGTATTTCTGCCTTGAAGGGCAGCACTTGGAGCCTCTTGATGTAGGCAAGCTGCCACAGATGCTTCGGCGCCGCAATTTTCACAGCTCGAGGCTTTTGGTCGTAGGTCGTCAGCGGCCCTTGAAAGCCTTGCCTAGTACTCCTTGGCATTCGAAGGCCAAGGACCGCTTCTTAAAACCGAGGGGCAGCGCAGTTCAAAGAGCCGCCTCTCCTTCAGTGTCTTTGTGTGTGTGTGTGTGCTGCAGGAACGATGGACTCTGACAAGAATCATGGCCCAAGCTTCAACATGGACTTGTTCAAAGATCCCGAACCTTGCTTTGCACTAGAATTATTCATTCGTGAGGCACTGGCAAAGACATATCCTGTCATGCTCGCACTGGATGTGTTCCTACGGTCTGGTTCAAGGGCGGCGAAGTATGACCGGCCAAGGAAAAGCTGAAATTCTTTGTTATGAAGCGCCGGAGCCGCAAGCAAGATGCCTTGTTTGGCTGAAACCTGAACGTTGGAGGCTACGGGTTTCGTTTCCTCCCTGCTTCCGAAGGTACTCGCAGACAGAAGCCTTCAAGTGTCTTTGATGCACCCCAGAATGGTCCCCACAACTCTGACGACGATGCGACTACCCTAAACCCATGCTCCCAAAAAGGCAAGCTGTTGCAAGATCACCGCTTTCCTGGGCAGGATCTGGGCCGGCTTCGCCGTTATCGCTTTCGTGGTCTTCATGCTGGTATCCAGTGGCGATTTCTCTTTCCTCCTGACTTTGGGATGCACTTGGCTTCTGGTGCTGTTGCGATGTAGCCGATTGCATTGCTTGGACCTAAGGACGCTCTCCTCTCTGTTGAGCATGCCCCTCGACTTGACTCTGGAAGCTTCAACGATAGCTCGCAATTAGACATCGGCGTTGGGGGTCTTTCTTGAGATACAGTGGGAAACTGAAGAAAAGACGTAGCTGCGTAATTATTTCGTTCGCAGGTTCAGCTTCCTTATGGTCGCACTGAAGATGGAGATTGGCCGCTCCTGCAAGGGAGTCTCATTGAAAATGATGGAGTGCCTTGCTGGAGGAGATGCTGAAGTTATAATAGCTCGCCTGAAAGTCGCGTAGCAGCTGTAGCATGCATGGATTTGCTCGAATTCAGGTCTTACCTTGTCATCTTCTTTTGCCGCCTTTGCGCCATTATTCCTTTCGAGGGCTACCTTCCGTTTGACAAGCTTCTCAGCTTGAGTCGCCAAGCAAAGCGCCACGGATGCTGAGCAAAAGCCCGACGAGCATCGAGGTCGGGTGACTGGTTCTACCAGACCTGCGAGGCTCCGTGCTCCCGCCGGGTACAGCATGACCTAGCCTTGTCTGCAAGTGACTGCCAAAGCAGGCGCTTGGCTTCTGCCTCGCGGGGACGCAAGAGGCTCAGAGACGACTGGCTCGCTCGCAAGACCGGTCCTGTTACGGCCTCATGGCCACCCTTCGTCCTCTGAGGATAGTGTACTTCTGCCGCATAAAATATGCTGCGACGTATGATCCGGCAGCTCGGATGCAAAGACAGTGAACCGATTCCTGTCATTGCCAGACATTCCTGAAGCCGGGAGTCTTGACTTACGGCACAACCTTCAAGTCGAACCACCAGAACATAGCGGATGCAACATCGACGGTGTCGCTACTCGAGGGTTTTCTGCAAACCCTAAACCCGAAACCCTAAACCCGATTCCGGATCTCCGCAGCCGTGATTCGGCTCTGGGCTTCGCAGCCACGAGGAGCAGCCTCCGATCAAAGGCCGGGTCCAAGCCTTGGAGTTTCCGAAAATTAGGGGTACCTTATTTGGGGGTCCTTATTATAAGGATCCTACTATATAGGGTGCTATATTAGGGTCCCCTATTTTCGGAAACTCCCATATCGTTTCGGGGGAGACCGCCGGAAAGCTGCAACTGGGTGCAGCTGTCCAGGTCACGTGCTGCCCGCCAAGAGACCACCAGGATACAACCACAACAAACAAGCAGAGACCACCAGCAGACTACCGACAGACTGCGAGGACACTACTAAGACACAGAACGCCACCCCCAAGTACTTTCGAATGCAGGAGCGCGGCAAGAATCACTCCCTAGTTGCAATTTGCGATGAATCTCGCCTTTGGGGATAACGGGGGTGCTGCTAATTCTGTGTAAGCAGGATGTCAGGATGTCATCGCAAACATGCACAGGTTTCACAGCATTCACCAATGCTGGAGTTTGGCAGGTCTTGCTGTGCAGCAGACAGCGGAGTCATCTCAATTGGCATTATTCGGAGAGCACGAGCGCCCCGCATGCAGGTTCCTCACCCGGAATGCCGGTCTTGGCATCCACGCACACCAGGCCCACGAAGCGCCACCGGAGGACCGGTTTCGCCGCGCTCTGCATTTTGGTTGCACTGGCACTATGGGACCGTTGCCACTCGCCACCCAGCACAAGAATTGCATCCTTGCCGAGGTGTGTCATTGGCGTGCTTGCACACATGGCAGAGTGGCAGCCTCGTCCCACGCTGCAATGCCAGGGTCTTAATCGAGCTGATGCCCTGAATGCACCTCCGCCACATTCACAAACCCTTGAAAACAGGACGGCTCGGGTTGCGTAGGCCAGAGGTCTAAAAGGGAGGCTGTGGAGGTGGGTCCAAGCGCAGGTCATGACCATGACGTTCGGGAATGGCTACCGCCTTGACTCTTGACCTGCGTCCAGACAGTGCAAGGCAGGCTTGGCTCTGTAAAGCGCATTCAAAGCCCACAGCATCTGAGGACAAGAACGATTTGCTGGGAGCTGGTGGTTATGGCAAGGTCTACAAATGTACGGACATGCAGGGCAGGGAACTTGCCGTCAAGCAAGTCTTCACTGCTAACACAGAGGTTTTGGACAGAGAGATTGAGATTCACACCCACATTGGCCAGCACCCAAACATTGTTCAGCTCATCGACGCCTTTCCAATTGAGGGGGCAGAGGGGAAGATGATAGTGATGGAGTTGGCCAAGGGTGGCGAACTAGGGGACTTGCTGGAGAAGACGGGCCCTATGCCCGAGCAGAAGGCCAAGCACATCTTTAAGCAGGTGGTGAGTGCCATTCAGCACCTGCATTCCCGCAATATCCTGCACCGGGACCTGAAGTCCGACAACATCCTCCTCTGCACCGACAGCACTCACGACATGAACCAGCCTGTTGCCCCTGAGACACAAGTGTGAGTTCTGAGTCTTCTTCTGCTTTGAGATGATGATTTCGGTTGGTTACATTTCTAGGGTCCCAAAAACCTTTTTTTTCTCAGGTGAAGCTGATCGACTTCGGAGCAGGCCACTGGGCGAAGACGGGGCCTCTGGTGGCGGACAAGTTCATCGGGACGCTGCAGTTCATGGCCCCGGAGGTGATCATCGCGCGTGGGGACGACTTCGACGCCACGGACGCCTCGCAGATCGAGTCCACGGTGCAGATCGAGTTCAAGAAGCGGCCCTTCGGGATCCGCAAGTACAAGCCGGGCCTCAGCCTCAGCTAAGGGAGCCGCGGCTCTGACTCTGACTCTGCAGATCTGCCCAGGTCCCAACAACAAGGGCGCGCGAATCACCGAGGTCATCGAGCAGTCGCGATACCCAGGCCTTGCAATGTCATTTCCGACATTTCAGCTCCGGCCCACGGCACACCGCCGCGGGGTTCACAAGTGGCCCCCAGCAGTGCATGACGAAACGAGCAGAGAGTTGGGAAACAACTCAGCAGGCGAAAGGCCCAGGACATGGTGTAAACTGTCCATAGAGACGGCCTTCTGAGAGGGATCTCTTCATATGACAAGCGGTGAGGGGAGTGTAGCGCGACCTGCGCTCAAAAGGCCAACCATGGAATGAAAGTAGCGACGTATAGGCTGCATTCCCCGTCAAAGGCTCCCTATCTCAACCATGATCACATTGTGACATGTGCTAGTTCATGCCACATGCGGGCATCCTGAAGGATGCCCGTGGTGCAGGTGACCCTCTTGGTCAAGCTTTCGTAGCAGGGGTCCAGAACGAGTGGGTCGTGAAGTCGGCAACCTGGCTTCAAGCGGGGCCAGCAGACAGCAGTAGAGATCCATGAGATCCTCGCCAACATGCATTGTTCTTGGAGAGACCCGGACAATCTAGCGAATAGACTGTCTTTGTGCCAAGGTAAACGGAAGGGATGTCAGCAACATGGATTTCGAGGTGCGGCCGTCTGCAGAACAAGCCTCACGCTTCCTTCTGCTGATTGCAGGACATCCTCGACCTTATGGGTGATCGCTTGCTGGACAATTCCTCCCGGGGCGCATTCGATGGGTCCTTCAAGGTGACGGGTGACAACAAAGGACAGGGAAAAGTGCTGCCCAAGGTTGAGCAGGTGGAGCTGCCTGCGCAGATCCAGTATGCCCAGATGCGGTCGAAGCCCTACGATGCGAAGGTGGACGTGTGGTCCCTGGGCTGTGTCCTCTACCATATGCTGGCCGGTCGACCCCCGTTTGCGCCAGAGGAGGAGGCCGTGCTCGCAGGAACCTTCCAACCGCCAGCAGGGGCTTCGCCACAAGTCATGGATCTATTGAACAAGATGCCTCTCAGCTGCAAGCAGGGCAGTCTGTCCTGTGCATGCTGCCCATCGAAGACCTACCTTGGAAGCACATGGCAGGCTCGTGGTGAACCCAGCAGGGCGCGCCGACCTTGCCACGGTGGCTACCCATCCGTGGATGCAGTGAGGCTGACGAGGCCGACGAGGCCGAGGCCCACTCTACTCCGAGATCTATCACATGTTCAAGAATCACGTGTTCAGAGATCGTGTCTGCACTCATCCGTCCAGGCCCCGTCTGAAAGCGCTGGCATAGCCCTCGAGATGTGTCACCACTTGCACTCATGCCGAGTAGTGTGTTTTCCGACTATCTGCTGCCTTCTGTGCCTCTGGACCAACATGAGTCAAGTAGTTTCGCCTTTCTCAAAAGCCTGTGGCGCCAGTCGAGTGCATTTTACTTAAGCAGCTGGTCCCCGAGCTCGAGAGGGCAGGATCGTCCGAGTCCAGTCTTTGGGGACCAGTTTGAATGACTCCAGTTTTCCCACGAAGCTTGAGCTTTCAATGAATTGGTGATTCCGGGCTGATCTGCAGTTCTCCTGCGCATGTCAGTACCATTCCAGCCATCGGCCATCTCCTTTTCTACAGGTCTCCCTGGAAGTTGAGCCAGTGCATGAAAATTACACAGACCAAGACCCGCTCGCGCCTGATCTCCAATGCCAGGCCAAAACAACGAAGCTGCAGAGAGGTTTAGCGGATGCGCAGGTTCAGGGCACTGCTTTGCCACGTGTTGCATTAGACCTGTGCCGAGGCAACCGACACCTTTCAACACTTGTATTTGGGCGTTGGTGCTCTAGGCTTGTCCTTGATCTTCCATCCGAACCTGCACCTTGGCCACAGAGGGGAGAGTAAGCCGCCCGCAGGGGCTTCGAGCCGTTGGGCCAAGCCGTGCTGGCAGCAGTGAATCTCAGGAATGGTTTTCTGCCTTCAGACATCGGCTGGGCTTTCGCTCTCTACTTGGTACCTCGGCCTCTCACGTCTGCGCTGCAGCCGTCCCCGCTCAGGACGTGTTCTCTTTCGGGGCCCTCCCGGGTGCAACTACCTGCATGCCTTTGCTAAGGAGTCTGTGGCCGTGCTGTGTCAGCTCTTCATGTTCATGAAAGAGGGCCGGGCGCAGGAGCATCCGGCTTAAAATCGGTTCGTGCGTCTGCCTGTAAAGAAATAGCGGCGGTCCATTTGCTGGAATGGCATCAAACCCAGGCACACGTCCCACTTCCTGGCTGCGCAGGTTCCTTCTGATGACACTTGGTTTTGCATGGACTCGAAGCCCCCCAGCTGTCAGGCCCTAGCCAAGTTGATGAGCTTCATCTTCTGGGCCAGCTCCTTTAGCGTCTTGGCAGCACGTGGAGGCAGAAGCCTGCCCGGATACCAAACACGTGGGAAGACTTGGAGCAGGAACCGTGGCTGAGTACCATAAAACCTCCCCAAACCACATCTACCACGAAGAAGTTGCCCGGGTCGGTTGCACAATGTAGGACGCTCGTGAGCAAGCACGCCACAGGAAGGTGAGGTAGCCAAGAATTGCAATGCTGACAAAAATCTGGTGTGGTGAAACAGAAAGAACATGAAGTGTTGCCATTAAGATGTCGAGAGCAACTCGTGCGGCATCGGTTCTGAAAGTCGGGTTCTGTCTCGGCGCCGTCACCCTCAGGTCCTAAACCAACCTTGAGGGAAGAGGGGTGCTTCCGTTGGCCACCGGCACTTGCATTGACCTAGTGCCACCCATCCCGAGGGGCCCCCGGCATCCTTGGATACCCGGGGCGTCTTTATACCTGTTTCGTGGGCATCGGAAATCACGGATTCCGTTGCTCGCACCTGCTTGATCTGTGTGTGTGTGTGTGTGTTGTCAGAAGCATCCTTGCGTCTCCAAGTGCCCTCCCCCCCGGCCCCGAGACTCTCGGTCTGAGGCGAGCTCTCCGACCCAAATCACCACATCAAGGCAGCCGGAGTCCGGGAGTGCTGTAGCGCAGAACTGTCAAAATGCAGTTCCGGAGGCCTTCGTGGGAAACTGGGTGGTGTGTGCGCAGCTGGTGCAGCTTCTGATCATGGGGGACAGCAGCTTTTGATGTGGGGGTGTGCAGTGCAGATGTCCGGAGAAGCTGATGCCACGGCATAGCATGGCTACGCCGCCACAGGACTTTATCTACCACTACATGCGATGCATCCAGCAAGGCAGGGGGCGAAGTCGGAAGAATCGCCCGAAAGATTCCCATCACGCGGGCTGCAGGAATTCCAGTGTCCCAGCTCTTGTCTTCGGATGCCGTCTAGATGTTCTGTGTCTTCTGAAGCTCGGGCCAGGTGCGTAGGGCGTAGGATGTGGGCCAAACGGGTTGTTGATGCGAGCCCGCTCGACAGTGCAGCGCTTGAGAGAAAGCACGAAGTAGAGGCAAACATGTGTCCAGGCGCTCAGCCCTTTTTGACTCTAGGACGGCCTCCATGCAGACGGATGCAAAAAATGAGTGTCACTGCAACCAGCCGGATCACGCAGTTGGCTTTGCTCTCATGAGAGTTGTTCCGGAATGATTTCAGCCTACTTGGAATGGCTCTGAGGCTCTTCTCGGCCAGCAAAGACTTGCTCGGCGTGTGGAGTGTGAAATCTGCCCGAACTGGTGGAGGCCTGAGATGCCATCACGTGGAACATGCAGTAACCCATGTCGGCGTGCGCCTTCTCTGTGTGTATGTAGGGGGGGTTTGGCCTGTTCTGCTTCGCTTGTCTCTAAGGCAGCTGGGGCCGAAAAATCGGCACCATTCCCACGGCCAACGCGCAGCAGCCTCAGCCTCCTGATCTCCAGCATTTTGTAAGTGCCCTCCCTTAAATCCCAAACCCACACTTCCAAAATCCCCCGTAACCGGTTACTGTTCCCATGGCTTACAGTTTGCCTTCTTCGACTTGCCTGCATGCTGAAGACTTTCACCGCGCCACCCCATTTGCCGATAGTGGTAATTCCGTTTGAAGAGCTAGAACTCACGTGCTACTATCACAGTTGGTCGATGCAAACAGGCATGCCGAGCTCAAGACCTTATCTGGCAGAGCGTGCTAAGACCCCACAAACCTAAAATTCCCAGTTATCAATTGAGTGTAGATCAATTGGTGATAGGGAATTCAACTTCAAATTTGACGAGTGAGATGAGTGATACAGACAGCTGAAACGGCACTCTACTTGCTCATCTAGCATGTGAACTTACTGGAACGTCAGTTGTTACCCTGCCAAGCGACTCACTCAGCATTGCAGGAGGCAAAAAAGCCCAACACAGGAAGCAAAAACCCGACGACCTTAAAGCAAGATGCCTGCCTAAACCGAAGACCGCTGCCAAAAGAAGACCGCAAGCGCGAAGATCAAGCCAGAAGACTGGTTTTGGGGTGTACACCCTGTCACTAAAGTAAAGGAAACCCCCAAAAGTCGTGGCCAGGCTGACTGGAGTTGCCTGGGCTCCCTCGTCTCGGGACAGTCGTCTGCAAAATCGCTTTTGCAAGCTTTTCACGGTTTCACGCCCAGCCCAGGACTAGTCGCTCTGTTGAAACAGATGTTGATGTGAGCTGGCCATGCCCAGTTGCATTGATGGCAGAGCGAGTAGGTGATGAAGGGTCTTGGGTACCACAGTACGGTTTATGTTGTTGGGTTGTTGTGAGAATCCTTGCCTTGTGCGAGTTGCGCGAAAAACTTCCGAGGAGATCCTGGCGAGCTGTACTACAGGGGCTGTTGTCGCGACTTGGCTTTGTGGTGCACTTGAGGAGCATTTTGTTGAGGTTCTTGAGGTTGTTGCAGGCATATGAGCTTGACCGGTGCTTGCTGGGGAGGTTCGACAAGCGTCAAGCAGGGAGACGGATTTTGGGACGCAAACTTGACACTGTGGAACAGTACTGTACTAAGACAACTAGCATACTGGACGAATGTGTTCGAAGGGGAGGCCCGGTTTGTGGCATTCGGAGTGAGGGGGGGGGCAGGGCGGGATTGAAAATGGTGGATGTGATTTTCATACCCGTTGAAAGCTTTTTATCTGTGCTGCGAGGGGTCTTTTGTGCTATATTTGGTTCCTACACTTGCTTGTATTGGAAGTAGTATTGGCTTCACGGCTCTTACAGAGCAGCTAGCAGCATTGAAAGCTTGAAAGCTGGAAACCGATGCATTGGTGCAGAACTCGGGATGTGGAGCACCTTATTCAGCAATGCAGCCGAGAGTGCTTTCGAGGCTTTTGATGTGGATAGCTGCGTGCCGTCATATGCCTGGAAAGCGCACGAGGCCGCACGCTTCCAGATGAAATGCAGAGGGATGTGGTAGTGCAATGTGGATGGGGTGCTTCTTGTGATGCGATGGGCGAGAGGACGAGATCACCCAAATATGCTGGATAGACAGCCATCGGCGGCTTCTCACGGCAGCCAAGGCCACACGGATCCATGCAAGCCTCGGAGGATTTGAGTCAGAAAGACCTGGCAAGTTGGTTGTGGGATTGCAGCAGTTCACACTTGTTGGCAAGGACAGGAGACTTCGAATTTGGGACTTCCCAGCTCCAGGGCGTGTTGGGCTCCCAGCCGTTGGGTCATGCCCGTATTATTGGCAGTGGCTGCCTTGTATACAGAGATGAGTTGCACCATGCAAACTGAAGGAGTTCTCGCCCTTCCACTCACCTACGTTGAGTTTCTTGGCTGCGGATCGATTGGGAGAAGCAGATTCCAGATTCTGGATCTATGTCCTCGTCCTTTCCTGTAATGTTTTGACTTATAAGCGCGCATGGGTTGTTTTCCTTCCGTGCTGTCCATGCCACCTGTTGCTTTTCACGCTCCGCATGTCAATGTTTCGGCTTCAGCTTTCCGAGATTCCAAGATACGCTCTTGGAGTGTGGACTTCTGCCGTTGGCTAAGGTACAGCTCCCAGTATCTCTGCTCCCGGACTGGGCCTCAGTGAAACCGCCAGCACTTCTCGTTATCGTCATAGCCACGGCCGTGCAACACGACGCTTTTCTTGGCTTGTGGCCTGGACTCCTGAAGTTTTGCAAAACTTTCAGTAGCAACAGGCCGTCGAGTGGTGTCCATGCTGGGGGGGGGGGGCAGGGCGGTAAGAAAAGTGCTCCCGACAGCCAGTCACAACTGAGGTCGACGCCAGTCCGCTCAGCTGAGGGGTGGTGCAGCTGCCACCTCAAGTCTGGACCTTAGAGGGGGCACTCTACCACGGCGTGTTGCAGCCTTTGCCACAGCCTGCAGAGCAGAGTGCACTGTGGTGGGTGACTGTAGAGCTGCGCTTTCCGCCGATCCCAACTTTGAAGTGTCCCTTGCTCGTACTACACCAGTCCGGTGTGAGTCTCTCAGTTTCGTTTGCGATTTTGGCTCAGTAAGGACAGATCACACCTTAGTAGGTTAGTATAGTAGCATTTTCGGCAGACGAAGCTCGGCTTCCGCCCTTCGGTCTTTCGGCCAAAAGTGGCCGGCCGTGAGGCCACACATGGACCCGTCCCTACGGCAGAAGGGAGGCCGTCTGCAGATTGATACATCTTTGAAGCCACCTTCGTTGAAAATACCAGAGACACACGGATCCCATGGACACGCCCATGGCAAAGCCCGTGTTCCACACACGAAGATCTATTTTCATGTAGCATGCTCCACCTCGCCTGGCGAGTATGTCCGTGTTGTCGGCGACCATGAAAGCCTTGGGAGCTGGCAATCCAAGCGAGGCATACAGTTGGAGACCAACGATGACATATACCCCGTTTTCATCTCCCCCAATCCGATTTTCGTAGAGCTGCATGCGCGTGTGCAGTACAGATATGTACTTTGCGGCCCTGATGACGAGCCTAGGGAATGGGAGGGATCCGAGCAAACACGCTCGCTGATAGCCAATGGAACGGAGATGACCATGGAAGATGATGATGGAATCTTCCGGCAAAAGGTCGGCTTTAACGAACAGCAAGATAGTGACGATGAGTTTGACGACATGTACCACATACAAACCAGGTCGTCGTTGGTGAAGAACATGGACACAGATCAGAAGCGGTCATTCCTCAAAGAGGTGCTGGAAGACCAAATCGAGATAGGTGCCAGGGACACAATCTTTATGCTTGCTTTCCAGCTGCCCGTCAAAGTTTTCAAGGACAGTGGCGGGACCTGGAGGCTCAGCGAAAAGGCGCCCAATGATGGCCGCAACTTCGCTTTCCTGCCGCTCTTGCAGGAAGTCAAGGACAAGAAGAAGCTGAAAGTTGTCAACATTGGTTGGCCAGGCGTGCACCCCGAGAACGACAGGGAAAAGAGAGAGATCGAAAAGCTGCTTGCAGCTCATGACTTCGTTCCGGTTTTCCCTCCACGTGCTGAGTTTGAGGCTTTCCTCAACTTCTGTCGCACATTCCTTTGGCCCGTGCTTCATGACAGCATGCAGTTCTTCCAGTCGGCGAAGGGTGAACCCTTCAGCGAACAGGGCTGGGCAGCATACCAACACATCAACAACATCTACGCCTTGGCTGTGGTGCCGCACACGCATGAGAACGACTTGATCTTCATTCAGGACTACCACATGCTGATGACCCCAACCTTCATTGCGCGGAAGATTCACAAAGCAAACATTGGATTCTATCTCCATGCACCCTTTCCGTCCTCGGACAGTTTCAAGACCCTCCCAGTCCGTGAGGAAATTCTGGCAGGCATGCTTAGTGCCGATCAATTAGGTTTTCAGTTTTTCTCTTACGCTCGGAACTTCCTCGTGAGCTGCAAGAGAGTATATGGTCTTGATCCTACTTTCCGAGCTGGTGGCTTCACGGGCCTGGAGTACAACGGGAGGACGGTTATGATCAAGGTCGCGCACTTTGCGTACCCTTACCAGGCCAGCATCAAGGCCTGCCTGTGTGTGGGGGGCTGGCGGTCCTCATATAAGGATCCTACAACTTAAAGACTTAGGCTCCTGCAAGGAGTCACGTATGTTGAGTGAAGATGCAGCTAGCGAAGTGTAAGTAGGTCCTTGGTGTCCCGGGCACAGCCGAGGTGGTGAACTGCGACGAGGTGCAAAAGGAGACCTCGAAGATCAAACGACTCTTTGAAGGCAAGACGATCTTCGCATGCATGGATAGGGCCGATGGCTTGTCTGCCCTTATTCCAAAGTTTCAAGCCTTCAGGCAGTTCTTGAAGGAGAGGCCAGAGCATCAAGGAAAGGTAATCTTGATCCAGTATTGCTTTGACTCTCTGGGTGCAAAAGATGCCAACACAGCGGCCCAGCTTCGCGCGGAAGCCGATGCTTTGATCAATGGCCAGCTGGAGATAACGACGAAGGACGGGGGATCGCCTGATGATTGCAGCATCTTCCTGCGCTTCGAAAGGATCGAGCGAACAGACAGGCTAGCATTGTTCAGGGCTGCTGACGTGCTGCTAGATACAAGTGCCAAGAATGGTCTGAATCTCATGCCGTTTGAATTTGTGGCCGCGCACCACGACATGGATGACAACAAGGCATGCATCGTCAGCGAATTCTCGGGTTGCAGTCGAGTGCTTTTGGGGTCCTTGCGTGCCAACCCGTGGAACAACTCTGCGCTTTGCGGTATCATGCAGCGAGCCCTCACCATGACAGAGGAGGAGAGGAAGGATCGGTTTCAGTGCAATCTGCAGTATGTCTCGCAGAATTCTCCTATGGTTTGGTTCGAAGATTTCCTGACCGACTTGAAGCGAGCACGAAAGAAAGATGACATCAGAATTGAAAGTATCGGCTTTGGTGCCAAAATCCGCCAGGTTGCCATAGGCACAAATTTTCAGAAGCTGCCCATCGATGGTGTGCTACATGCTTTCCGTCAGGCCAGAACGCGTGTTTTCTTCTTCGACAACGAAGGCACCCTAGCCACGGACAAGAGGCATGTGTACCGTCAGTATGGCGCACACATGGGCGACCTCACAGACCTGCAAAGCCGCGGGTCGGCTCCCAATCAGCAAGTCATGGACTGCTTGCAGACCCTGTGCTCGGATAACCACAACATTGTGGTGATTCTGAGTGGCCGTAATCGTGAAATGATGGAAGGGTGGTTTGGGAGTGTGCCCCGCTTGGGCTTGGCGGCAGAACGCGGATTCTTCTACAAGCTTCCCTTCAACACGGGGGGACAGTGGCACTGCATGGTGCAGCGGCCAGACTACACATGGAAGTCTTTTGCCTTTGAGATCATGCGGAACTTTGTGAAGCGAACACAGGGAAGCTTCATCGAGAACAAGGGCAGCGCTTTGGTTTGGCAGTACCGAGACGCAGACCCCCACTTTGGATCTTGGCAGGCCAAGGAGCTCAGCAGCCATTTGAAAGAGTTCCTGGGCCGGGGGTTGGGGGGCTGTTCTTCAGGAGCCTTGAGAATTTCAAGGAGCCGTGTTTTAAAGAAGCCGGACGACACCTTTTTTGAAGCTCGTTTTGAGCTCCCAAGCAACCCAGGTTGCTCATTGGCTATGACCTCGAGATCTTGGAAGGCAAGGGCTATGTGGAGGTCAAGGTCAGTGGCGTGAACAAGGGCGTGGCCGTGACCAAGGCACTTACCAAGGTGTCGCAGTCCTTCGGCGAGGTGGGGATTTCCGAAACTCGGGGGATCCTAATCTGGTACCTTAAGCAGTAGGATCCTTGGTAGAAGGATACCGAAAACAAGGTATCCCTAATTTTGGAAGCTCCCAGGTAGACTTCATTCTATGCATTGGTGACGACCGCAGCGATGAGGATATGTTTGAAGTGGTCAATCAGATGTTGGATCCAGCAGATGAGTTGGAGACGCCTTCGCAGGTCAGCCAAACTGAGGACAGCTCGGAGAACGACGAGAGCGTTTCGAAGCTGAAGGCCAAGTCGGATACCTCACTCCTCCCAAAGCGTCAGAGCAGTGGGAAACTCTCAGGAGGAGGCGGGCTTTGTGGCTTTGGTGGAGACCTCCGAGGGAGTTTGTCAGGTGGTTTGGCAAGCCTTGGTGAGGATAACACACCGCAGGTCACTAGAAGGTTTTTTACCTGCACTGTTGGCCGAAAGCCCAGTGCGGCGAAATTCTTCCTGGATGACACCGAGGAGGTTTCTGAGTTGCTCGCGAGTTTGAGGCAGGTTCAAGAGAAACAGGCCAAAGTTCCGTATCCGAGTGCGCGGTACGACAGTTTCACCCGTTAGTTGGATCTTGGCTGCGGCTCGATACTCAGCGTTCCTGGCAGGGCAGCTCATCATTGTATACTACGTAGGTCTTGTGATATGCCTTAACAGGCGAAGGGCCAGGCACGCTTGCAGAGCCTCACGATCGATCTCAGTATTGTCAGACGTGACTTTCAGCGGACACCAGCTGCTAATGGTTCAGCATGAAAGGACTGTAATGAAGCGCCTCTTGTCGATGCGACAGATGACAGATGGCGCGTTGACTGTTGAGGTACTGTGCCCCCACGCCAGGTTCTGCCTGCTTCTTTGAGCTGTGGTGTCTCATGATGCCGATCCTCTTGAAAAGACCCGCCTGCCAGGACCCTCCAACCAGCACTTCACAGGTCCATTGCGTCAGAAAGCTTGAAGGGAAGGTGTAGGCCACTTCCACGGCAGACCATGGACTCTTTGATCTGCAAGGCGAGTAAGGTGCCTCCAGCTGCCCACGGCTATGCATCGCAAGGTGCAGGACGCCTGTGTGACAGTGTCTCCTGGATGAACCCTTTAACCGTCGGGGTAGGGTTCTGAAACGCATTGCCTCTGACAGGAGCAAGGGAGCCTATGCCGGCAAGAGCGCCTATGCCAGCAAACGACTCCGATGATGACTTGACCGGTTGGGACCGATGAGGCCTCTTGGCTTCAGACACCACTGCTCAGTGCAAGCATGCAGCAATGTGATATGTGTTTACTCTTGGATTGCGTGCGAAAGGCATTCACACACTGGTGTCGTGAGGTACAGTGATGTTTGCTCAGCGCCCGCGTCGTGCTGAGTCCCTTGTGAAGATGTTGAATTGCAGGGCTATCGACCCACACTCTGCACCATGTGATCTGTGATCAGATTGCGTCATCAGGCAGCTGCGGACCGCACTCCGAAGGACCGTCCTCGCCGGACCTTTCTAGGGCGGCTAGGCCTCGATTCCAGACAGCGGCAAGCAACAAAAAGGCCGCAAGGAAAGATGTATAATTAAAATTTGCACCACGAAGTTACAAAAGTGCACAGCAGTGCTTTGCTGCTGCTTTCGTGCTGCTTTGCTGCTGCTTTGCCAATTTGCAGCTGCAGCTGCAACGGCTCCGACGACGACTGCGACGACGAGTGTGACGACGTTCGACGGCGACGAATACTACTATTCTGAATAGTTATAGTAATGGCATTCATATCCACAATCCTAGTAGCAAACATAACAAAAAGAATAGTGCCGACACAGCTAATATGCCAACAACACTACTAGTAGCAACAAGCCCACAATCAGCAATCATTCTTCTTGAACCTGACCTCAGAGCTGGCATTTACTCAATCTGCTACGTCTTAGCTTTTCGCAGCCGTTTAGGGAGCGGAGACGGGAGGGGGCCTGAAAGGGGAGGCTTGGAGCGCTGGATTCTCAGTGGAAGGGGGCAGGATGAAAAGGTCATTGAGCGCTTACGATGTTTAGAGCGTTGGGCTTTGAGGGTTTAGCACTGGAGTGAAGTTCGGTTTACGTGTGCCGATTTCGACAGAAGCCCGGTCAGAGAAGCAGTGTGCGTAAACTCCTGCTCTAAAAGTTTCAAGTCCGAAGCCCCGGTTCAACGCTGAAGCTTTCCAAGCTGGATGAGCAATCGACCCGCTCTGCTCACAACGTTTGGTCGTCGTGTATTCTGCATGTTCAGAATCTCGTGGTCCGTTATGGGAACGCCAGGTGCACGTGGCTTCATGTTCTCAGGAGGCCGGCGCATGGAATTCGAAAGGATCTCGCAGTTTCAGAAAGTAAGGGACCCTTTGTTGTCCGCTAAAGAGCAGGAGCCTTGGTTTACGTAAATCCACCGAGAGAGGACCCTCGCCCCAAGCTACTGCAAGAAACTCAATTCTTTCGGTTCTTTGGCATGTCTTGTCCTGGAGGCTGGGGGCTTTGCAATGCCGCCAGTGCTACGTGGCCAAAATCCGTAAAGAATCCGGTGCCATTGATTCATCTCCTTCGATACGGTACGGCCGACTTGTAGTACATGCAGTAAAGCCATCCCGAAGAGCGAACTCCAGCAACTCGCGAACCTGGCAGTTCCCTACTCCCAGGCTTTGCAGTCCGACAGAAGCACCTTCGATCCTTCACTTCTGGAATCGGACAGGCCCGACACGATGACATTCGGGGGCCGGCTTATGTCGGGGCTCTAAAGATAGGGATCCCACTGGAATTAAGGCTCCTTGAAGCTTTGGTGAAGTCCGTAGGTTCAGCCAGCTGTTGTCACAGCGACCTCCATCGCCACCTCGGCAACACCCGGAGTGCGGGGCTCAGACGGTGGCACCAGGAGCTTCTCAGCTTTCTGCGCTGCCCAGGATCGGTTCTTCCCAAGCCACTCCAGGCTCAAATGCCGAGAGAGGGTCAGAGATCATCGCAAGCTTCAGAAGATCTCAAGAAGCCAGGGCCGAGCGCGCGGCGGTGGTCGGCTGTGACGCCGGAGGAGAAAAAGGCCGGATACATCAATCGGTGATATCATGACTGCTGTATGATGATGGGACTCTTTCAGCCCACCCGATGTCAGGCACCCGCCTCGGGTCGAGGACGGGGGCAGTCGGAGTGTGGGAACGATGCGAAGGAGGAGATTCCGTGGCTCTTCGGCCCAGTTCCACCCTTGATGGAGCTTGCAGGGCTGAAGCCTCAAGCATTGACATATCTGGCTGTAGCGAGATCGACATCGCCTTCGCCGGCCTCAACTTTAGCCCAGAGCAGAGCATCGAGCGTGAGTTCGGCATCGTTTATGCCTTCTCCCCTCGTCTCTGTCCACCCTCAGAGGGCCGCCGCAAGGGCAAGCAGCGAGCCGCCACCCATCAGATGGATCAGTCCCGGCGCTCCCGCCACGCCTGCCCTGCCGGCGAGAAGCGCTTTCCACCAGTCTCCAAGAATCTCCACGTCACCCTCACCGGTGTTCCAAAGCAGGACACCTTTTCAATATGCCTCCATGCCCCTTACAGACGGCCTTAGATGGTCTCACTCGGCTCTTCCTTTCCCTCGGAACCTCTCATTTTCAGCTGTGCCTTCCATCCGCACGCGATTGCCCGACTCATTGAACGTGGCGAGCTGGGTGTCAGCCTCCCCGTCTTTAGTGAGTCCGAGCACAGCAACCTCGCAGGGGCTGGTCCCAGGGATCCCAGGGCCCATGCGGCTCCTTGAGCCCGTGACGCTTCCGCAAGCTCTACCACTGCGGCGCAGCCGGAGCCGGCCGGTGTGCACCACTTTGTTGCAGAGGATCCTGGTTCCAAGGACTCCGATCTTTCCACTGAGTTTTAGCTTTTTTTCAAACTTCGACGCTGATTCGACAAGTTGGTTGCGCGAAGTGCAGAGGATTCATCATCACTCATGGCAGCCCCAGGACGACTGCAGCAGCCCAGCCGATGGATGCCTGTCAAGCCGCTGCACAGGCCTGTTGTTGTTTGTCTGATAGGTTGCAGCAGCCCTTTGATGTCCGTTTGGCCTGCCACGGGGTTTCCGGTAGCCACAATCATGATGAATGCAACGCATGGTGGCATTGCGCTTGCTTGTAGTAGAAGACCCCATGACGTGCACTTGACCAGGGGGTGGAGGAAGCCATACAGCCGAAGATCCCCTCCCCCGCCACCTCGCCTTTGCCCTCGCCGGCTTCGCGGCCTAAGCGCCCCGAGGCGGTGACTTTCGAGTTGTTTGATGCATTCTGGTTTTTGTTGCAACTTCCTGCAGGCCAAGGCTAAAGCTCCGGCTGCAAGGTCGCCGAAGGCATCGAGGGATGGAACCCTTCTGCTTCTTGCTACTCGTCCTGCCTGTTCCTGCTCCGGCACTGCCACTGTCGCCGCTGCTGCTGCTGCTCCTGCTACTGCCATTGCTACTGCTACTGCCATTGCTGATGCTGCTGCTGTGGTGTGGTCCTGCTGCTGCTGCTGCTCCTGCTGCTATTGCTACGACGACACCGGCGACGACGACCACGACGACAACTACTTTGATGCTGCAGCTGCTGCTTCTCCTGCTACTATTCTTGTTAAAGCTATGGCTACTGCTATAGCTTCAGCTGTTGCTATTGCCTCTTGCTTCCAATATCCGTGGCTTAAACATGTCATGTGTCAGTGTTGAGGCCGCTGTTCCCCTGTGCACACGACTTTAGGACACTTGCGGGATCTTGCGGGGCGTGAATCATGTCGCTGTTGCTTGGGGTGTGAATTGAAATTATTGCTATTGCTACGCCGATTATGAATGATCATTTCTGTCATTGGCCCCACCACGCCTGCAGGCGCGCCCTGCTAGCCGCAGTCCACGCAAACGAGAAGAAGCAGCAGGCAAGGCTCTCAGCCCAAGGCGAAGCGTCTTTTGAGATCAAAGGTGCTGGGTAGGAGTGAAATGCGTGATCCGGACTGTAAAAGCTAGGCAGCCGCCCAAAGCTGCCGGGCTCCAACGCGGAGGACTTCATCTCGGGTCTCGGGCTGCGTAGCATGCCCACCCAGCCCTAAAGCCCTAAACCCTACCGTGGGAAGGACCCTGGCTTTGACGTGGAGACGCTCGCACCGTCGCCCCTTTCGCTGTCAGAGTCAACGCCGACACCGAGTGCACAGAGCCCTGGCAGCCGAGCGCTCAGCAGGATCGCATCGTGGGGGTTTCGGGCCTCGGGAACCTCAGTGTCCTTCATCGTATAAGGATCAAGCTGTTCAGGGTCTGAGTCATCTTCTGAAGCTCTGTCGTGCATCAGAGATATGACAATGACACGACCTCGGTGCACCGAGGGTGGCTGTGGGAAGCATACGAGAAGGCCAACTTCCTGCCTTTCACATGAACAGTTGGAAAATCCTTGCGATGCATTGCAGTGGCAGGTGGGCAATGTTGGTAAGGCTGCTCCGACGGACAGCATGCGGCGAGGTCCATGCATAGGACAGATGAAGGTATGCATGCCAAATAAGATCAAATAAGCAGATACTGGTGGGCACTTGCGCGATGCATCGCAGACTGAAGTTATCTATACAGCGTAAGTACATGCGGCAGTACATACGGACATATGAAACGCGCATCCCACACCTGCATACGCACGTATGTGCTTGGCCTATCGAAGGTTCAAATCTTGGAGCGAGTTATTCTCTGCAGCTGTGCTCTTGTAGCAGAGATTTCATGTTATTCTCTCTTTCAGTAGCACGGCTCTACTATAATGACTGTGACCGAGTTAAATGCGATTAGATGCTGCGTCGCCGGGTTGACCTGCAAGCTGGGCTCGAATGAGCAGTGGATGAAAGCCGATGTTGCGTTTCTGCTAGCCGAGCAAGCCAGCGACATTTGAACAACGCCTTCTCCGAAGAGCACGTCTAGAACACAACATACACAACTTACCTTGCAGTGATTCGGAGTCTGATATCAGTAGGTTAGAGGTTTGTTCCTTCCGTGCTGCTGCAATGTCAGAGACATCTTCGCCCATCGCTGCAGCAGCCACCACTGCAAACACAGATGTCGAGTTCGCACAGCTGCTCGCGCAACAGGCCATAACAATGCGCAGTTCTTTGCGCAGACTAAGACTGGATGTATCGTGTGCTTCTGGTGCAGCCGCCGCGACGTGATCTTCCATTCCATGCCCCAATCCCCCCCAAGGTTCAGGTTTTCAGAGACTTCGTGCCCAGTGCCCAGTCGGCTCAAACCTGCCACCCTAGCAGGTTCAAATCTCGCAGAATATGTTCCATCGACACCAGGCCGGAAAGGGCAAGTTCCTAGATATCACAGTTGAGTACGACAGTAAGAAGGAGTAGATCGAACTAGCACTGGGGGCGGAAGCGCCAAGCGTCAAAGCCGCCAGCGCAAGGCCGTTGTGAACTTCATGCGGATTGAGATCGAGGCCTTACGTCACGAGTTGGGAGACAAGGCCAGCGCTGAGAAACTAATGTACACCATAGCGCAATTTTCGTTTTAAAGGTACAGCTGTGCATGTTATTGCTACTATTATCTCTAGGCCGCTGCGATCCTTCAGATAGTCTTGTTGCGATGATGAGAATTTCTACAGACTACTGCAAATGTCCCACCACCACCGCCGCCGCCACTGCCACCGTCACCGCTAGCTAACTATCGTGGTGACCATTGACGGTTGCTACGGTTGTCCAGTCGTTTATAGTGAATTTTGTTCAGATCTTGTTTTACTGTTCGGTGTTAGTCTGGCAAATTGCGGTATGAGTGTACCTGAAGCCCGATTGCAAGCTCCACATGAGCGTTTCAGCCGGTGGAACCAGGATCCTCAAATTGGGGACTCCGAGATAAGGTACCGTTAGGGTTTAGGATTTAGGGTTTAGATTACTCATAAGAAGCCCTACATGCTGTGTCTGTGCTGTGGGAGGCTCTTTGGATCCCCTCGTCTCTGGACAAGCCTGGCCCAGTGTTAGCCGCACCTTAGCTTGGCTCAGTCCCAATCTTCTTGGCGACCCCAAAGGAACAAGCTAATGTAAAGGGCTGCCCGCATAGTCCCATGACTTCTTGTGCTTAATAATGCACACTATAGCGTAACTCTGAACCATGACGAGCCATGACTTCGGCTTGACTGGATCAACTATAGCCATACGTACTATAGGCTAGAGAATATATCTGCGCTGAGCTCAGGCATCCCCGGGATGGCCTCCTTCACCTCATACTGCGAGAGATCTTAGCGACAAGGGCGGATCAATTCCATATCCAGGCGGGCCTTCGGGTTTTGGGTTTAGGGAGTTTAGGGCTTTAGAGTCAAGGTTTTTTTTTGCATTCAGGCTGTGTGACTGTAGGGTTGTGGGCATGCGGATCCTTCATACTGCTGACTTGACTTGACTTGCCAGGTGCGCACTCAGACTTGGAGGAGGCACCGTGGATCAGCCAAGTACAGCGGCCCTGCCAGGGGTTTCTTTCGTATGTCTCAGAATCATAGTACACACTACTGTACTTCTTGAACTCTTCGATCCACTACAATGTATCGTCGGCAAGAGCACGCTGCTTCGATGCCTCCAGGCACTGGCTGTGGTGGCCTCCGTCGACGACCTGAATTCCGAGGCCGGGACTGTCAGGGCAGCTCACTTGTGACTAAGGGGTCTAGGGTTTGGTTCTGGGAGGCTTCTATTCGTGCTGTATGAAGTCATTGAGAGATGCGCTGCAGAAGTTATTGAGGAGTCTCCGCAAAGATCCTATGATGGTTCTACGAGGGTGTAATGATGCATTCCTCTAAGTGTTGCATAGGGACTCCTAGGGTGTTTGGGCTTACCATTTTTAAATTTTAGGGTTTAAGGTATTGAGGGTTTAGGGTTTTGTGAGTTTAAGGTTTAAGGGTTTTGAGGTTGATGATCCGCTTCGGGGAGTTGACTCTGAGACTCAGCCGCCACTTCGGAGCGTAGCAGAATTCTCCGCAACCTGTCATCTGCCAGACCAAAAGCTGCTGTGCATAGGCCGCCGGTACGCTCAGTACATATTATGGGCTTATGTTGAAGTACATGAAGGTATATGAAGTATGTGCTAGGAGTTAAGTTATTGCAGGTTGATTGCGAAGACGTTGCAGACTCGGCGCTGTGCAGGACCTGGCTGCCAATCCACTCCGGCAGCGCCTCAGACGCAAGTGACGCTCTGAATCTGAATCGGGGTCCCTTTAGGGCTCCCTTCAAGGCTTCTTCCTTGAGTGACACATGCTGGTGAGGATCCGGAGAGTGACCCATGTAGAGAACTCCTAAACCCTAAACCCCTCTCTCTCATTCCCACTAGATACGTTTCACTCGATAGACCTCGCCTGGATTGTGCGAGTGTGAGCGCCGAAACCCCTGCGAAATTGGCCTTGCAAACAAAAAGCCCTTGACCCTAAACCCTAAACCGTCAACCGTCAACTATCCCTCAATCCTAAACCCTAAATCCCACCCCCTCTTCTGGAGAGAACGAGCCATGGCCACAGGCAATCCTCCGAGGCGCGCGTCAGCTTCTCGCGATCAGCCAAGCGTCAGATGCCTGGCCTCACAGACGATTCCGAAGAGGCAGGAGTGTTGTGATGTATAATTGTGCAAAATGATATGCCGTGATATGGTATGCTATCATGTATAACTAAGACATAAGATAAAATCATGTAATGTAATATAGTATGATATGTCGTCCTGGTAGAAGCTTTTCCGATTATTGACCGGGCAGGTCTCGAGGCTGTATGGTCGCCAGCGGAACAGCACCAGGCTCCATGGGAAGCATCATTCCGAAGCGCTATGCGCTACTGCCCTCCGACTTCCTGCATGCAGGTCCCTCACCGGAAACATGAAAGCCATTGTCCCGGGACAAGTGCCGGGCATGGATACACCAACAAACAGGCCCGGGTAGGGGAGATCGCGCGAGGTTTCTCCATGTCAGATGTCATCAGATGTCAGGTCCAGCATCGTCTCGGATCACGGGCGGATGCCCAGCCGCCAGGCTGCGCACAAAGCGGCCGTTGCCCGAGCCTCCCGGGCTCGCACAGTGCCCAGGCTTATTAGAGACAGAGCGACGTGAGACGAGATTTGATGAGATCCGAGGATGAGCAGCTGCGGCGGAATGACAGCCGGACGCACACAAACGAGATGCCGATCCCCAGCAGCTTGGACTCCGAAGGCTGACTTTGGTCCTGGCCGCTTGGGGCTCCATTTTGAGGTCACACGGCCACTTCTTTCCCTTCACCGGAGCATGCGAAACCCGCTGATGCGCCGAGCTCGGAGGGTGTCAGGCTTAATCTCAGCAGGCCGCAGCCGTCAGATTTAAAATTGCGGCTAGCGTTTAATTTCAAAACAGAACCCATACCCACAGAAATTTCTGCCTAGGCCCTGAATCCGTGTTTCATGTGCTCTGGAAGTGTATTTGGGATGAGGTCGGTGCATACCCCCAGTGTCACTCACCAGTTTCGGGTTCAGAGGTTTGGGGGAAGTTACCTTTCATCGTGTCTTCAGCGCACCCATGAGCATTCTCACATGTCCTGATTGCGACTGTGTCCAACCATATGCTTGGATTAGCTTGGATCTCAGGCGGATTGTCTGGAGCCATACGAGAACTGGAACCTTGTCCGCAAGTGACCCTGTGTGGCTTCTCAGTCCTTACGGCTGCTGTCTGGCGTCCTTGATGATAACTTCTTTCGCTATTTGTCGCTTACGCTGCCCCAAGCCGTGTTGTTGCAAGCCTTTGTAATTACAAGTTGCGGAGTTTTGCTGCACCCCAAAAGGCTGCAGCTTGAAGAGGAAGCAAAGCTGGAGGACACGTCTTTCTCGGCTCTTCTGCCTTGTGCCGTCCTTCACCTTCCTCTTAGAAGTTGCCGAAATGGTAGGAGCGGCGGACCTCGATGCTGAGTTACTCCGCCCACAACATGAGGCAACTTGGATCTGTGATGCCTGTAGCCAATGCAAAGTGTGACAATATCTCGGTTTTGAAAGAAGCGTGCGCTGATGCAGACTTGCTGGGAAAATAGGTTTGCAAGCTTCGGTTTGAGTTTCGGGCAAAATGCGACACTGCTGCAGACAGAAGTGACATGCCTCTATACCTTTGTCAGGGCCAGGAAATCCGATGAGAACGAAGAGCACACAAGAGGAATTTTGGAGGCCTGGTGTCATCTCTTGTAGCTGCGTGGCATTCTGTAGGAGCTGAATTCACAGGGCCTTTTGGGTCGTCCACACTCTCCACGCAATTGAGGGGCACACTCTCTTGCGATGACACCTCCAAACCCAAATCCTAGAATTCTACAGCCCCAACAACGTGAAGCTACGCCAAAGGGCCTCAGCCCAAGCCTTCTAGCTGCTAAAGATCCCGTTGGCAAGCTGTGAGGCTATCGTCATGGCACCAGATGGTAAGCGTCGGCTGAGACCTGGCTTTGTGAAGTTCATGAGAGCCTTGTTGTCTTCGGGCCTTGGACCACCAGGATCTATAGCTTACTGTACCCCCCCCACCAGTTGGATGAGCAGCATTTCTGAGGGTCTGGCTCGTGTGCTCGTTGGCACTCATCGCCTATGCGACTCGGCCGACACAGAAATCTGCACAGTGACTCGACTGCCTCTCCGCCTACGAACATGTCTCTGCCTGCCCAACATTCGGCCACAGGACATGATCCTGGTGCCTTTGTCTGTATACAACTTGGACATGTCCGGATTCGAGCCCCTCGGCTCATCTCGGTTCGCTTCATCGCTTGCACCATCTTCGCGCCCTCGTGATCGGGTCGGCCGAAGAATGAAAAGACGACAGGACAGCATGGCACAGCCAAGGCACCCGATGACAATCCTATCTGCGACCTTCTGGACGGTGGACTTCGTCCTGGGATTCTTCGTGGGCTACTATGCCTCGGGGAAATTGGAGAAGCGGCCGTGTCAGACAGCAGCGAACTATGCCAAGACCTGGATGGTGCCTGACCTGGTGTTGCTGATGCCTCCAGGCTGCATGAAGCGAGAGCAATTCGAAGGCGATCCATGGCATAGATGTCGTGTCACAGTTCTGTGCAAACTTGACGGTGCGGTGATGGCTTCTGAAACGAAGCATCCCACCAGGGCCTGCTTTTTCAGGTTCGAATGGATCGACGCCGCGGTGCCCGACATCCCCTCACTGCCGAGCCTCATTCGCTCAACTCGCTCCTTCCGGATTTTGCGCTTTCTCAAGCGCCTCTGCGACGTAATCGAGCGATGTTTAGCACAAGGTGAAAGATGGCGATGGTGGGCGGTTCGATTCGGTCCATGGGTCACAGAAGCTCTCTGACCATGTCACGGCCTGCGCACGAGCTCCACGTCTGAGGTCAGCGAAGCTGCTCCGCGTTGCCAAAATGCCAGGAATCTTCAGCTATCTGCCTCGGTTCATCAGCCGGTCCGGCCCCTAAAGGGCTCGCCTGGGTTAGGATTTATGCCGTCCAACTTTGCCATCATACTAAGTTTCTGAGATTCGGAGGTAAGTTGAGAAGGTTGTGGTGATGTCACAAGTCTCTTACTGCACAGCATGAAGATCGTGGGTTGGAGGTTCCGCCGCTTACCCCAGCCCAGGAGTTCAACCGTCTTAGTCCCGACACTGCGCGAACATAGCAGAGGCACAAGCCCCACTCTTCTTCACGCTTTCAAGGTCAAACCCGCCGAACTGTGTAGGTGTGAGCAGGGGACAGGAGGAGCATTCCACAGTGTGCTGATTCCCTGGTGTCCCCGTTATTATCCCACCAACTTACCGCTCTACCGTCTCCTGGATTCACCAGGTCGGAATACATCACATTGAGCCTTGGCATCGCTCGGCACCCGGAGCTTCGGAAGTGTAAGCACTACTATGTACTAGTACTACCATTCAAGATGCTCTGAAAATCTCACTGCAGCCTTGTCAGGTTCGCCACCTTTTGGGAATCCTCTTCATCAACCACGTCATCGCCTCGTTCTGGTATCTGCTCGGCCAGGACAGGGTGGCTGCGTGGAATTGTAAAGTGAGCACTGTTCGTTCGCATTGATCCTGCTCGATTCTTGCGCGAACTCTCTCGCAGGAAGAGGGTGGATGGCTGGAAGTTTACGAGATCCCTGTCACGGACTGGTGGTCCCTTGCTGCAGTTTTGTGCCTTTTCTTTTGTGCAAAAACTCGGTGCCTGATTTGATTCCGGATCGGCGTGCGTGTGTGTGTGCGCGTGTGTGTGTGTGTGTGTGTGTGTGCGCTGGCTTTCCAGCATTGATGCCTTCGAGGTATTCGTATCTCATCACTTTGCATTGGAGCTTGACCCAGTTCACGCCTGCGAGCATGCACGCTTGAGCCTCAGGGGCCCACAAGTGGGGCACTTGGTGTACGCTGAATCCTGAGGACCATGCCTAAACCCTGCACCTGCTTTACCCAACGCCATAAAACCCGAGCGAGGTCACGCCCCATACTTTGCCCGAGCGTGCCTTCAATGTCGCGGTGGTCATCTTCGCGTTGGTCACCTTCTCGTCCTTCGTGTCGGCAGCTCAGTTCCTTTTTGGGTCCTGGTCCTCTTTAAGGCAGCACTTTACGACTTATGGTGCAGTGATACTAATTGCGGCTTAGGAGTTCTAGGGGTTTAGGGTATATGGTTTCGGCACGTGGGCTTCCGGTGGATGACAGGTCAACAAGTCTTGCAGCTGTGTCTGGAGAAGTTCACTGCAGGTCAAGCATAACGAACTTGATGACCCATCTGCGAAACCTGGAAAGCGGAGAACGAATTCTGTTCTCCAAGCTCGAGGATTTCATGCAAAGCCGGCAGCTTGACTGGACGGGATCAGTGGCAAGACTTCCGCTTTTGCCAGGGTTTCGTAGCGACGCTTCCGGAACGCCATTCGTGAGTGCAGCTTGTTGTCCAGCAGAAGGAAGTTCTCATCCGACTTGACGAAGCGCGTGCGTCGCTATCTCGATCAACGACTGGCCGAGAAGCGATCGCAGCCCGAGGCTGGCGTCTGGGGCTTTGGTGAGCTTTGGTGTGCGGGCAAAATTGCCTGATACGGGTCGCGCCCTTCGGCAGGAGGGAGATATCGAGTTGCTGCAGAGGCTGCACGGAGCCAAGCCCGCACCGGCCTGGAGCGCTTCGTGGTCGAATCCCTGTGGGAACGAGGTCAGAGCCCTTGCGGATGGAAGTGCATTTCGAGATGCACAGTCGCGACCTCAGTCGATGTTCTTTGTGATTCGGCTTTTGCACGAGGAGACCTCGTACTGTACCTCCGAGGACCAACTTTGACCAAGCACCCTCTCTTCCACGCATATTGGAAAAACAACAAGCCGGCCATGATGAAGTTGTGCCACACCGCCTTGAAAGCAATGCAGCTCTCTGAGCACGACTTCCTCTTCACTCAAGGCGAAAAGGCCAAAAGTATGTACTTCGCACCCTGTCAGCAGAGTTAGATGAGCCGGGTTCATGACTTCTGAGCCGAGCTTTCAAAAACATCGTTAATGCACTCTGAGTCTGACTGAGGTCACGTCGGGTTGTCTCCTCTACACTCGGGTCATCAATGGCTTGAAGAAAGAGAAGAAGGTTAAGGCGTGGATGGTTCTATTTGGATTTCGTAAAGCGTCCTGCCGGGGTACTTCGTAGGCCTTACAAAAAACAAGGCTGCCTAGAGACTCTCGAACTTGCATGCCAGCCTCACCTTGGCGGCTACGTCACGGCAGAGAACAAGCCTACCTTCATCAGCGAGATGGTCGGGGTCCTGGCAGCAAGCTCCAATCTGCAGCACACAGTACGTGCAGATTTGCTTTGCATGTAGCATCCTCTCTCCTTCGACTGGCTCACGAAGGACGTAGGCTTGTAGGCAGATTGGGGCCTTTTTGAATCAAGGCGGGCACGGACACTTTTTGGCAGTTACGTCCCTTGCCAAGGTGCTGTGGTGCCCTTGGAGCCATTGTGGGTCGATGCAAGCCACTGCTGACTGCAAGACTCCAGGCGGCAAGTCCTGGTTGTCTCTACAAGGCTTGGAAGCCACGAGTGCTGCGAAGATCTCGGAATCATAAGGATTCTTTGTTTGGATCCTTCAAAGCTCTATGATGTGGTGCAACAAGCCAAGATTTGCCAACATGAGGTGGGCGGGGATGTTTGGGAGGGATTCTTGAACAGTTTCAACATGCCGCAGCTATGGTGGGACTGGGCGCCAGGTTTGCAGCTATGCAACGGAGGCCGTGTACGCGCAGTCCAGAAAAGACGAGGACGGCGCAACGTAGCCTTCATCCTGCTTACCTTCACAGGGCTGGTGGAGTTGTGCCGGCAAACCGTGGCGGTCCCCTCCCAGACTATTAACCGAGGCGTGGCCGTTTGGTAAGTCAGGTCTCACAGGACATGGATTAGTGTGTGGGGGTTTGAACATCGGGCCAAGAACTGGGAAATATGCGTGGGGGCTCGCAAACTCGGTGTTGGCAGGACCAGCGGAGCGATCTCTGGAAGCACAGGCCTCGCAGGCTCGTGTGATGACATGTCAGTTGCGCACGTTTCTGAGCTAGCCCCAATCCCTAAAGACGCCTGGCATGTCCGAGTGTGAGCCCCAAAACCCTGAACCTCAACAAGCTCCGCAAATCCGGCGCAACCCCCCAATCCCCAACCGCCCGCAACAAGCAGGATCGTGGAGATCAAGACCTCCAAGGAGTTCCGAGATACCTTGCTGGATGGATACGACAGGACGGGACGGCCGATGGTTGTAATAGAATGCGGAGCACAAAGCACCGTTATAGTAGTCTACAGTTTGTCTGACGGCTTTGGTCAAGCATAGTTTCGCTACTGTCTCGTGGAAAAGCAATACAAAGCAGTGCACGGTGAAATGTAGCAGTATGTTGCAATCTACGACTTGATACGTGCTATCATGAGTGTAATGTTTGATAGGTGATACGTAGTACTGTATGTAGTATGTAATATATGTATGTATATATGTATGGGTGTATATTATGTATGTATGTATGTATGTATGTAGGTATGTAATTTTAACGCTACGCCGCCCGCCTCGGCTGTGTAGCGGCAGGCCGAGGGGGCAGTCGATGTTTTTCTATGCTAGGGCGGCCTGTCAAACCCCACCTTTACACGGTTGTTGATAGAAGTGCGAGGAGAACGGGCACAAGGGGGGTGGAGGGGGGGGGGGAGGGGAAGGGGGGGGGAGGAAACTTGTTAAAGCCTCGCGGCCGGACCGCGCAAAACAGGAAATGACAAGACGGAAGGAGCCTGCACACAAGGAAAAGCAAATTGAAGCAAGAGTTTAAGCCCACAAGGCACCGGGCAGGCACGGGAGAAGTGAGGGGCGGGGAGAAGGCGGAGAAGAAAGGGGAAGGGAGGGGAAGGGGCGGGGAAGGAGGAGGGAGAGGCGGGGGGGGGAGGGGGAGGGGGGGGCGGAGGGGGGCGGGGGAGGGGGGGAAGGGGGGGGGAGGGGGCCTGTGAGGGAGAGGCAGGCCAACAAATCAGGTAAAATGAAGGGAAGCCGGGCAAGGGGGTGGCAAACGAACGCAAAAAACGGGTGTCCCCAAACATTTGGACTGCAGGGAGGAGGATTAGGTGAGGTAACACCCAAGACGCCTGGGCCTGTGGCCTCGGCGGATTATGTGTGTATGTCTATGCATATGCATACATAGTGACTGTGGAAGACTCAAAGCCTTGAACATTCCGAGCGATTTCTTAATGGCTAAGGTTTCGGGGTTTTCTGACTTTTAGTGCTTAGGTGTTGGGGGTTTTCTTTTTGCGCACTTAATCATGCACAGCGGCTCAGGACTTTCAACCGCCACAACTCTGCAGGTTGGAGCGGCTGTCAATTTACTTGTAGTGATGGGTGTCCTGCGTCACGCATTCCATTGCGCCGGGTTCTGTGTTTGGGTTTCTTCTTGATGTCTGAAACTCTCCTTGCGCAACGCCCGTGGCAGGCATGATGGGAAGAGCGATACGAAGGGGTGGCTCATTGCAGCCGCAGAACCCACTGCCTCTTGGCTTATGACCAGATTAAATCAACGACCGCTCTCCACGTTGATGCCAACAATAATTGCTGCCCCAATCTTGTCGCTGGCCTCAGTAAACTTGAGCATGTTTTGCGTGGGCTGGCCTTAGTGACAGCAGCTACTACGCTCGGCCCATCGGTCGCCACACCACCAACCTAACGCTCCAAATCAGAACTGTAAAGCCCAAAATACCCCAATAGAGCCCTTGCAAGTCCCCCTTTACATGATCTTCCAAAGGGAACACCCTAACCCTTAACTCTAAGCTCGACTCTTCTCGAGCACAGAGTCGGCGGACTCCAAGGCGCTCCGAGTCTGAAACCGACGTCTCCTCGGAGGGCAGTCTCTACTCGCGCCTGGATCTGTATGAACATGGGGCCCTGGGTTCAGGGTTCAGGGTGTAGGGTTTAGGATGGGGGTTCCAAAGAAGTCGGGTAGGGGAACTTAGTGTTTAGGTTTTGTTTTTCAGTGAGCCTCTCTCTCTCTCACTCTCTCTCTCTCTCTCTCTCTCTCTCTCTCTCTCCTCGCTCCCTCTTCCTTTGTGCTGCGTGCATGCTTTCATGCCTCCCTTGAGCCTTGTCCGCCGAAGGCTCGACGAGGTGAAGCGGATCGTGGAACAGGAGAATGAGATGGGACTGATGGAAGGGGGGCGAAAAAGCTCCGAGATGTCCGAAGCTGAGCCCGTGAAGGTGCCACTGAACAAGCCGCCCCAGCTTCACGCCTAGGCGGGTGGCTTTTTAGGATTCGACCCCACGCCCCCACACTTTCATGTGCCTTAACCTTGGCAGAAGGGCGCCGGAGGCGCCTGTACAGTCTTTTTTAAAGGAGTTGCAGGTCATCGGGTCCGCCGTGTCTGCGACTCTTTGGAAAATAGAGCCGTCAGGGTCACAAGAGTCGCCGCGGGCGACCTGGGGTGCGAGTTTTACGCTGGGACAAGCGCGTCGGTACCTTCTGTACCAACCCGTGAAAACCTGTTTGCAGCTGTGTAGCTGATCGTAGGATCTCGAAGGACGGTTGATTTGCGGTCGGTCCGCAGTCAGCCTCTGCATTCCTCCTAAGGAGGAGTGCTCACGTCACTCACATATCTGAATGGTGCCGTCGGCCTGGCTGATGTCAGAGGTTTAATCTTCTGTGTCTGACAGGTTTTGCAACTCACATCTCGTGTCTTGCTTTGCGGCCGCGCGTCTGGAAAAGCCTTTACTTTGAGCGCTGCTGGTTGTGAAGGCGGTGGTTGGTGTTGGTCGTGTAACCTCGAACTTCTGCTATGTTCCCAGAGCCGATCTTGGCAGGTGCGGCAACGCCAAAGGCAACTCAACCTCTCAAGGCATGTCGGACCTGCATTTGGGAGTGCTGTTCGAACAGAACCGAGAGGTGAACGTGTGGGTTGAGGCATCATGATAATATACTACTCCGGGTCTTGTATTGATATCAACTTGCGGATGTCCTGGCAGCTCAAGGTGCTCAAGCATTCATTGTTCATCAGCTCATCACAGCTCATCATGCCCGCATGCATATTTTCGTGGCGCCTGGCCGACGGCGGCCGTCGGCATTTGCCTGTCCTCCCAGCTCCATCCGGTGACCCTGTTTGTCGTGTGGCCACTGCTAGCCTTCCCTTTCCGATCGGGTATTGAGCATGTATTGTATGACCGTCGACTTGCCTCAGCATGCAAGCTTGCTCTGCCGCTCAACTTTTGCAGGCCGTTCCATCTCGAGCCAAGCCAGGCCCCAGCGCACAGTCTGCTTGCATAAACCTGTCTAGATGTTGCTGTGACTTTAACAGACTGTGCAAAAGTCTGCCTTGACTAGAGCACCGGGCAGGGCGGCCGACAGAGCAGAGGCCAGAAGCAGCAAGCTGCTCTCTTTGTCCGACGAAGCTTTGCAAGCACCCCCCTGGTGGAGGCCACGCCTGCCAGATGCTGGAAGGACCGGCAGCAGCCCACAGCGCCGCGCTGGAGTCCAGATGCGCTCAAGCGCCACGCGCAATGAAATGGAGGGTTGGGCCTGCTTGTGGCCGCAGCTTGTGGATGTACTCCATCCATCCATCCATCCATCCATCCATCCATCCAGCCCTCCCTCCCTCCCTCCATCCATCCATCCATCCATCCATCCACCCACACACCCCACCCACCCATCCATGCATCGTCCATCATCCATGCAAGCATGCATACAACACCAGCGCGTACACATGCGTTAATGCATACAGAAGAGACAGACATAGAGAGACAGACAAACAGAGAGACAGACAGACGGCCAGCCAGCCTCAGCCAGCCAGGCAGTCAAACAAGCAAGCATATATGCGTATGTACATACGTAGGTAGATACGTACATGCACGCGCAGGCATGCATGTATGCAAGCATAAATGTCTGGCATCCATGTCTGTCTGTCGATCTATCCGTACTTGCAAATGGAAAAGTATGTAGATGTTTATACAAGCACACTCATGTATCTATGTAAGTTAGGAAGTAAGTACGTATGCATGCGTACAGTCTGATACTGTATGTTACTGAAGAGAGCCACACAAGTACCATACAGGACCATACATGGTACTGTATTCCGATGTATTGAATTACATGTTTATATTAGTATATCGCTAAATGCTTTTTTCATGAGCGTATATTATCATATGATTGCGTGTGTGTAAATGCATGTACATACACATGTCGACGTGTTATGACGCGTCACGGTACACTACTATATATCACTGATTGTGTTGGTTTGATACAGGTACATATTATGTGTGTATATATGTACAAGTGCATGTGCATATACATACATACATATGGTGTACATCTGTGCGTATATGTGTGTAACAATATCTATATGCATATACATACATACATACATACATATATATATATATATATATATAGGTATAATATGTATACACGTACATATACACGTATATACGCAGGTTTGCACGTAGACTACACTTGCTTAGATTCCTGCAAGTTCTTGCATACAGGCCATGTTACCATGTACTGTCGGATCAGCACTATCAGCCTTCGTGTTCGTGACAAGCTCCGCCGCATTCGACTTGACTCACGAGCTGACGTAGAGGGCCCCTTACTTCCTTGGGGTGCGGCCGATGCGCTAGGCCGCTAGGCTGAAGCAGCGGACTCAGAGAGAAAACATGCCAGTCCAGTTGAGATGCAATCAGAATCAGCATGTCTTTCAGGCGGCCATGCCTGCGAAGATAATCGATGTGGACTGGAACAAACATCACATAGGCCAGGGCTGTTTGGAATCGGAGAAGCCTCGTTTGTCTTTCGTTTGCCGCAGGGGCATCCGAATGGGAAAGCCGACATCAGCGTCGCTATCTGCAGCGCTTGGAGCACTATCACAGGACATTGCCGAGTTTCAGTCTTGCACTGTGCGAGAGCCTGATCCTGCATCCCAGGATGATTGCGGCGGGCGAGTATACACCTCCTGTCAAGGCCCAGCGACGGCACTTTTGAAGGGGCCGTGTCCTCTTCGTGCATGGTGATCTTAGAGAAGTCTGCAGGGACCTGTGCCTGTATAGTTCGCAAGCGGATCAATGCACACTGGGCCGGGTCGTGCTCCGAGCAGGCGCCCTTGGTGTCACAGTCTGGGCCTTTGCGAGCCGAAGAGGGAGCGGTCAGCGGGTGCAGCTCTTTTCCCAGGTCAACGTGTGCCGACTCCGCCCGAGCCGGCTCCCCGAGAGTTTCGGAGAATTCAGGCATTTGACTTCTCTTGCCCTGCAGTGGAACGTGAAGGTTCCGACGCAGGCGTCGAGAAGCTTGGCGCTGAGGATGGCGAGCGCCAGCTGGGAACCGAACACGCGAACACCTCTTGGATTTGCCCCATCTTCGCTGAGGTTCCCGAGGCTGCCCGACTGCACCAGGATCTGCAGGCCGGGAAGCTTAAACAGCGCCGGCTCGGGATTCTTCCATGGCTGTGATGCCTGTCCAGCCGTGCCTGAGGTCATCCAAGAACCCCTTCCACCTCATTGCTACGGTCCCAGATCTCTGAGTTGTCTCTCTTCGTTTACCCTTCGACTCAAGTGCATAACACAAAGGACGACACTTTGGCGCCGCTGCCTCTCATCTCCTGATGGCTTGCGTCCTCCCTCTTCAGCCTTGTCAGCAATGACGCCCTCAACGCGCGAGCGCCGCGAGCCGAGATGGGAAGAAGGCCCACGGACAACAACGGAAGAACGCTGCGCACGCCCACAGCACGGCACCGAGGAGTGCTGGAGCGGCTGCGCTCCAATGAGGCCACCGGCCACCACCAAAGGTAGAAAACGAGCATTCAAGAGCTGTTCTTCGGTTCCTCGCCGCGACTCTCGTCGGGTCGTATCTTCGAGTGAGGCTTGGTTCACCGCCTGCGAGCGAATGGGCAAGGAAGAGTTGCTGGACTTGGTGGAGTGCGCCACTGACAGTGGAATTGTGGTCTGGAGGTTCAGGTCACAGGTCAGATCAGTAGGTGGGAAAGGTCCTTGAGGATTTTCACTCCATTGTCCTGGTGTCTTCAGTGACCGTCAGCAACTCCGACCAGACGGCTGTTCCACAGTTGCCACACGATGCCTTTCCCAGGCATGTGCACGGGAAGATAGTGGACGAGCGACGGCGGCGAAAAGAGGCGCTTGTGCCGCCTTGCAGCCCCTAAAAATCTAAGCGAAACCATGCAACAAATGACTCCGGTAGGTTACTATAGAGGCCTAAATACTATTTTGGGGGTTCCTTGTTGTAATTGTAGTATCAAAGCCCCATTCCAATTATTAAGGCCCCTCTCCTAGGTAACTTTTTGGGAGCCCCCCTTTGGCGAGGTAGAGGCCGAGCTACTGGCGGCGCAGAGCCCAGGCAACCGCGATCCTGTGGGGATTTCTGGCTTCTTAGGGTTTAGGGCGTTTAGGGAGTGGGGACTTCATTTAATAAGTAGAATTGGGTTTTGGGGGCTTCCTTATCATGATTATAGTATAATATTTCCGGTCTTTCTTGCTGAAGGGGGGTTCTTCAAACATAGTGAGGTCCTTACATATCTAATTTTGGCAGGTGCGGCTTTGGGGTTTAGTTCAGGGATTTCAATGCTGGGTCGGCTTCTTAAGCCCAGTCTTGTGAGGAGTGGATGCCATGCAGAATTGCGCTCCTCAGCTGTAGGAGTGTCGGCGAGGGATGCCAACCCCAAGAGGCCAGTGCCGGTTCCGAGCAGATTCTTGTTGTAACTGATCAGATTCCGGAATGCAGCGAAGACAGTTCGTCCGCTGTGATTGGTGTTGCTGCACTCTGCAGTCTTGCCAGGTAGCGCGGTCACTGCAGCTGCTGTGTTAATGAGACCCGTCGCGGAGACTGCTCACGGCGCGCACCCGGTGTAGAAGCCGCGGCGAGAAAGGTATTTACCGAGGTGAAATGGTTAACGAAGAGATTTCCACTGCGAAGAGAGTGGTGGGAGGGGAGGATTGCAGGTTGCTATCCGCCCAGATCCTGAAGCAGGGCATTGACTCCTGGATCACTACGAATCCCTGCAACTCCCCTGCAAGTGCATGCAGGTAGGAGGGTTCACAGCACAAGCTGTGACCGCACCGGGGACATGCCAAGCATTACTCGGAAAAAGTGAACTCAGGCGTCACCCAACCACGGGGCAGTAGCGTAAGACCCGACCCCATAAGATCAGGGGGAGCCATCAATAATTCCGTTCTTCTTTCAGTGGTCGCCAACCACAAGTTCGGTGCCTTTGTCTTGGCCAAGACTGTGGCCAGGTGTACGGTGTACTTCCTGATCCTCGCAATGCACGTTCGCAGAACATGATTTTGGACGTTTCTTCATTTGGAAAGGGGATGTTTGGGTGCAAGGTCCGTGCAGTGAGCATGAGCGTTCCTATCAGCTGTCGAATAGGGATGTGTTGCTTGGCATTGATCGTTTGAGCATGCCTAACACCACCGGAAGGCTCTTAGCGCACGCATGCTCTGTTGTGCTCAGAGAGAGTCACCTAGCGAGAAGCAAATTTCGACATGTCAACCCATAGCTTTAAAGGAGCTTCCACACAAAACACCCTGGAATGCATCCTGCAACACTGTGTTCGCCACTGTGGCCACGCCACGAGGATAATGGCACTGTGGTGAGGGTCCCAGGACATACGTAAATCCTACACCGAAGACCCTGGAAGGCTGAACCACAATTTTTTTTATACCAAAGACAACCACCACGCACTTACTTTGTCCCCTTTTTAATGGGGAACTTCAATTCCGTTCAGGGTTGGTCTATGGTTTGAGCAACTCATTGCTAAGGGCTTTCGAACGCGTTCCGTAAAGGCCCCTGGGAAGTGCCCCAGCTGCTGCGACGAGTTGTTTTTGCTCCACTACGCTATGCTATGCCATGCCATGCCTTTTTAGGTGCTGTTTTGTTACGATAGGCACGTATTGTGTTGCTATGATATGCCATGTTATGCGATGTTATGTCATGCTAGATGGTATGTATTGCTGTGTCTTGAGGTGTTGTGGTGTGGCATGTTGTGTTAATTTTTGGTAGGCTATGTTGTCATACGCGTATGTTATGTCATGTTACCTCGATGTGAGGTTATGTTCTGTTATGTTATGTTCTGCTCATGGATATTTCCTGTATATTTGTATATGCCGCCAGATTCTCAGAAAGACGGTGGAGACTTGAAGCTGCATCACTAATCTTCACATTGCGGCCGCACGGGGGGGAGAATTAAAGTCGTCCGCGCCACTCGCGCCACTCGCTCCACTCGCGCCACTCGCTCAGTTCAAGGAAAGAGTGGAACAGGTAACGTACAGGGGCGACTGGAGCGAGTGGCACGAGTGGAACACGCTTCTAGTGGAACGACTGGCACGATTGGAACGGTCGGAGTAGTGGAGTAGCTGGCCCTTAAATTATAAAGACCCGACTCTCAACATCCCAAAACCTCGTCCGCGCCACTCGCGCCACTTGCGCCACTCGGGCCACTCGCGCCACTCGCGCCACTCGCGCCACTCGCGCCACTCGCTCCACTCGCTCCACTCGCGCCACTCGCTCCACTCGCGCCACTCGCTCAGTCAAAGGAAAGAGTGGAACAGGTAACGTACAGGGGCGACTGGATCGAGTGGCACGAGTGGAACACGCTTCTAGTGGAACGACTGGCACGATTGGAACGGTCGGAGTAGTGGAGTACTAGTGGAGTAGCTGGCCCTTAAATTATAAAGACCCGACTCTCAACATCCCAAAACCTCGTCCGCGCCACTCGCGCCACTTGCGCCACTCGGGCCACTCACGCCACTCGCGCCACTCGCTCCACTCGCGCCACTCGCTCAGTTAAAGGAAAGAGTGGAACAGGTAATGTGCGACTGGAGCGAGTGGCACGAGTGGAACACGCTTCTAGTGGAACGATGGGGTACGATTGGAACGGTCGGAATAGTGGAGTAGCTGGCCCTTAAATTATAAAGACCCGACTCTCAACATCCCAAAACCTCGTCCGCGCGCCACTCGGGCCACTCGGGCCACTCGCGCCACTCGCGCCACTCGCGCCACTCGCGCCACTCGCTCCACTCGCTCCACTCGCGCCACTCGCTCCACTCGCGCCACTCGCTCAGTTAAAGGAAAGAGTGGAACAGGTAACGTACAGGGGCGACTGGAGCGAGTGGCACGAGTGGAACACGCTTCTAGTGGAACGACTGGCACGACTGGAACGGTCGGAGTAGTGGAGTAGCTGGCCCTTAGATTACAGACCCGACTCTCAACATCCCAAAACCTCGTCCGCGCCACTCGCGCCACTCGCTCCACTCCCACTCGCTCTAATCAGTGGAACAGGTAACGAGTGGAGCGAGTGGAGCGAGTGGAGCGAGTGGAGCGAGCGGAGCGAGTGGAGCGAGTGGAGCGAGCGGAGCGAGCGGAGCGTGGAGCGAGTGGAGCGAGTGGAGCGAGTGGAACGAGTGGAGCGAGTGGAGCGAGTGGAACAGACGGATTAGCGCCCCCCAACGCCGACACTCTTAATCTTCAGCCTGAAGAGCTATGAGCCGGCATGATGAATGAGGCAGATTTGTGGTAATTAGGCCTCCTGCCTCCGAGGTCCGCGTTCTTGATTATCAAGCTGAGACTGCAAGCGGCCATCCCTCCTGCTCCGGATTCCCATGATCTTTGCTGTTGCTTCTTGTGAATCGTGCGCCCATCGTCGGCAACCGCCAATGCTTCCTAAGAAAATATTGCAAGCGGGGTAGGGGGCTGAATGATTGCGCCATGGCACAATCATTTCCAGCCCCCGAAATGATTGCAAAGGGCCACAAAAGTCGTGTTCCCATGTGATGATGCATTGGCTGCAAAATGATTGCCATCCTGCTAGGGTGTTTCCAAAGAAATGATTGCAACGGGTTAAGCGTCCTGAGTGAAACCTGATCGGTATCTCCGGGCTCAAACCCACGACATGTCACGCCTTCCAAAGATTCGTTGGGCGTGAGTCGTGCCGAAGACCGGTGCGTCAGAGCCTTTCGTAGCCGTGGCCTTAGGCGTGTTTTCTGTTGAGCCAAACATGGTGTGAAGTCTGAGTGATAGGGACTTTCAGCCCTCATGCAGAACTTGAGTCGTAGGGACTTGTATCTGAGATGTCCGGATCAGCACGGCAAGTACAGAGACAACCCGTCAGAAGCGAGGAAAGGCATCAAACAGCACCCGATCTACCTGCATGTCTTTAGATAATTTGTTTACTTCCGTGGAAGCATGTGGTTACGTACTATTACGTACCAAAGGCTTATCCCCACCTATGCTTCTGATTACTACACCTATCGGTATATGTTTCCCAACATTCGCTCCGTTGATTTGGGCGGCCCTCTGCAGCTTTGCCATGGCATCCACAGCCTCGCCGCAACCGATGGACTCGGCCTGGGCCTTGGATCAGGGCTTTCGGGTTCAGGGGCTTAGGAAGTTAAGGGTCTTAAGGCTTTTCGGGTTTATGGAAGTCGAAGATTGGGGAGATCCTCTAGGGTTGCAGAGAGTTTCGGCATCATGGGGTGTCGGGTGATGCGCTTTGCAGAAGATCTGCGCTCCCAGCCGAGGCATTTGAGCAACTCCGTGCCGACTGCTCTTCGAAGGACAAGCTCCTGGAAGAGAGCCGCCAGGCGCTGTTGAAAGCCCGGAAAGGAGCCCTGAAAGCTTAAGAAACGGTTCTGTGAATTAGATTGGGGCCCCTTTGTTGGATCACCTCAAAAAGGCATCACTCTTGTAACCAGGACCCGGAATCAATCGCGACCCTTATTTTGAGCTCCATTCCAGGATGGCTTCTGCTCCCCTGAAGTTTTAAAGCCCCAAACCCCCCAAAGCCACTAAACCCCACAATTTTACAGACATAGAACCCTTGATCCCTGAACGTAAGGCCCACAGGCTCCGCCTTCCATGCGTTTCGCGGACAGAGAAAACCATCCAACAAGAAATCTAACTGGACCTAACTAGAAAACCCGGAGGAAGCCATCTGCCAGGCTTTGGAGCGCTCACGCCATGAGGAGGATCGGAGATTGCGGGAAGCAGCCGTTGAGCAGCGCAAGAAGGCGCTTGTTCAGGGGTATTTAGAGGTTGTGGGATGTGGTGTTCAGTGGTTCAAGTTTAGGAGGTAGGGTTTAGGACGTGGAGCTACTCGCCTCTCGAATCACTGCGGCAGCCCCAATTTCGGTAAGGCATTGCTGGATTTCTGTGCTTTCGTCGAGAGCGCATGAAGCAGTTTCTTTTGTTCGTCTCCCACGCTTAAGTCCACTGTCCGTAGTTGGTACGAAACTCCAGTGGTTTCACCTGCGAGGACTCACATACCTGGTCTTACCACCGTACAGTACATGTGCATGAGTAGACCGAGTAGACAGTACGGCTGAGGCGGGAGGTTCGAGGAGTGTTCCGAGTTCAAAAGCTCCATCCGTATCTTTCAACTGCACCTGCAGTTCTCGCGCGTGAAGCAGCTGTAGGCAGGGAACATGTGTTACAATGCAACAGCAGGGACCCTTTTGCCAAACAATATCCGTAGTCTCGATGCAGCAAGCCAATGTTTTCGCAAGCAGGCGCAAGAAGAGAGGGCTGCAACCAAGCAGGTGCTGACAGAGATGCGCCAGGCAGGGTAATCCGAGCAGGACATTGCACATTGTGCAATGCTGCTTTGCCGAAACGGCCAAGGTCCGGCAGAAAGTGCATGGCCAGCTTCGAGCTGCTCAGGTCTTGCAAAGTCAGTTGAACACATAGGGGCGAAGCAAAGAGCCTAGAAAACACGCGAGGCACAAGCCTTCCACAGCACGAATGCAAGCCATCAGGCCGTGGCCTTACTTGGCTGGGGGCTCTGCAGCCGTTCTGTCGTGTTTTTGAATCCAAGGCCTTGGTGAGGGCTGGCAAAAGGGCGCTCACTGCGTTCGGACCTTACGGCTGGGAGTTGCAGACACAGACTTCAGAACTTCAGACACTTTGTGGAACCCAGGCGCAGCCACACGGAGCAGTGGGAGGCCGGGATTGTATCTTTTGGTTCAGCTTCTCTGGGGCGGGTTTCTTCGCACCCGGCTCTGACAGCTAATCCGAACTTGCCTCAGAAGCTGTGCTTACGCGGCAGGCACAAGCCGATGTGGCTGAGAAGTGGGCTGAAAACAGCCTGCAGCGGGAGCTCGTGGGATGGCATGAATGACCAATCATACATCATTGAAGTTTTCAACATGTCATATCGACCCTGTGAGTTCGAGAGTTCGCAGCAGAAGCGTTTCATGCAGCTCGCTGTCAGACATGCAGGAGAAGGAGTATGTCAGCAGTGTGAAGGATGCAGCCGAGAAGAGAACTGCCGTGAACCTATGCGTCACACCTGTTCTCCTCTCATGCATCGAAGTGCACTGGGGCCATCGTATGAGGCAGCCATCCACGGTGTGACCGGGGATCGTGTTCAGAAGAGCCAGGAGTTGCGTGCTCAGGGTGTCTCATGACATTAAACAGTGTCCCAGCTGCGCTGGGATGTGCTTTAAGGCTCCTTTTGTCTTCAAAGCAGCAAGAGCAAGCAGTGAAGCTGCTGGAGCCCGAGATTGGCTTGGCAGCCGACGGTTGCCCGTTGCCGCCTTGGCAGGCACTCTCACAAGCAGCTGGAGACGCAGGTGCAGCAGGCTGCACGGCATGCTCAGATAAAGGCGGGTCTGACCTGGGTGTACCGCAGGCCTTGGCTTCTGCCAGTGTTTTGGCAAACCTTGGCAGCAGGTCGACAACTCAACACGAGCCGCAGATGCTGCCAAGCGGCAACTGTACCAGGCTCCACCAGCTGCGTAAATACATTGAAGGAAGCACTCAATGTAGATCCGAAATAGTAGGATCGTGTTTACAAGGACCAACATACGCCTACCTTGAAGAACCTCCCTCGCGACTCCTGCGAAACAGATTCGGACTCAGACGCGTGACCCCGACTTGACAGGCAGAAGCCAAGTCTGCGGAGCAGAAAGCAGGACTGAGAGCGCGTGGTTTACGGGTTGGGGTTTATGGATTTCGAGGTGGGTCACGCGTCATCAGCAAGGGCCTGAAGCTATTTCTGAAATCACAAAACCCAGGGAGTCTACGTTCACATGCGGAAGCTTGATGGAGCCCTGAGAGAGAATTAAGACCTTAAGCCTGATATACCAAACAAACATCTCTGTAAGCCTATAGCCACAGCATCCATTGCGGAAAATGAGAGAAGCAGAGGGCACATTGATTCCGAAGCCCTTTTGAACACTCTCATGAACCCCCTCAAACAAATCCTCAAACCCTAAACCCCGCTAAACCCTAACCCGCCCCGAATTGCCACTTCTCCCCCATTCCGAAAGAAACGTCCACGCCCAGGGCTCGTGCGGGACGTGCAGCGAAGCCTGGAGGCCATTCCTGGGCTGTAGTTCAGGGTTTGGTGTTCGGAGCGTTTCGAAGAGTTTTTCGTGAGTTTAGGAGTCTAGGTGTGATGGGGATTCAGGGTGTCATTGCTTCGTAAGGTCGTAAGGGTGTTTGGGTCATGGCGTTTGGGTTTGGGGCTTCGGTTTCCCAGGATGTGTAGGTCTTTTGAGGTATGCTCTTCGTTGATTTGGGGCTTCGGGCCTCGGATCTTTGTGAAAGCTGATTCAGCCCACTCTAGCTAGACTCCGGCCATATGATCCTATAGAAACCCGAAAACCCCGATTATACATAGGCCCGTCAAACCCTATGAAGTCGTGAAGCCTACCAAACCCCGTCATAAGACCCATGAAACCCTGCATAAATCCAACAAGACCCTATGAAACCCCACAAGAGCATCTAGAGCGAAGCTCTGAAATTGCAAACCTGAAACTCTAGAAGGGATTCTAAACCACCTTTGAAGGCTGGCATGTCCCGGGTTTCGGCCGCCGAGAGAGAGCTCGACTTCCAGGAGGCAGATGGCAAGGCAAGGTGGGTGCATGGGGCACGACTCAAGGGGTTGCCAGGGTTCTCTAAAGGGTTTGCATAAGGGTTCCGAATGGGTTTTGACAGTTGGGAGTGGTTTTGTTTGCACGTTCGGGCTTGAGAAGGGGTAGCTCTGGGGTTCAACAGGTTGTGTCAACGTTTGTGGTTGCTGAAAATTAGAGATCCCTAGTACCGGAGTCCTCCAGAATTTTTAGGATCCTACTATGCAGCTTCTACGAGGAGGTCTCTTCATTTCCTTCACCTACCCTTTCATTCCCACCACAGACGGCTCCAGAAGAAAACCCGAAGAGCTTGCTCGTCATGGCTTCAGATACAATCCCAGAGTTGAATGCAGCTGCTTCAGCGGGGACTTCAGCAGCAATCTACTACATCACTTGTATGCGGGGGTTTTCGAAAATAGGGGACCCTAATATAGCACCCTAAGCAGTAGTATCCTTATTATAAGGTCCCCAAAAGAAGGTACCCCTAATTTTCGGAAACCCCGGTATGTGGAACCAACCCTGAATCGACGAACTAGCATGGCAACTGGATCTTTCTGGAGACCTGACAGGCTGCACTCTGGCGAGAAGATATCTGTACATCACAGGCAGCAGAGTGCCCTGACATGGGGTGCTCTGACTTGGTGAAGTTCTGAATCGGGCATGCTAAGTGGTATGTCAGCAAAGTTTCGTGACGTGAATGCTGATCTTTGCCTGCCTTTGCGCGGGCCTTTGCGCCCGCAATGTCACGCCGGCCCGAAACGTTGTGCTCGTATTGCTCACCATCCAACGCCGTTAGTGAATGAGTGCTTACCCCTAAAGCAGAAATGACATAGTTGCACAGCGCCAGGGCTGGATGCCCTCAGCCTGGAGCTTCCTCGAAGCAGGGTTGCAGGGTCCATGTCCTGTGATTTGCTGTCGAAAGTCGGATCCACTCTTTCTTTCGCAACCCGCCTGTAAAAGCCAAATTTGACATCAGCAACCTTCCTGACACTCCCAAGCAGTCATCCTGTGCTCGTCAGATCAAGCGAGTTGCTGGCGAGCTGAAGCACAGCAGCCAGGACTGCCAGGGCTCAGCCCGCTAGCCAAAGTTTCGGGTTGTTTGGAAGAAAGGGAAGGGAGGTTGAGGCTTGCGTTGCCCTTCTTTGACTCGGAAGGAGCAGTTCGGGCAGCGAAAGAAAGAGTTAGATGCGATGCTGGAAAGAGCCCGAGCCTTAGAGCCTGGAAGAGTTGCAGTCAGAAGCTCGGTTGATTACACCAAAAAGCGCGCGGCAAGGTTGCAGCTTACGTGTTGCTGGCGCGTTTTACACGAATCTACGCAAGCCCATGTGCATGCGCACAAAGGGCAATGATATCTTCTCAATCAGGTTTTGTTTGTGGTAGTGACTCTAGTGACTGTAGTAGTGGATGGACGGACGGATGGATGGATAGACCGTAGGTAGGTAGACAGACAGACAGATAGACGGATAAGTACGCATGTAGGTAGGCTGGTAGAATGTTTGTGTACGTATTTATGTATGTATGTCCGTGCTCACGTCAGTCAGCACCGAAGGAAGGGAGGTGCGATATGGCAGAGTGAAAACGAGCAAATAAGTGCGCACATGCGCATGCAAAGTGCAAACGTTGTTTAGACATGTAAGTCCAGGACAAGTGCAGACGGACAGGCCCAATTATGGTTTGACTTGGTACAAGTTGTGCGCAAGGCAACACGTAGTGACGTAAGCCGACATAAGCCAACCGTTTTTGAATGAGCGAAGTGCCACGCAGTAGTGGACTTTCCGAAATGCTGTTGGTGGTCGACAGGTTTTCAAAAGGCTATCCGCTAAGCAACATGTGTAGCTTGAAGCTTTCGGCAGTATCCGACTGTGAACCGTACGGTAGAACAGCGGCACGGTCTAAGAGATGTTTGCGTGTCGGGATGTGTTGAGGAATCCCGACCGAATCACGCCAAGTTTGCCAGAGGCGAATGTCAGCGCAGTCAACACTTCCGCCCCAGCTGTACTGGGTTGTGATTTTGCGTACCTGCCCCATCGGCGCGGACCTTCAGAGCCGTCGCCAAAATCCTTAATGCAATTTTTGAAAACGTCTTCGCACGCAGAATCACCGGGCCAAGCATGCAGGGTCCAATCTTCCATGGGATGGGGTGGATCTAGCTGAGAGCGAATAAATCTGGCGCCAGGAGCACTTCAAGAAGACACCTCACCAGGAAGCCCAGATTTCCATGAAGGCCAAAACAGAGGCGGGACAAACTCCACTTCTGCAGCCTGCGGAGTCATAGGACTTGAGGGCTAAGAGCTTATGCAGCCATGAACATGACGTGTTCCTTTCCTATCGAGGAGGTGTCTCACCGTGGGCAATGCGCAGCGCTGGAAGCACGGCAGAGGGTAGGCCAGAGCCGCCGTTGTCACCTTCGTTGGGATGACCCATTAGGGCCAGTCATTAGGGTACTTCAGGAACTTGGCTTGCAATCTTGAGAGGGGTCTTGGCGGAGAGGTATGGAGTCTCAGTTAATCTCAGAGGTTCATGAAGAGCGGGTGTTTTTCCAGGTGAAGAGATGGAAGACATCGCTAAGCGCGTGGTGGTCGCCAAGGAGCAGCTGGTGAAGATGCGGGCAGCATCCACAGAGCTATGCCGTTTGCAGCTGCGGGTTTCAGTCGGCCTGAAGCATAAGATGCGGGCAATGAGGTCCTTCATGTTTATGGAGGATCAGGGTTTCAATCTGAACCTTATCCTGTATCGGCCGTCCAGAATCGATGGGATAACTCCGTGCCCGATCCTCCGGCTCAACATGAAACTCTACCGACAATCAGACGCCAGTCGCGCGACACGGGCGGAGCGAGATTAGAATCTTGCTTGCGACGAAGGTGAAGTGCAGCGCGAATGTCAAAGAGCTGACGGGACGATTCGAGGTTCCGGGGCCGGGCTTAGCAATGTTGCGCTGCAGGTGGGCCGGGCATCGTCCATGAGTGTTCGGCTTCTTTCACAAACCAAGGTCTCTGAGGCCCAAACTTCATCAGGAACCTTTGAGCTTCATGGGAGACGCCGAAGCGATTTCAGTCTGCCAGAGGATGCGAAGTGCGTCTACGAAGCCAAAGTTCGGGAAGTCGCCGAGCAAAACGAGGCCCACACGGCAGATAGTATTTTTTGCTTCGCGGCTTTTCGAACTTGGAGCAATGAAGGCTTTGGCGAGCAGTTGGGTGTCGTCGATCGGATCGAGACAACATCACGACTTACGCGTCTGCTGCGTTTTGGGGAGGAGCTGCTCCAGCGTCTTGCCATGATTCGGGCCGAGCACGAGGATCATTGCAACGAGAGCAGAGCGCTCGGACGGCAGTTTTCTTGTCCGGCCGAGTCAGGCTTGAAGCATTGCTGGCACGTAACGATGCACACAAACACCGGCAGGCAGGCAGGCAGCCAGACCGACATTACTCGTATCAAATATGTGTACTTGACTCCGAGACGTGCATGCGCACACTTACGCAGAGGCACCAGTTTCCCCGCCCAGACCCTTGGGACTTGCAGCTGTTGCTCAGGCTTGCAGAGAGACAGCCAGCTGCAGAAGGCGGGCTTGTCGTGGAGTTCTGCAACTAGAAAGCCATGAAGAAGCCCTAAGCCCGAAAGCCCAAAGCCTGAACCCTGCAATTCTGTAGCCCGAAACCTCAAAACCCAAAACCCCCTAAACCCAAGCTTTGCACAGACGCAGCTCTTCTTTGGTGCTTTCTCAGGAGCGCCAGGGAGTGATCCAGCAAATCGCCTCGCGCTCCCAGGAGCTGAGCCTCTCCCGGGCGGCGCGCTACGGGGGGGGGGTAGGGAAAGAAGGATAATGCCAATCAAAAAGAAAATAGAATACCAATATTGACGATAGTCACAATCATTTTATTAGGTTATAATAAGGATGGGGTGTAGGAGTTTCCTGGAGCTGGGTGGGGTCCCTTTTTTTATTTGGAGTCCATAAGTCCTTTCGCATGAGATCCAACTGCCTCGCCTAGGGTTCTATATCAGGGCCCCTTAGCTTTCTGAAGCTCGCACTTGGCGGGCTCGGAAGCATCTTGATCTCGTGTAATTCAGACACAGACCACCGCTTCATTCAATCAGGCTTGCTAGTGTAGCATAGCATAGCAGATGCCATAGCATAGCAAAGCATTTTACTGTGTAGCATAGCATAGTCTAGTCCAGTATAGAGTATAGTAAAAGTGCGCACAGTACAGTGCAAAGTAGACTTAGAGAGTACTACATATAGTATAGTATATAGTCAAATAATCAGACTTGTACTCATTTTAGTCTGTCGTCTAGCCCATCGTCAACAGTATACACTCGAGTACATGGTCAAGTATATGGTCCAGTACACAGTTGCAGGTACACTAGTATATAGTCAAGTGAATAGTCTAGTATAGTCTTGTATATAGCATATAGCGAAAGATAGTCAAGTATACAGTCTAGTAAATATAGACTAGTGTTTTGTTTTCTTGGAGTATACAGTCGATTATATAGTCTGGTATCGATTTAAAATTCGTATAGAATAGTTATAGTATATAGTAGACGGACGTCTCGCGAGGCTTTCTGCCAGCAGAAGTCGGCGGAATCCCGGCGGCAGGCCGTGTTAGGGCGCTGGTTGAGCCCCTTGTCGTGCCTTGGGTGTTGTGAATATTCGCAGGCTGAAGCACGCCTGGAGCAGATGAAAAGACACGTCCAGGCCAAGTGGGCGGTGTGAGCAGATGGTAACAGTTCATGTCTATGCGCCTGCTTCAAGATGCACTGAGCTTCATAAGTTCTGCAATAAAAGTTTACTCAAACGCTCGCACCAACACCCCCTCTCATCCAACAGCGGTTCTTTCATCTCGGGCGGTCCCCCAAAATGTGGGAGTCAACGTTGCGGTGATTGTGGCGTGGGCATAATGATCTTGCCGACTGATCTTGCCGTTGCGAACGGTAAGGCCCCTTTCACTCCACTGTCTCAGCCAGCGATCCATATTACGCAGTACCTGCAACACTTCAGAAGAGGGGTTGGAACGATGAGGGAAGTTTGCAGTTGAGGAGGGCGCGAGGTGAAGGCTGTGCTTTTCCTTTCTTGTGCATGGATACAGACTGCATGAGCGCAAGCGCCTCAATCTCAAAGCTTCATGAAAGGGGTTGGGCAAAAAGACGGCTCCTGGCCAGGGTGTGGAAATAGGACTTCTCATGTCGGAGAGTGTCGCGATAGGATGTACGTCGCCGCTGCCTTGAACGAGTTCAGCTCGGGAAGGAGATGGCCCAAGAGAAGGCAGCAACATTATTACTATTATTCCTATCATTATTATTACTACTCTTATTACTGTTATTCTATTCTTACTGTTACTAGTATAACTACTATTATTACTATTGTTACTATTAGTACTATTAATACTATTATTACTATTAGCAAGATAATGCACTTGGGCAAGGGCCGTTCCGGCTGTCGTCACTACCTTTCCGAGACCCCTCCTGAAAGGGGGTCAGAGAACTTTCAGGTAGTTTTCATCAACAGATTCTCCGAAACCCTAAACAGCCTAAACCCCTACACCTCTAACCCCCCCCACCCTTGCACCTTTTGAACTACCCTACTAAACCATTCACAGGTCCGCATTGCGCAAGACCGCTTTGCGGAGAACGTGCAGGCCGCCGAGCGACGGGCTTCCGAAGCCTTCGCCTGAGAATCCTCGAGGCTGAGGCCTGAAACTTCGGAAGCCCTTTAACGTAGGGATCCTTAATCACTCCATTAGACCAATTAGAGGCTTTTGGGCAAAACCTATAACAAGACAGGGCTGTAAGGAGGTTGAATCCCAAAATAAAGCCCAGAAATACAATGAAACCCAAGACTTAATACCGTTTTGGGATGAGGCCTTCTGCTAAACCCCGAACCTGGGTAAGGTGTCGAAGGTATGCGGCTTCTTTAAGCCCGGGCCTTCCAGAGCCAGTGTTGGGGGGCTCAGACGGCCGTTTCTCGGCTTGAACCCTTTGAGCCTTACATCCTGGAACCCAAGGGCCTTTATTCATCCCTTCAGCACCAAACCCCTACCACACTGTGGCCTGGAAGCCCTAAGCTCTGAAACCGCTAAAAAATATAAGCCTTACGGAACCTGCGCAGTGGTCCCAGGCCTTAGATGTCCGCGACAACGCAAAGGTTGCCTTCCAAGCTGTTCCTTGGCCTTGCAGCTTTTGGCATAGAACTGTTGTCTCTGAGATGTAGGTGGTTTGGGGTTTGGGTTTAACGGTTTAGCACTTTAGAGTTTCGGCGCTTCAGGAGTCTAGTGTTAAGGATCGAGATTTTTTTTCTGAGGAGGATCTGTGCTTCGCTGTTCTCTTAGGCAATGCTGCGCTGCTGCGGCGCAGCTGAAGAGGTCTGGAGCGAGACTACAATGCATAGGTCGACTCTTGTGCACTAGCTTGGTAGTTGAAGGCACACCGCCGTGGTCTGGCGGAGGTTGCGCAGATACTGATGCCCTTCGACGCCTGGCGCAGGGGGCCTAGCTAGAGCTCTAACTTTGCAGCATGTCGTTGCCATCGATGCCCATTAGTTGTAGCGCGGACACACCACGAGCTTTGCTTCCGAGTGGCTGGATTTGGCGGCGACGATGTTTGCATACAGCATCTGGGCAATGCCAATGTCGAAACCAGCAATTGCAGGTGGCTTCTCGCCGACAGGGCTCACACCGCACAATGCCGAGGCGCGACAAGAGACCAGAGCCTTGTAGTGCTTCGTATTTCTGGAGTGTTTGGAGTGATGCCGGCAGCATGCGAGGAATACCTTTGCAATCTGAAACTAGCTCTGTGCACGGAGCTCTCCCCCTCTCTCTATCTCTCCATCTTTCGCTCTCTCTCTCTCTCTCTCTCTCTCTCTTTCTTTCGCAACCGGACCCGGAGGCATCTACTCGGCCCATGACCACGTCCAGTGGCGTTGAGGTTTGGACGCTCAAGGCCTCGCTGTAGGGTTCAACTAGGACTGGCCAGGCCTGCAGAGCCTGTGCGGGGCTCTGTATCATCACCCTCGGCATTGCTTGTAGCATTGTAGCAGGAGGGCCGGCGGTTGTATCCCGAACAATCCAATCTGCGTGCTGGCTTGCTCGAGTGTGTGCCTGCGCCTCCTCGCGCGATTGTCTTTTCTCTGCACAGGAAACAACATCCACAATCTTCCCAGATCGCGGAGGCGCGACGTACCGTATATCTAGGCGCTGAAAAAAGCTGAGGGGTGTAACTGGCAGCCATCCAAAAGGTTTGCCGTGTGAAGCAGCACTGGTGGAGCCATTCCGCACATGTATCCTGTATTGCTGGACCCGAGTCTCAACGCCTGGCAAAGGTACTCCCTTGGAGGCCGAGGCGAGATTGAGATGCTTTTTTTTTTCGGGGGACGCTGTGCCTTCACGGAAGGGGCTTGGGGTGCTTTCGGCCAGGCAAAGGACTCGACTTCAGAGCCGAAGGATGAGCTGCACATGGCTGAAGCCTAGGAGCGCCACGGAAGGAGGCAGACTGAGCAGAGGAGGTCTAAAGTCTAAAGAACATAAAGCGAGCGACCCGGCTCGATTCTACTGTACCCATGAAAGAAAGTTCTCTCCTGCCACGTTCAACCAGCTTGACCGAATTGGCTGAGCATGTGACCTGTTGATCAAAACGACGGGCGCATCGCCTTTACGCCGTTGAGTTTCACTTGGCGACACAGCTCATTTAAGTACACACTGATGTCAGTTGTAGAAGGATTGCGAAGTGTGCAGGGCCTGGCTTGTACTCTGCATCAATTCCACCGACAGCTTTGTGGTGAGAAAGGCTGTTGGAGCAGTGCACCGCGATATTCCACGCCATGCCTAAAGGGCAGCGGAGAAAAAGGAAAGGTTAATTGAGCGCGGGGCTTCTTCTGCAGAGAGTGCTTGATGACGCAAAATGCTTGCCCACAAGGTACTCGCGATGATCTGGCTCATCTGCTGCCTAATTATTAATGCATCTATGAGCTGCGACTAGCATCGCAGACAGACACTTCACACGACTGCATCTAGGCATATCCTTAGACCTTTGCTTCGGAAATTCCGGGCCTGCTCGTAGCTACAATTACTTGCATCTAGCTGCCTAAAGCCACTCCACGCATTGCAGCGGAGCGCTTTACCCGTTGTCCGGTCTCAGCCGTGGTGACCAGAATATCGCGAGGTGTTTCCTATACATACTACATCACGTTAGTCTTGCTATTAGTCTTCCATTTACCGGATCAGACGCCACAAGTCCACAGCGAGAGTGATGGCTACCAGGGCTCCGACATCCCTCAGAAGGCCACCTGGGGCTTCAAGGTTCGGACACAGAATCGTGCCGGCTTTAATGGTCTCTCAAGGCCACGTTATGGGCTGACGAAGGTCGACAGATATCGCACGGTTCGTCATGAGTCGTGATAGCTGCGATGTGCAACTGCCTTTTCCTGGAAGCCCTCTGATGAAGGACGGTCACAGTAGCTGCCCTTGCGGGGCTCCTCTTCGGTCCAGTGCAGTGGCCAGCTCATGCCCCAGCTTTGAACGCAGTACCCGCCTCGCCGACTGAAGCTGACCGGCCCAAGGCCTTGGGCTTCTGCAACGACAAGCTCGTCGTGTCTAGCCTGGCTGCCTAGTAGTTCGGACGAGCCCAGCAGTTTTTGATGCGCAGAAGCATAGGATGTTAAAAAAGTCAAGACTTGAACTAGACCACGTTTGTCAACCGACCTGCACTCCCACCAAAAGCCCCCCCCGACATAGCGCAATGCGAGCAGACAGCGTCCGGAGCTGTCTTGTTGCCCACTTTTTTCCAGCTCTGAGGAGGCTCGTCGGGAAGCTCCCTGAGAGCTCAAGTGCCGTCCTTACAGGTCAAAGTGGGGCTTCCGAGGGATGGGGGGATGCCATGCATTGCGTGGTTGTCTGGTGCCCTTCCATGCCCTTCCCCTGTCTTCTGAGCCGCCGGAAGTGAAGCCCGAGCCCGACTTCGGTGCGGAGTTTGCCAAGTCGCTCCAGGACTCAGCCTTCGCTTCCTTTCCGTAGCAGTACCATGGCATGCCGTTTGTGAAGGAAGGGCTGGGCTTGAATGAAGCCTACGACAAGGACTTGCTGTGATGTTGCTTCGGCTGATCAAGACAACTGAGGTTGCCGAGTGTTGTTGATAAGCGCATGGCTTCGAATACGAAGCAGGCCCTCTATGATCTTCAACGCTCTTTGCCGCCTTCGCTGCATCTTCGTTGTTTCTCCGAGGAGGTGACTGCGGCACAGAGAGTCACGCCAATCGATCGCCTGTCCTCCCCTCAGAAGTCCGAGACGGGTGTCCCGCAGTTCCCCCTTTCGGCAGCTTTTCGGGAAACCTGCGCGACGACCAGAGGTTTGGGTGGGACAAAGCCCGAGCCTTGATCCGGAGAGGTCTCCTCTAAGAGAGGTTCGCTACAAGGAGAGTTGCTTTTTTTGAACCCGGCCCAGGGCATCATTGCTTCCCGGGATGATTTGGATCCCTTTATGGACTCCCGCGATGAGATGTCAGCGCCCGAGCATTGAAGGTGTAATAGTCAGCCACTGAACGGAACGGCCGCAGCTGGTATTCAATACTGGCTGGATGTCAACGGCTGTCAACGCGTGAAGCACCGAGGAATTATGTCTCCGTCAGTCTGGACAAGCCGTTGGGTTTAGAGTTCCTGGAGAACGGCGTGGCTTGGCAAATTTGAGACTTGAGCCTCCCTGTGGTACGAGCGTTGCCTTGCCAAGGCAGAAGAGGGTGGAGGTGTCCTGATCGGCAAGGCCCGGGCCCGAACCTGCCAGGCAAGTGGCTTTGTAAAGATGGAAGATGCCTTTTTTTCAGGTGCAGCCAACATCCAACGCTGACCAAACTGGTTTGCTCAGAGTCTGGAACTCAGAAGATCTCTAAAGCGCCGGCCCAAGCTCAGCCAGGGGAGAGTTGCCGGATCCAAGCGCTAAGCCACAAGGAGAGACGTTTGTGAGCCCGTGGCAAACGCTAATGCCCTAATCCTAAACAAGGGCAGATATGTGAGATGTCGGGAAATCTCCTGAGACCGGAAAGGGAATGTTGGGTGGGCCGTGCCTTTTCGCAGGAGCCTCGCAGTAGGAGCTCGCCAGTGCACGTCGGAGTCGATTTGAGTGCACCACACACCTGGGGCTCGCGACGATCGTTTTAGGAATGCTTTTTGCCGCCAAAGTCTTGGTACAGTCTTATCTGCACAGGCTGGCTATCACCTCGTGTTTGTGAACGGTACGCATTGAGCTTAGCCGAATTGGCAGATTCCTGCGGCTAAGTTGAGAAGATTTCAGGCCGGAGTGTCGACACTTGCGAAAGATTCGTTGCGACTGTTCGGGAGTATTGACTGACGAGTGTATGGATACAGTAGCGACGACTGACTACCGTACATACTCAGCAAGATGGAGCCACGATACGCAGTCGGTATCTAAACTTCTAAACGTGATTTGCGACAAAGGTGGGAGAGCCAGGGTGTCCGTTTTAGCTATGCCCAAGTTCCGGTGTGAAGAGGCAGCTGCACTGCGGCACTCTTCTGCTCCCCACCGCCACCACTGCCGACGTGTTAGACAGAGGTTTCTTGCTGCTTGGCCACTCCAACCATCGGTTGTCTGCGTCCTTTCCCCTAGATCCCCAGCTGTAAACCCCAAAACCAAAACCCCCCACGCGGGACATCGCGTTGCGAGGCCCGTTCACGGCTTGCCCTTCGATGCCGCCATCCGGCCCATCGTAGAGTCGGAAGGCGGCTCGGCCCAGCGCCGGTGTGTTACAAAAACCCTCAAGTCCCCCGCCCCAGGGTCCTTCTATCACATTCTATCAATCCTAAAGACCTTCTAAAGACCCTAAAAACCCAATGCTCCCAAACTACCAGAGCTCCAGCTCGCCTCGGTGAACGCAGGGGCTGTGCAGCTCACATTCTTCATGGGCGAGGCGGAGTACTTCTATGGCGAGTGGAAGCCGCCAAGCTCGCAAAGACGAATCTGCCTGTCCACGCAAGGCACGCAAGGCGCTAGAATTATGTAAATTCCCAAAGTCAACTCCTACAATATAGTGTAGTATCGTATGAGACTGTATGTAAGCTTCTACAGATACAGTAGATCTTCTCTTGTCAGAGTCTGCAGTCCCGATCCCAAGGCCCGGTGAGGAGTGGTTGCAGGAGTTCCAAGGCAAACTGCAGCGCACTGAGTCCAGTGGGGTCTAGTCTGAGGCTAGAGTTTCGGATTTAGGGCTTGCAAGGGTTTCGAATTTTTGGTTTAGGGTTTCGGATTTGGGGGTTTGGTTGCCTCTTAGGGAGGGTTTGATCTTTGCACCACTGAGGTCTCAACCTGAGGATGAGGAGCAGTAGCTGCTCCAGAGTTTCACCCGGAGACGGGAGCTCGCTTCCAATTTTCCGCTTCGTTTGGGGCCCTCGACAAAAATTAGGGTTTAGGGTTAAAGGTTTAAAGGTTTAAAGCTTTTAAGGTTTAGGGTTAGGTGGTGGCTGCCAGCGCTCTGCCCAGGGCTTTGCTCATCTCCGCAGCGTGCCAGTTGCGTACCAGGCTCGAGGAGCCAGAGATTTTCCGTCGCTGAGTACCCGCTCCAGCCATGGAAACGAGAGAAAGCTTTTGGGAGCTGCATCGCAAGCTCGCTGAGTGCTATCAGCATGACGTGGCGGCGGGGAACATGGCGCAGCACCCGCACCATGTGCCAGTACACCCGCCACTCATCGATCGGCGCGGCAGTTTGCAGCGGCGGCTTAGTCTCCAAAGTGTGCAGAAGGAGAATTCGCTGGCCTCAGGCACGGTTGGCTGGAAAGCCACATGTGGAACTCTTGGTATTGAATGCCTAACAGGGCCTAACCCCAAACCACAAAGCCATGATAAGCCCGGGGCCTCCGAGCAGCCTGCAGGTGTGGAGGAAACTCCGAAGTCACCAGCAGGAGGAAAGCCAGCACCCTTGGTCAATGTTAGTTGCAGATCGTTTTAGCTGCTTTCATTGGGGGCTCCGTAAATTTTTCGTGGGAGCCAACCCATTCACAGTCCCAATAGGTTTGAAGACGGATCCTAACGGAAAGGATTCAATGGGAAGCGGTAAGAAGGATACTTGCTACCCTTTGCCAGGCACGGATGGTATCCTTCGACCGAAACTCCACCATCAAAGTCATCGACTTCGACGAGGACCGACCCTCCTATGTTGAAAATACTTCTATATTTTTCAGGATTGCTATAACTGTTACTACTATTCCTATTATCATTGCTGTTTTTATTTTCAGTGTCTAGAACAGTAGGATGATAAGGTAGTCTTTTTGAGGGCTTTATGGGGGTATACTCGGTTTCACAAGTCTTGTTTAATGGGGTTGTTCGGGGCTTCAGAAAGCTTTAGGGGTGGCTTATTCAGTGGTATTTTATCATACGTAAGGATCCTACTGTGCCGCTTTTTATTTTTTGTTGGGTCTGCTCTCTCACCTCAAATCCCAGTGCATTCTGTTCTGGACAGGTCGCGGTGGCGAAGGTAATTCCGACAGCATCCTTGACACCATCTGCGGAAGACTTCACTGATACTGCAAAGGCCCGGGCATCCTTACGGCAGCGGCGGAGGAGAAGTGGGGAGAGCATGATCCAGGGACCCCAAAATGGGATCACTCCAAGAAGCCCCCACATAGTCGCATCCCTCAAACATGCACCCCAACCTTATGAACCCCCCTTGCCCCCTTCCCGGAGCCCAGGAGCACCGTCGAAGGATTGCTCAGTGCCCAGGGGCTCTTGAGCCAAAGCAGCATGGGAGAGTCCGAGGATGAGACGTGGGACATAACCAAGGTGAAGCTCGGGCTCAAGAGTGAAAGAAGTCGACAGTCTTCTTCGTCTAAGTTAGGATCATAAGAAGGTGATATCCGTTAAGCACAGTGCTCTCCTTGCTATGTCCTGAGCTTAGATCAAGTTCAAAAGAGCAAGAACTCAGGAAGCTCCACGCCCACAAGTGCTGGTTGCAGGGCGATGCCGAAGAGAACGAGCTCTCCGATAGATTGCTCTCCCTTTCCAAAGGGATAAACCAGTCGGCCGAGCAGAACCATATCCACGAGAGCGAGTTGGAGGTGCCTGGGTACAGTAGTCCCCTGTAGCCGTCTCTAAACGAAACACCCTGTGTACACTCCCTAAAAGGATCACCCTGCTCGGAGGTGCCCTATGAGATGGAGGAGCATTCCACAATGCTGCACCCAGCCGGAGTCTTGCGAACGACCTGGAACATTCTAGTTGCCATGTGTCTGATCCATGACTTGGTGGTGATCCCTCTCTACGTCTTCGACATACCCGACTCATCAGTTTTAATTGCGCTGGAGTGGTTTACTCAGCTCTTTTGGAACATTGACATTGCCATGACCGTGCGTACTGGCTACTACTACAAAGGTCTGCTCATCATGGACCCAGGAAAGGTCCTGCGCAATTATGTGAAGACGTGGCTGGTCCTTGACGTGACGTTGGTCTCATTAGACTGGGCCTTCGTCATCCTTTCATTGTCGGGTGTACAGGTAGATTCTGTGGCACAACTCTCGCGTACAATCCGGTTCCTGCGCTTTCTCCGCCTGGTCCGGATCTTGCGATGGGTGAAGCTGGGCTCTTGTTAAGGAGCTTGGTTTAAGTCGCATACTTGGGATATACAGCAAAGTGCATGATTTACTTGTCATGCTAGTTTAGGTTAAGTTCCTTAACAAAGAACCCAGGAAGTTGCGCCGGATGGCAGAAGTCTTCCAGGAGCTCATTCAGTCGCAAGCTGCGAGCACCTGATTCTGCTTTAACTCGGGAAGCTTGGGATTTCTTGATATCATGGGTCCGACTCCCTATAGCGATAAGTTGCAGCTAAGTCATGTTTGCGGGAAAATTTGCGCTGCATGAATTGCTTGACAAGAAAGGAATCGCAAATCATCCAATTCGGCTACGGGCAGAGGTTGTTTGCGAAAGTGAGGGGTACCTTATTTGGGGGTCCCTATAAAAAGGATCCACCATTTGGGGTACTATATTAGGGTCCCCCATTTTCGGAAACTCCCATTTGGTTGAGGCATGTACTGGAGCCTGCTCTTCGGCATCGCACGCCTCATCATCTTGAATCACTTGATCGCGTGCTGCTGGTTCGGCATAAGCCGTCTGGAGGGCGCCAGCGACAACTGGGTGACGCATGCTCGCTTGCAGGAGGATACCACTTCTCCGCCACACATGTATGCTGCATCCATGATCCTCTGCACGAAATCCGCAAGAATTTCAGTTTCGTCCTTGCGAGTCTTTCCGACGGTGGGGCCTGAGCTGATCATGTTCTACAGTAAGCGTCCAGGAAAGCTTAGCTTCCAGCAGATTGCGGATGTACCCCACAAGCCCAAAGCCCTCAAGGGTGGGTTCCGTCAAGGAATTGGGCCTTCGCTCAGCTTGGCGTGGGCGTCTCAGACATCAGTCCCCGCACGACGCTGGAGACATACTTCTGCATCCTTATCGTACCTGGCTCTGCGATTGTGATTTCATGCTTTCCCGATTACGAACCAGAACTTAAAAGGAATGACCCGTCTCTAGAGAAGCACGGTTTCCATCTCTTGGGCAGGCATTCAGGTCGCTCATCACATGCACTACTCTGATCAGTCGCATGACATCCTTGATGACGGCATTGATCAAAGTGAAGGAGGATGAGGAACGTGAGTTCCGGCTCCTTCGCAGCTACCTGGTCTTCAACGAGATCCCCCATCGTTTGGGGCAGAAGGTTACCAGGTTTTTGCAGCATCAGTTCAGCCTCAAGCAGCAGGCAAAGACTGCTGATTTGCACGTTCCATTGCTCGAGCTCCTCTCGCACCAGCTACAGGGGGAGCTCCAGTTTGCCCGGCACAGGGCATCCCTCGCTAAGCTTGAGTTCCTGGACCCTTTGGAAAGGGGGGGGGCATTCCGGGATAACGGTCCAGAACTAGAAACCCAATGAGCGTGTCACTTTTGAAGCTTCACCTTGGACCCCAAGCTTTGAAAACCTTCATGACGCAATTGCTTAGGGAAAAGAGGGCATAACAAAAGAACACCCTCATGACAGGACCACCTCATGGACCAGCTTGACCGGCAGATCTTGCGAATCTTGCACGAGCTGTGCACCGTGGCGCTGGACAGTTTGCCTGTGGCCTCCAAGGACATGGTCTTTCTCGGTGGCTCCCAGGCCCGCAAGACATACCTGGTTTTGGCGGGCACCTTTACCTACCACCACGACGATGGTGAAGAGAAGGTCGATGCCGAGTCCTGCGGCTGGGTAGCGGAGATGTGCTTGTGGCCGCTTAGACGAACGCACCTTAAGGATGTAAAGATGTCAAAGGAGGTCTGCAAGTCAGAAAGCAGTATTGGGCCCAGCCCCCGAAAGAATACTCTTCTCAGGACGCCTTGGGTCTACTTGGGCGACCTGGTGTCACATGACGTCTCTCGCATCGTGGCCATGGATGCAGCTCTGTTTGGCCAAATCCTGAGCCAATCCCCGTCTACATATGAGCTTTGGCCAACATGAAGGGTACCTTATTCAGCGGTTCTTATTGCAAGTGTTGCACTGTTCGAGGTTAAATATTCCGATCATTTTGCTTTGGCCGTGGGGTTTATGGTACAGTCTAGGCATAGCGAATAGTTGACCTTTCGGCTGCATGTAGCTTCATAGTGGTGGCATTTAGCTCCAGCTTCCGACAGCGGTTCCTTGCTTAGCATTCTAAAGTTGAGGACCATGCCAAAGACTATGCCAAGAACTTTCTCAGCATGATGCGTGGCAAAACGCGGGGGGCTCTAAATCATCAATCGTCCCGAAGAAGCGGTCACCATGCAAACGCAACACTAGCCCTGCTAGGTCCTGGACCGATCTTCGCTATGAGTCCAGAGACGACAACTCAGTTGGCAATGTGAGCCGCCATGCCTCTGTGAAGAAGCCACGTACTTCCTTCACTTCTTCCTTCGCTTCCTTCTGCTGCAAAAAGAAATCCCAAAAGCAGATAGCTATTGAAGAGCTGGGTTGAAGCGCAAGCCCCACAATCGACCTGGTCTGGTCCTAAATGAAATGAAGCAGTCGTGTATATGAGATGGGCTTTGCAGGCAGTGGTTGGAATGTGCGCGTCCCTTTTCGACTGGGCACACCTTCCGCTGCATGCATCTGTAAGTAGCAGCAGGGTTCATCCACGCGACTGCTCTTAATTCCATTTCCATCCACCGATCCACAGAGGGGTAAGCCCCTCCGCATACTCTTGAGTCCCGTTTTTAGCTCAGGATCTCCGAAGGAGATGAGCAGCACACCATGTAAAGATGTCAACGAACCCGTTGCAAAGATGCCAGTGCTGCAGATGACCACAGCCTTCCTACTTGTAGAGGAGATTCCCAATGCGACACCCAAATCTGCATCTTACTGGCGAGAAACTAGGCAGTGCACGAAGTTTGGCATGCACTCACCTGTGGACATTTCTCAGCTGTTATCATCGTCAAAAGAAGCTGGTTTGTGGAATATCGCCGCTGTCAACTGAGTCCGACTGACACATTGTCGAGCGTGCAGGGGTCCCACCGATGTCTTTACATTCACCCATCACCACTTTCTTGCATTATCATCATCGTCATCAGCATCATCAGCATCCTCAGCGTCAGTATCAGCTTTGCCACCGCTCTCATTTTCATCGTTCTCACCGGCATCATCAGCATATCATCATCGTAAAGACAGACCACCATCGTCATTCACAGACACCGTTGTACCAACTTACACATGGCAGTTTCGTCAGCCTTCTGTCAACGTAATTTCCTCATGAAGCGACCATAAGCAGAGCAACTGTAGGGCTTCGAATGGGCAACTAGTGGTTCATGTAGCCATTTTCAAGCAGCCTATTGTGCTAGCTGCTGTACAGACGCCTGTAGCTCCGATGGAGGAAGAGAGCGGCGAAGACAAGGACAGGCCTGCAGGCAGTTTTTGGGAGCTCCACCGCAAGCTGGCTGATTGCTATGTTCAAGACATGGCCCTCAGAACAGATAAGCGTCCGACTCCGAACGCGTCGCCTGGGATTCTTGACACGCTCTCGCCTCTTCCCGCTGCCCGTCGCCGGCGCATGTCCATTGAAGCCACCAGCCCGAACATCATGGAACGGCGGGAGGTCAGCATCACAACTTTGCTGGATTCCAAGAGTCGAGCCCATACCGAGACCGATATCACATTGGCTCCCCTTGCATGCTGGAAGCATAAGAAGAAGGAGAAGAATTCTGTTTCGAACAATCGCGCAGTTTCTGTAGATGCACTGATGTCATCAGCCCCTGCCAGAGTTGGCTCGTTCACAAAGAGAGCGGAGGGAGCCAGCAGCATCGACCTGCCTGTATCCACTAGCCGGAAAAACGCATGTTGCAAATCCTGGGTGCTACATCCGGGTGGGATTCGTCGTACGATCTGGAACATGGCAGTTGCACTCGGTGTCCTGCATGATTTGATCTTCGTCCCGATGTACGTCTTTGATCTACCCAGCACCCCATTCTTCAGAATTATGGAGTGGATCACACAGATATTCTGGAATATGGACATGCTTGTCTCACTTTTTACAGGCTACTACGATGAGGGTGTTCTCATCCTGGAATTCAAGAAAGCAGTCGCGCACTACGCGAAGACCTGGATGTGCTTCGATTTATGTCTTATTTCCATGGACTGGGCCATAGTTTGGCTTGATACTCTGGGTTCTGACCAGGAAGGCTTCATACAGTGGTCCCGCACCATAAGTATGCTCCGATTCCTGCGCTTAATTCGCATGCTGCGATGGGTAAAGCTACGCAGGGTGAACGATGCTTGGCAGCAGAGATGTGGGTTAACAGGGCAGTTTCGGGTGTAGAGGGCTGTAGAGGGGCTAGAGCCTAGAGATGAGAGTAGGGTTGAAGGTTTGGGGTTTGGGGTGTGTCGGGAGCGTAGGGCACCGAGTGATCCTTCCCGTATCGGGGTTAGCTTCCCTCTGAAGCACTTCATTTGTGGGTCGGGCTCAGGCTTTCATGGCCAAAGTTTGGGCATCGCATCTCGTAAGCTTTCCCAATATCTAGGCTGCTCTAGGCATGGTAATCGATGAAGAGATCAAACCACTACATCCTGAAGAGGCACGAAGATCTGGTTTTATGACTATACCCCGTCCTCCAAAAACCAAAGATAGAGAGATCACCTCGAAACTTGTTCCTGCCATGCGCTGAGGAAGTTTTTCAGGAGCTGCTTCATACACAAGCTGCGAGCTTGTACTATAGCCTCATTGGTAGCATTGCGCGCTTGCTCATTCTAAACCATCTGGTGGCTTGCTGTTGGTATGCAGTTGGCGATCTTGGTGGCGCAACAGGTGCGGGTGCTCTCCAAGAACTTCTAGTATGGATCGGGCTTAAGACTGAAGGTTTGGCGTTTGACTTGGGGATCTTGACTTTCTGAAATTCCCAGGTTGGGTTGCAACCAACAGTGGAGTGGCGAGCCAAAGCATCTTCCATAAGTACCTGCTGTGCATGAACTGGGCATTTGCGCAACTGAGCGTGGGCTCCAGTGAACTCACACCTTCGAGCACTTTGGAGTTCGCTTTCTGCGTGATTGTGGCTTTCAGATCTCTACTCACATATTCCACGCTCATTAGCACGATGACCTCCTTGCTGAGTGGTCTGAGCAAGATCAAGGAAGACGAGACAAGTGAGTTTCGGATGCTAAGAAGCTACCTGGTCCATCATGACATCGGAAAGGAGTTGCAACAGAAGGTAACACGCTTCCTTCAACATCAGTATGGCCTTAGGCAGCAAGCAAAATCTGCTGATGCCCAAGTTCCCTTACTGCAGATGCTCTCAGCTCGACTCCAAGGCGAGCTGAGCTTCTCGAAATACAGGAAAGCTCTTGGTAGACTGGCCTTTGTGGACGAGCTCTTGGTTTTGAATGACTTGGTAATCATGCAGGTACTGCACAAGCTGGCTACGAAGGCGGTTCGGGACGTGGCGGCGGCAGGAAAGGATGTGATTTTCCTTGCCGGCGACACCGCCACAGCATCCTTCTTCAAAGTCAGTGGTGAAGTTACCTATTTCTTCGGACACGAAAAAAGCTCCGTGAGCAACTCGACATGGATAGCAGAGCATTGCTTGTGGACTCCTTGGGTACATTTGGGAGACTTGGTCTCTGAAGACTTCAGCCGCCTGGTGGTGATTCACGTGCAAGAATTCTGCAACATTCTGAGCGAGAATGCCCGAGCCCACAGTGCTGCTGTGATCCATGCGAGAGATTTCATCTCCGCGATGCGCAGCCGTCCGCAGTGGACGGACATCCTTCCCCAGAAGGACGCGTATTGAGTTGCACTAGAAATAATCTGAAAGCAGTCGGACTTGGGCCAAATCTGCAGGAGACACACCATCAATTCAGCGAGCGGGAGACCGCACTCCACCAACTCAGGTGTTGCCGCGGCCTCAGATCGCACCCAACCTGCCTGTACCATGTCCTTTAGTCTTTTAGTGCTTCTGCTGAAACAGGAACGGGATCTGTGTCTGCAACATGAGCCTAGAGGTCTGGAGGAGATGTGATTCTGAGCCCAGGAGTCGTTGGGATGTGTTATAACTGTCTCCTTGCCAAGGTACCATCACATGACTCGTTCGAGACACAATCATGTCAAGCCACTCGATCATCAGGTTGCAGAGCCCGAGTACCATAAAGTCTTGCACCGTGTAACAAAGAAAGCGGCGTCTCGGTGTGATGTTGTGATGCCACAATGCAGCATCCTATCCACCCTAAACCCAAATCCCAAACCCTAGTAGTCCGAAACCCGAGCCTCAATCCTAAACCAGAAGACCTTGTCCCTGAACATTCCTGAGCCTAAACCGCCTAAAGACTTCGGCTCAACAGCCCAGGTGGCCTGCTCAAAAGCTCCTTGCTTGGCCCTCGCGTGGCTCCGCAACCCGCGCGGTTCCATGACTTGGTGCACGCGCAGGCCGTGATGCCCGTTCGAGCGCTCCCCACCAGAATCCCACTGTACTCCTTGACTCAAGGCATAGAAAATGGAAACTCTACTACCAAACAAAAGGTATAGATGATAGATGGTTTACATACACTCATTCGTACATCCATCAGTTCATGCATCCATGCATTCTGCACCCATACATGCCTGCATACATGAAAGAACCAAGATGAATGCAAAAGACGCCATGCACCTAGAACTACACGAGTGAATGCACTCCTGGCCCCTTTGCTTGCTACATGTTGCCGAAGGTTTTTTCTGGAGAGGTGTATAGAAGTACGGGTCAAAAAGACATAATGAGAGGTCCTCCATTAAACCCTGATCCAATGGATCCGAAAGCAAGAATCATGGAGCCGTGGGTTTGCTGAACACCCGAAATCGATCGATGCCACGTGAAGGATCCCGCGCAAAGATGATTTTGCCTGCGAGAGGGCATTTGACCACATTTCGGGACATGGCCTTGATTCCTTGAAGACAGGAGCTGTGATCCAACTGTACAGATCTGTCTCGCTCTTGGTACCGTAGCCTTCAAGCTCACGTTTCGCCGGGTTTTGAATTGTTCCTCGCGAATTTTCGGTACGTTTTGCAGCGGCAACCCCCCCGCGACATATTTCAAAGCTTACCGTAGGCTGCAGCGGCAAAGCCGCAAGCACCCGGTGAGTGGCTCTTGACTTGGCCATGGGGCAAGCCGAGGCTGCCTCAAGCCAAGTATAATACCATTGTACATTGAATTTTGCGAAGAAAAAGTCAGATTCGCGCTGCGAGCCTTGGCAGTGGCATGAGGAGACGGTTCGTCTGCGAGATGTTGATGCTCGAAGCATGATGGACGGAGCTACGCAGACCTGAAATCCCCCCAGCCCACCTCTGGACGGTACCACATCCTTAGTGCTTGGAGTTTAGGGTTTAGTGACTTCAGTGAGTTGAGTACTTAGGGTTTACAAAAGAGCCCGAAGACGAGACGCTTGCAAGTTTAGCCTTGGCCGGGGATGGCGCCAGGGCCTCGTAAACTGAGGCCAGGGATCGAAAGCCCTGAGCTCTCTGAGCTCTGAGGTTCCATGGGACACCTGTGGAGGTTCGGAAGAATCAGAAATCCACCACGTGGCGCCGGGCCCAGCATACCGATGCAGAGGGCCTGCCTTGGGCATCATTCTCACAGCCTGTCAGTGTAAGAAAAAGCTTTTCCATTCATATCTTGAGCTGTTGCAGCCTTTTTCAGCTGTACATGCCGTGTCAGTGTAAGAGTAGGACCAGAGCGAAAGCTGCAGAAGCGTCAAGACTTCTTAACCTGAGCAGGTACAGTGGTGAACTGATCGACATAAACGGTGAGGATCGCATCAAGGTCCGTTTCGAGGCCTGCAGCACAGCTAGAATGACAGTGCTTCAGACATCCATGCAAGGCCCTCAACCCCGTCGGAAAATACATCCTTCAAAGGCTGAAGTCCCAAACCGTCACATCCCTGAGCCCTTTGCAAAGCTCCAAAGGTCGAAACCTGGGCTTTCGGACCAGGTAGCTGAAGCAACATTCGTTTGCTCATCCCAACTTTGTTGCAGATGCCAGAAGAATGCTTCAAGATCTTGTAGACCCGAAATCAACCCTAAACCCTAAACCACCCCCCAAAGAAACACCTCTCGGAGCCTTCTCTGGCATGAAGGCAGGGCTCCAGAAACACCACTGAGTCTTCAAGCCCTCTGATCTGATACATGGGAGTTTCCAAAAATTAGGCTACCTTATTTTGGGGTCCTACTATTCAGGGTACTATATTAGGGTCCCCTCTTTTCGGAAACTCCCACATGGCCAGGAGGACATCTGGCCGATCCGGGACGTCCCCGCCTCTTCCGTCCGTCGACTACCCGAGGTGCCCTGGCCACGTCTTCGCCTCTTCGGGAAATACTATTCAGGGGTTCCTTTAGGGGTCTAGAAGGGCTACTATAGGGGCTAGTATAAGGATTATACGATTTGGGGGTCATTGTGGCGCATTCCGGCGTCCTTGAGATGCATGACAGTCGCATCCTCGGGGTTTGTGGCACATTACAGCGCGTTCTAGCGCTTGTAGTACATGATAGCACTTGCTTGTATATGCGAGCACATCATGGTATATTGCAGTCAATTATGGGCTCTTAAGGGGTTTCTTCCGGGCTCAGGTTTTAGGATTTGGTGAGGGTTTCGTAGGGGTTTGGAGGGCTAGGGCATTCTGGGGCTTGAAGGATTGAGGCGTTTTGAAAGGGAAGAAGGCTTTAAAGGGTTTCGGGATCTGACGAGAGCCCTTTTTTGGGGGGCACCCTTGGGTGAGGACTCCGGGAACGAGGACTTCAACCCTCAAGTGGACGAGGCATGGCGCTTTGCGGATGTCTTTCTCCGGGCACATCGCATCCCCATACACCTAAACTAAGAGTGTGGGACGCCCATGAAAAAGCACAGGACACACAAAACACAGGACACCATGCCCCAGACCCATGATACGGACCCAACGTGTCTGTGTCGCAAAGGCCGTGGAAGTCCTTCTGTCGGCGACAGAGTCGAACCCCAGCGGCTGGGCCTTAGGCTGCCGGGCGGCAAGCGGTTTTGGAGAATCTTTTTCGATGCTTCGATTTGGTAGTCGAGGAGTATACCTGAAGTCGCAGGTACCGGAGGCTGCCGGAAACCATGCACTGACTAAGTCCCAAACGCCGTTCAATGCGAGTCTTAAGGGGTGCCCTGGCCATAGCCAGTGCTTTGAGTCACTGAGGCAAGGTGAAGACCATCAAGAATTCCTTTTACTTCATCACCTTCGATCCAACACAGAAGGGCAAGCAGGATCTCATCAAGCGCACGGCTGAAGACTGTTGTTCTTTGTCCCCAAGTTGGAGCTGCCACAGCCTATGGCTGCACAGTGACAGTAATATATAGTAATAGCAGTGCTAGTAATAATAGAAATAGGGGTAACAATAGCAATGGTAATGATAGTCATAGTGATCTGCCAGGACTTAATCGTCGAGCGCAAAGCCCTGCGGCGAACGAGCTCGGAGCAGCAGCTGGACGTCTCCTCGATGATCCGAAAGTGCGCCAGGGATGATGAAATGGGGACTCTTAGCGGGGTAAGGGGACGGGGTAATTAGGGGACTACACTTCCTTAAATAGGCGTTATTCGGTCCTTATCATGTGCATTAAGGCCCCCCACAAAGGCTCCTATGAATGATGAAAGAGGGAGCTTGGTCCCATGTCTTGCTTACTACCCGCCCCTTCCACACCCTTCTGATTGGTCCTCAGGTTCGATAACTTTCCTGCGAGTTTGGATCTACACTAGTCACTAGTACTCAAAAGTCCAGCGACTCAGCGAGCGAGAGAGAGAGAGTGTGTTATGCTGAATTGTTATCGCTTCGTGCAAGCCATGACGGGGACAACACGTCTGGACCTCAGTGGCATTACGAGCTTTTGTGAACAGTATGGTCTGGCAGTCCCTTGTGTCTAATTTGGTTCTTGAAAGTCAAGCTGCCGACATGTGTTCATACAAAGCCAGTAGACATAATGCTCGAACACAGTTGGGGAAGACATACATGGTTTTCAGGCCTACTGTTACTGCTTGCATTGATCCTCCCCAACTGAGAACTGTAGAAAACTTGAAAATGCAGTGGCAGGGAAAGTACCTGTTACTGTCAGCCGGGGGATATCTTGATTGTTCCATCCTTCACCTGATCTAGGCACTCAGTACATTTGATAATAAGAACACGGACCCCCCGGCAACAAAGAAGTCGATTTCGTACGGTGTGAATCCTGGGGGAACCTGTACTCTATCTAACTAGTGATCTATGCTCCAATGTACCTTGTGCCGACCCAAGGAACACACCGCTACAAGCTTTCACGCCCTTCTAAAACCCCGACAAACAACGGGGGGCCCTTCAAGGGCGAGGGGTCTCGCACGCCCCTCACGCCCCGGGGAAGAAGAGAGAGAGAGAGAGCCTCGGGGTAGGCCTCTTGGCCAGAGGCCCTGGCCCCTCACACCCCAAGCAAGCAAACAAGAAAGACAGAGAGCAAGCAAGCCTTCGTCAAGAGCTTCAGCCTTCTCTTGGTGGCAAGCCCGATTGTGCCACCTCCTGCCAAGAGTGGAGGTCCTTTGAATCCGACATCACCCGGCTTTGCGCCAGGCTGCTGCCCGTGGATCCGGACCTTCACGGCTGGATTCGGTCTCAGGCCGCTCAAGTCCGCCGAGTGACCGAGACTTCGATGGAATCCTCTGCGATCCTGGGGAGGACTCTTCCGGGTGCTTAAACCACGTGCAGAACAAGTGCAGCTTGCTGGTGGCAAACTGCGGGCAACCCAGAGTCAGAGCACGGAACGCGATGTTTCGCGGAGTCGAAAGTATTCGCTGATCGGATTTAGGGTTGAGAGATCTTGAGGATTTGGGGTGATTGAAAGCTTGATTCTTGCACGGGGCTCCAGGAGTCGTCGTGTTCGTTTCCTCGTCTGCTTCGCCGCTGTGTTCTGATGTCAAAACGCTCTTGAGAATTTGCATGGGCCATGCAATCACCACCAAGGCACCAACGTGGAGCTTGGGAGCCACAAAGATCCGGAGGCCGGGAGGGGTGCAGACCCGTACACCTCAGTGCACAGCACCGAATCGTGAGTTCCGCATGTGGACAAGTGGCCGAAGGCCACAGAATTTATGCATTGGGCCTCTGGTATCTGAGAGAGGATGTCACATTTAGTTGCTCGAATTTGTTTCTTGCGCCCAGGTGCTCCTCATCGGAGGAGAGAGGGAAATCCGCCTTGGGGTGCTGTTGCTAGAGTGAACCTCGCATGACTTGTTGGTACTTGGGAGACTTGTGTAAGGCGACCCTAGAACCCCAGATCAGTTCCCGAGCATGGCAGGCAGATCCACTTCAAGTACCAGATTCAGATGCAGAGGCCCGGCCGACGAGTCGATCGTGCTTCCAGGAGATCCACATCCCTGAGCCCATTTCGACTAAAACCGTACATGACGTGGCCCTCAAAAAATCCTATGCAAGCCCTGCGGCGCCCATGACTCCTAACCCTAAATCCTAAACGGTCCTGAACTCTAAACTCCATGTACCCTACTAAACTAAACCCTAAACCGTCATCAAGCCCAAAGCTTAGAGCTAAGCTTTGCCAGGTTTCACGAACACCGTGAGCAGCTGATGGAGCGGCTGGCAATGCTTGGAGCCCAAGGATTTCCTTTTTGGTTTTGAGAGGTTCCGTTTTAGGCTGATCGGATTCTTGCGCTCTCTCAAAGTTACGCAGGGTACCTACGAGTATTGGCATGAGTCAGCCGAACTTCACGGTACGTTATTTTATAGGGAACTCGGTGGAAAAGACAGGGTCCAACAGCAGCACTGCTGCAGCAGCTTTCATGTGAAGTCGCCCCTCCGCCAGGGCCAAGCAGTGGCACTCCGCACAGCATCAGGAGGCCGAGACGAGCCTGCGTTGCGAGCCTCTTCTGAGATTTCCCGACAGGTCTTCCACGTCGACCAAGCTTTGGTTGGCCGCATCATCGGCAAAAAGGCACACGACATCGCACGACATCGTGCCATGATTTTCGATCTGGCGGGGGGTCAATTGCAGGGCATCCAGTAGTTCTTGATTCTTGCGCTGTCCGCTGCTACATTCATGCGATTGTGGCCTGTGCCCAGGGCGACAACGTTCGCGACATCCGCGAAAGACACGGTGTTGAGGTTTGGATTGAGGATCCTCGCAGAGACGGCACTGCCTGCAGGCCTGGTGCCTGGCTAAGTGCTGCTTGGGTTCGTCCGCAGGATTCGTGCTGCCCCGAGTCGAGTGTCTTGCTGAACACTTGTGTTCCTCATGACCGATCTTTACAATGACTGCTGATTATGCTACCAACAATAACCACATTCAGTACGTAGTCTTATTGAGGTTTCGAAGTGCTGCAGCAAGAAATTGTAGTTTGTGCTTGCGCGGTTCGTCGACCTTGATTTCACAAACTCGCTCGCATCGTCTCTGCAGTGACTTCCTCTATTTCTGCTCAGCGAAGTCCACCTGCCAGGGTGACCGTGTGTGGGCAGACACCAGAGACCGTGAAAGCGGCACGTGATGAACTGGAGTTCATCACCGTGCAGTCCTCGGCAAACCTGCTGGACCGTTGCAAGGGTCCTTTGATCTAGCAGCTGTGCAACGCCCCTGTCGTTATCGCAGAGGTGTCAATTCCGGTGGACAGCGAGCATGTTGGATGGATCTTGGGCAAGGGCTACCAGACCATCACGGACCCTGCAGATGCGGCAGACTTCACTTATTGTTGTGTAGTTTTCAGCGTTTTTTGTGGCGAGGTGGTGTCGGCGACTTCCAAATTTGGTACTAGTACTGCGTGGTGGTGGCAAGTAAAACGTAGCAGCATTGGCAGGAAACATGCAGTTGGTCATGTCGAGACTCATGTAATTGACATTTCTGCAACGCTGCGACATGGTTATGTCTGTTGATTCGTCTTGTCTGCTCTGACATGCTCGTCTGCAGGACATCGCCTCCAAGACAAAGCTCCACCACGCTAGGCATCGCGAATAACAGATGCTGCCGCTATAGCCATCTGCTGAAGCTTGTTTGCTGGTAGACCGTTACAGCCGGGCGCCACGAGAAGTGTGGCAGTCATCAGATTTTCTGGATTCTGGACCTACTGTCAATCCTGTCCTCGATGCAGATACGATGACAAGTCCAAGACATTGGAGCTCTGCGGCTTGCGCAGCCAGGCCAGGAACGCTTTAGGCTTAAGGTTAGTCTCCGGGCCAGAAAGCTGCGAGCAAGGTCGAGGACGCCAAGCTCATGATCTCCGTTCATCGCGAGTATCTCCCAGTGTACAAAGACATGGACGAGGCCCGGATCTGGGTGCCCTTAGCCCTCTTCAACAGCCGAAAGCCCCTAAAGCCCTGATGTTGAGCTCTACTCTGCTGCGAGCTTGTTCCTAGGAGCAACACGCCATCCAGCAGTCCTTCGACCAGCTTGACGGCCGAAGTCTCGGGTCTTTTGTGTTCCTTGCAAAATGCCAGGAACGCCAGAGTTCTTGACTCGAGGTGTGGCGAACACCAAGGGCAAGGGAAAGAAAGGGGAGAAAGGCCCTGCAGGGCCTTGCTTGCAGAGCTTCGGCCCCATGTGGAGCCCCCAAGGAAAAGAGTCCAAGGGCGAAGGGAAGGGCGAAGATGACGAGGGATGGAAGACGAGGCTCAGGGAGCAGAAGAGTGACTGATACTTTAAGCTGCAGCCCTGACTTGGCACAGGAAGGGGGATGAGCCGTCTGGTAAAGGCTGGAAAGGGAAAGATGGTAAGGAAGGAAAGGATGGCAAGGGAAAGGAAGGGAAGGAGGGTAAGGAAGGAAAGAGCAAGGCCGGCAAAGAAGGCTCATATGGCAAAGATGGTGGCAAAGCATCCAAAGGCCACTATGGCCTTCGGCCTTCTGCTTGCTTCTTTTGAACGGAGCCTCAGATATCGATGCGCAGTTTCTCCATTTCGCGAGGTGGAGACGATGGCTATGTCGGAAGCTCAGTAATGGTCCCGGATCTTCCAAAAGCTCGGCCAAGTGACTCTGGGAAGGGCAAGGATTGCTAGGAACCTGTTGTCGTGGCAGTAGAAACACGTCAATGCGCCAGAGGACAGAAGCGGCGGAAAAGGTGGCGGAAAAGAGAATGGAAAGGAGAACGGCAAGGAGAATGGAAAGGAAGGTTCGAAAGGTAGCGGCAAGGACAAAGGTAAGGCCGGGTCCGAAGGCAAGGACAGGGAAAGAGATGGGAAGGAAGTCAAAGGCAAGGACTCAAAAGAAGGCAAAGGAGGCAAGGAGGGTAACGATGCCAAAGGAAAAGAGCCAAGAGAAGGAAAGTCTGCCAAGGGCAAGGATGAGGGAAAGGAGAGAGGCGAGAAGGGCGAAGGTAAGAGTAAAGGCAAGTATGGTCATGATGAAGATGGCAAAGGTGATGGTAGAGAAGCCAAAGGAGAAGGCAAAGGAGGCTCGATGTCGCTCCGACGGTTTGCGTCTGCCCATGCCCCAGCTCAGGCAAGAAAGGAAAAGGAAAGGCCAGCAAAGGCGAATCATGAGTGACTGACGGTGCCTTTCTGAACAGCCGCTGTCGGTATCGTTAACGCACCTCGGACTCCGCAACCTCTGCTCACAGCAAGCTTGTTCCTGTCACTATCACCAATGCTGCTCGAGATTCGACCTACTTAAGAAGGATGGTTCTAAAATGCTTCGTAGCTGAGGGCAGGCGGGCCATGTGGAGTCTGGAAGCTCACGCGTCTGCCGAGAGCACAAACACAGCGCGAAATGCATCCGCAAGAGAGCTGTTGCCATTTCGCCGGGCCTGCCTTGCCAAGCATCACGCCGATCCTGCTCTGTGCGCAGCTTTGCAACGCTGGAGACCAGATTGAAAGGGTGAAAAGCCAGTAGACAAGCCGACTCACTACTGATTCAATCCGGTGCATTCCATGGAGGACCTTTCCAAAGCATACACAGCATCTCGTTTGATGAGCGTTCCCAACCCTGCAAGCAGTCGTCAGATGATTCAGGGCTCAGCTCAAAGGCGGTTCGCCATGTGGCGACTGGCCCGTGCGTACCGGCTGCAGCGTGCCTGCAAAACAGCTTGTGTGCTTCAGCGCTGTTTTCAGGCACCGGCACCTACATCGGTTGCGCAGTTCCAAAGCCCAGAGGAATGGCCGGTGGAGGATTCTCTGAAAGTGGCCCGAAAAAGAAGAGACATGCACATTGTTGCGTTTTCCCCAGTATGGCGCGATGTTGAAACACTCAACATCCGGACCTCGGCGACGATAACCAACATGCCACCCTTTCACAAAGCATGTGCGTGAACAACAGGTCGTCCCCCATGCAGGTAATTACATAGTAGATGAAGTGTAGGCTGCCCCTCCCATCAGGATGCGCCTACGGCACACACTGAGTAATTAGTGGATGCCCCCGATATCGGACTCAAGTCGCTTCCGTGGTCAGTGGCAAAGGCCCGCAACCGGCCTCTATGGGTGTGTTGGTCCCTCGCCGATTCTGGCAGCAGGCAGGGTATCAGGGGATGCCACCACCAGCTCGGACTTTGCTGAGGCGTAGGGCTCACAGGGAGTGTGCAGTAAAGACGACAAGAAAGGTCGCCGGGTGAAGCATATATTGCACTACTGAGGACTAAGAACAGACAATACCATGATGATGTCTGCCTATCTGACCTATCTCACATACAATACGTGGGTGGTTGTCAAAATTCAATTAGAGTCCCTATTTGGGTACCTTAAATATTAGGTGCCGTATTATATTAGGGACCCAAAAAGGGACCATAATTTTGACAACCACCCACATCTTTTTGGTTGACTGTCTCCATCCAGGCCTGCAGCCTGCCAGACCACTGACCGCTCCTCAGACGCGCGATCATCAGAGCTCCAGTGCAAGTGCCATCTGCTCGTACCTTGGTTAGTAGGGAATGGAAGAATGGTAGTCATACTAGTTATACTTGTACCCCATTCCTCCATTCCCTACTAACCAAAGGTAAGTCATCAGAGCTCCAGAGCAAGTGCCATCTTCTCCCAGGAGCACCGCAAAGGCGGAAGAAGGCCGCCAAAGCAAGCATGGATGTAGAACCGTGCTAGAAGTTGGGTGGCAAGTCGGGATAAGCTGTTGCTTTCCCTTGTGTGGTCTTTCACGGCTACCTAATCTGTTCGTCACAGGAAACACGCAGTTTGTGGCATCTTTGACTTCTGTTGGAGTGGTTTGGTCACGACAGATTCGGACGCCGCTGCGTCGACCACGACGACTGACGAGGCGCTCAGATTGCCGACGTGGGCAGTATGGGAGTTTCCGAAAATAGGGGTCCTTATGATAAGGATCCTACTATTTCAGGTGCCATTTTTGGGTCCCCCATATTCGGAAACTCCCATATCATGCAATTTGTTGATTGGACTATGACAGTTCTGATCATTAAGTTAGATTGGCGCGAGCACCCGAGCACAGGAACCTAGCAGCTTGTTTTCCGATGCGCCCGAGGCCCAGTCAGGCGATGCATGTCAGGTCTCGAAGAAGACCTTGAACCACAGTCCCGAAAAAAGTAGTCTGACTGTTTATCTGAGAGCAAACCCACTTCCCATATTCCGGTTTTGTCTTATCGGCTACACCTCAGGCCTCCCCAACTCCCCATGTACTTCTTGGGCGATTTCGCCGGCATGTAGTCAGTCGCACAGAGCCAATTGTGTTCGATGGGCTTCCAATGGGCGCTACACTCCTCCGTTCTACTACTTCACGTACTCGCACACGAGCTACCACGCTGCAACCGGGGTTCATGACCTTACTTGCTCTTGCCTTTGCAGTTCTGGGCCTGTTGCCTGACGGGCTTCACCTTACGTACAGTGAGGTGGTGGCCGGACGTCGCACAACGTTGTCATGAGCGGCTAGCACAACGCCCCCACCTTCTGCCAGAGGACCACGGAAGTGGTGCAACAAGATGTATATGTAACTTGCATGAAGTCCCTTTTGTTGCATCGTTACCAGTGGAATTGCAAGCTGGACCCTTTGACCCAAAACGCAGATTGGCTCGAAGCTGTGGGGCCTTGCTCAGGCCTTAGGACTGCAGGTGGAGTCACACTGAAGCTCGACAAAGCTGCCCAAATGATGGATGAGCTGGAGGACTTCACTTTGCAGGACCTGGATGGTGCCTGGGTTTGCCCCAAAGGGCTCTTCCACCACATTCAAAAGGCCGTGCTTTCTTCTGAGGGGTCTTTGGCCAGACCGTTTCGAGCCGACCGGGCTGACAAGCATGGACCAAACCATTTCTCCGTGGGGCACCGAAGGCGCAAAGGATCCGCTCCATCCACTCTGCTGCGCTGCCAACTAAGGTCCAGGTGGGAGGTTTGCTTAAAGTTCCATATGCAAGATTTCGGCGAAAAAAGTGAATATGCAAGGAAGGGTGCTTTGTTTTCTGAGACTCCCAGGTGCACCCTGCTATGGACGAGTCCAGCTTACAAGGAGCAGTGGGAGCGGTACACGCCTTCCATCGCTGGTTGTCTGGAAGCCCTCTTCATCGGACGCCGGGTGTTCCTTAAGCAGCTTCATTTAAGTCACCAAGAGAAAGGGAGAGAGACATAGAGCTAGATGTGAAGAAGAGATCGATAGCCGATAGACATAGATGTATATACATGTATAATAATAAAAATTAAGACATAAGAGTAATTATTATTGCTGTTATTATTGCTAGTATAACAATAATATATTACTTTTATTATTACTGCTATTATTATTCAGTAATAATAGCAGCAGTAATGACAATAGTAACAATAACAAGTAGTCATAAATATTCATGCATAGGATGTCTTCCTGGTTCTTGTAACTCTAGCAAACTCCCTTATCGAGAGCCTAGGACGTGATGGAACAGAGGTGAGGGCGGATGTGGCCAAGGCAACAAATGTGCGCGAACTGCGGAAGGAAGCATGCAAGCAGTCTCTCCGATCGTGGGGGTTTTCAGTTATCTCCTTGGACGAGCTATCTTTGACGGAAGTTGCAACTGGCAAGGTCTTGACAGACAGCTGTGACCTCTCCAGTTCTGAAGATGTCAAATTGAGAGTATCAACCTCTCTGTCCGACATGATCTTGGCGGGGCGACTGCGACTAACATATGCAGACGGGAGAGCGTGCGAAGCAGATGTCCAGCATGTTTTTCACCTGCGTGAAATATTCGCGAGTGTGGCGAAGCACACGTCGCGACCTCCTGAGTTCGTCAGAATATTCGCAGGCTGCAAACAGGGAAATGTGCAACTGCGCAGTACTCAGACATGGATCTGTGGACCGGACGACGAAGTCGTGCTTGAAGTGCATCTGCGAGAGACCATAGCTGAGCTGTGGTCTTCTCGGAGGCTCTCACTGCTGCGTGACGGTCAGGACTGGCACGTAGATCTCTCGAAGACCTGGACACTGGAGCAGCTGCGGGAAGTTCTTGCACGTGAAACGCTTCGCCCTTCCCGCTTTGTCCGCTTCGCGAATGAAGACTTGTACCGTAATGAGGCTTGGAATCTCGAGCTTGGACAGAGCATGAACATTGAAGTGCAGATATGTCCAACTGTTGCAGAGCTAATAAGCCAAAGCGGGGTGAAGATCGTCAACTGTATGACCGGTGATGAAATTTCCATGGCTGCAAAGGAAGCATCGTGCCTCCAATCCATCCAAGACTTGCGCGAGCACATTGCTCGTTGTCGTAAACTGCGTGCCACTGCTGTGACCCTGCTCGCCAATGACAAACCGCTGTGGGACAAAGATCTCTGCGATCTATGCACGATCAGTGCAGGCAGCACGATAGCGGTTTGCCTGCGTGATCCCAAGCTTTGTGAACAGGGACAGCACGAGGAAATGGTTTTCTGCAACAACGGCTACAATGACAAGGTCTGTATCCACTGCGGTCCAGAATGGTTAATGGAACGCCGCACGCTTGAACCTCTAAGAGTAAGGGTGTAGCCAGTTGCCAGTTGACTGCCAATCCGGCCCAAGCCCATCAGTCGTCGACTGACATGTACAGTGCGTGTGTACAGAGTACAGCAGGCTTTGCCGGAAAGATTCTGCAACATTCGTGGGTCTCAATTTATCCCGTAGTGCTATACCGTCACGTTCCACATCCCAACAGTATGGTGCCCTGTACGGCCCTTTGGCTCACTTTCGAATTGAACGCGAAATCCCAAAGCGTTGGTACCTTTGCGTTTAGGGAATTGCTCTGCTTGCTGCAGATGCTGGGGCAGATCTTTAACTCGGGTTTCGAGTTCGACGATCTACATGGACAGGTTTCGGCTGATTGGTAGGAACAGGGCATTTAGCAGGTAGGGGCAGTCATGAGTTCAGTCGAATCACAGGAAGGCACCTCACACGATGACATGGAGAGAGGGCGAGTGAGATTGGTATTTTCATAGCAACACATGGCCGCACTGAAAGAAAATCCTATACCCTGAACCCGAAGCCCTATTCCATAGACCCCAGACCTTTACTGTGAAGCACATACCCTATCCTGAACCCGAAGCCCTTTTCATAACCCCTGCAAAACGTCGTAGAGCCATTCTCAACAAAGATCGGAGAAGGGTTTGGGGGCATGTTGTAATCTCTGCATATCGGGAGTATTCATAGTACAGAGCCCTAAAGCCTAAAACCCCTATATAGACGAGTCATACCGGCACCATCAGAGCCTTTCTTTCCGCGTCCGCTTGCCCGCGCGAAGGATCCCATGGCACAGGGGGTGGTTTCCTGGGCCCCTGCCTTGAACGGATGACGTTCATGGCCTGGGGGGGGGTGGTCTTTCCGTGAATTTGGAGTTTAGGGTTTATGGTTCGGGTTTAGGGTTTGGGTTTAGGGGTTTGGGGCTTTCGGGGTGTTGTACAAAGGTTGTGTAGGGATGTATAGGTATAAGGGGCTTCTTGAAAATGGGCGTTTGTTTGTTTCGGGTTGCTGTAACACTACTTGTAAGACGTTACAAAGGATTCTGGTAGTTTGAGTCCCCGTTGGTTCCCTTGCCTTTCAAAAATCTAAATCTCATGGGATGGCGCATGCCATCTCTGTCCTTACCCACAATGCGACAGCCTCTTTGAAGCTCCGGGTGTCCGGAAGGCGTACTGGCGTGGGGTTTAGTGTTTCTAGGTTCTGTCCTTCGGACCGTCGGAGAGGGTTCATGGGGTTAAGGCGGTTAAGGGAGAACGGTTCCAAGACCCGCTTCGCCTTGGCCTGTCTTGGACTCAACATGTCAACGCACATTATCAAATCCAACGACAATCCAAACATCCTCGTAAGAACTGTAGAAAATCTTTCGAAGCACCACTGACTTGAAGATACACCCTATAATGCCCTTATGACTCTGATGAAACCATTGGGAACCCTTAAACACCCTGGCGGAGTCCCTGCACAAGCTTTGCAAAACCTTACGAAGCACAGTAGAAGTCTCACTAAACATTAGAAGAAGCCTTTCTAGACCTACACACACACACAAACAGATACATTTATATATATATATTTATGTGTGTGTATATATATGTGTAAATGTATAAGTATGAAACCTCTTCAACATATCCACACATCCGCATTGCTGTGAGGTCGAGTACGAGTTGGCTCGGAGCGTTCCTGAGCCAGGGAAGAAGGCCTGCAGAAACCTTCGATGCACAGGGGGGGAGGGGGTGTTCAGCCATTTGGGGGGCTGTTGGGGCTTTTGAGGCTTTCGGTTTTTTTTGGGGGTCCGGGGTTTTTGGGGAAAATTAGGGGCTTTAGGGTTTGGGGTTTTGCGATACTGTTTCTGGGGCTGAACAAAAAGGCTTTAGGGCAGGGCTGTTAACGGTCCAAGCGAGAAGCTTGTCCCAAGCAGGCAGCTTATCAATCCTCAGCATGTGAAGTCTGCATGATCCCCGCTTGTGGTGCACGGCAGTCTATGTATCAACTGAGACACTTTGGACCGCAGGCGAAGAAGGATGAGATACCGCTGTCGCAGCGGGACAGAGCCCAAATCCCACATTCTGGATTTGCTTCCCGCATGCTTCGCAATGCAAGTTTTACTGTTCTGGTTTGCTCGGTTTTGAGGAGTGGGATTAGGGTCTCAGAGAGGGTGATGAGACTTCGCTCGATGCAAGGATGAGCCACCTCAGCCTCTTCCAGAGGACGGCAAGTGGCAATGGTCAGAACCTGAGCACAGTTACTTGGAGCTACTCCTCATGGAACTTTGCGTCAGTATCATGAGATCATGATTGCTCGCATCACGATACCGCCATCAGCTGCCTGTTTTGTATTGCAACCAGATTTGCAGGTTATACCGTGCAGTTCGCAACAGAGGGTTATGGTTCTGTAGGGAGGGGAAAGCTTGGCAGGCTGCACCAAAGCCCCGACTGCGGGGCAGTCTTCAATGTCAGAGTCCCCCGCTCTCCTTCTTTGGGTTACTTCCGGCCTTTAAAAGGGGAATCCAAAAAAAGCCGGGAGATGGGCTCTCCTTCAGCCCGACAGTTCTGATTGCAAGAGGAAACGGGTGCATGGAAGCTCGAGTCTCACGGAATTCGCGGAGAATCGGATCCACTTATATTCTCAGAAAATACCCCGGATACCGAGTCAGCATAGACCTTCTTTAAGAGCAGGATCCCCCGCTTGTCTGCGAGGCTGCTACGGAGTTCGGGAGAAATCGTGGGGAGCCGGTCTCAGAGTGGGGATTTCTCGGCATCTGCAGATCCCATCATCTGTAGGTAGTTGTGTACATGGCGTTGCCAGGCCCAAAGGTGAACGCAGCTAGCGCCGCGGCGTGCGAAAAACGGGCCGAAGAGCGATGCTATTCTGAGCACTGACACACGCTTGCTGCCCGAGGCTATGTTCCGCCTGGCTTCTTGCACCCCGAGAAAGATCCCCGGTAGTTCGGTTTGCTAGGTGTATCAGATGTATGACGTGAGGTCGATTTCGGATCACGTGGGTGCACTGTCGTAACAGTACGGAGCTCCAACACACAGCTTGCTTCTCAAAGATTAGCCCAGTACGGTCAGTTTCCTTGGGCAGTTCCTTTGTCCTGCCATGTGCACCATGCCATCATCCGTGCCCCCTTTGTGAAGATGCAGGCGTGGGCCTTGTTCGGCTTTGAAGTTAGGGCATAGGCCAGGGACATTCCCTGGCAGTTGCCGGCGCCCACCAAGCCCAAAAGCAACGATCAAGTCTTCACCTTTCGAGCTGCAGTGCCCAGGCGCCCGAAGACCCGGATCGGGACAAGGTCATCGTCGGGTGCTGAGTCACGGATGACGGACGCTTCCGGGTACAGAGGGTCGGGCACATCTTACAGCACGATCTCAGGGGTCATGCTAAGCCACTCACTACGAAACTCAGCGGTCTCACCAAAGACGCTTGTTCAATCTCCTCTGAGATCCTGTGAGATGACTTAGGCACAGCTTGGCCCGCGATGGCAGGCAATGTGCAAGACCAATGTTGCGGGCTCAGACTCAGCCTTCCATGCACAACGAGACCTTGAGTACTCTATGCTTGGGAGGCCAGCACCACCTTCCTGTGGGCGATGACCGGGAAGAAGAAGTGACCCTGACCTGAGCTTTCTGAATCCCCAGCGTCTAGGGTCGCCTCCCCAGTGCTCGAACAAGGAATGAACCCCCCAGGCCTGCCTTCCTGTAAATCAGCAAGTGACTTCGAAGCATGACAGGTGTGGCTGGGTGCAGCTGCTCCCTCGGGGAAAGCTTTCCACCACTTGGTGTCTTGGGCGCGGGGACCAAGAGCAGTGCCGAACGTTTGATCGAAGACATGGTGTCAATCGTGACGTTAGGAGCTGGGAGGTCTTGGCCAACAATACGGATGCCCGGCGCCCAAGGGCAAGCTGTGCTTGGATCCTCCTTTTCATGCTTCAGATTCCTGAGGTCATCGACATGAGCTTCAGCGATTACAGACATCTTTGCCACTACAAGGCCTCTTGAAAGGGCTGTTGGACAGCTGTGAAACTTCCGAATCCGCTCATCAAGCCTCCAGCTGCTGACCCTCCCTCCTCCTCTGATATGCTCATGCTACGCAGTTGCAGGACGGCGGCTTCGTGGTCGAGCAGAAGTACGGCTTAAGGATGGGAGCCCTTGCATGGCGAGCCCTTGCCACATTTCGGTGCAGAGCTGCGCAGGACAGGCAAGGACGCCTACAAGCCTGGCGTTGCCAAGACGTGTCGAGCTGAGTCGTTTGAGTACCACAAGCAGAATCTTATCATGTAGAAGTTTAGGACTCTGTAGAAGCAACTCCATTGCTTTGCGCAGGCTAGGACGTGAGACTCAGCAGCTTGCCACTCAGGGAAGGCTTCATCACGAAAAACGACCAGCGAGGTCACAGTGGCGCAGGGACCTTACCTTGCTCACAGGAGACCTCTTTCATCCACTCCGTTTGCTTGGGATGCATTTTGTGTTGCTGCTTTTTCGTTCCACAACTGTCGGTGCACGCCGATTGCTGACAGCACCAGGTTCCAGGCTACAAATCATCCTCCGGTCGAGGTTCCAAGCGGAAGGTGACTCAGCAGTTAATTACTGCTGCTTGCCCGTTTAGTGTCAATACCTTGAAACTTTAAACCCAGCCCGTGGGACTGTGAACGGAAGACTTCGCACAGCGAGGACCTCAGCGACGACGAGGCCGAAGCAAAGGCAGCCAGCTTCCTTCAAAAGGACACCGCAACACTAAGCCCTGTGCCCTAAGCCCTCAAGGGAGTGCTGTTTGCGTGCCTTGTCATTTCATATGTCAAGCCTGAAAGGGCGGGACAGACTAGACAGTGATTCTAGAGTTTGAAAGGGACTGAAAAGTGAGTCTCGCAACAGATCACAAGGGGACACTCTCGCTTAGATGGTTTAGCTGTGTTCATGTGTGCGCCGGAACCGAATTTGGCCCCCGGAACCCGTGTGATCTGCAGCTGACTTCCTCAAGATCTCCGTGTGATAAGCTTGTTCAACCACTGCACTAAGAGATCTTGAGAGGGGAGTAGCACACTGCGAGGAGCACGGTTACTTTATTGTTGTAGATTGTACACTGTTGATGTTGGAAGGCTCCGTTAGATTTGTATCACTCAACAGAGTCCAAATCACATGCCTCGCCTGGATTGTCCGAGTGTGAGCGCCGAAGCCCTTGCAGCCACTAAAAGGCGTAAAAGCCTGAACTTGAAACCCAAACGCCCGAAAGCTTTAAACCCTAAACGCCCGTAGCAATAGTTCCCTCTTGAATGGGACTTACTATATCCTACCTAAAGATCTTGTCTACTTGTGTTTAAGTCCCTCTAAACCCCAAACGCTTCATTCCCTCAAGGGTTCTTGAAAGAGGCATCTCCGCGAACATATAAAAGCCCTAAACCCCCCTTTCCCGGTAGGCGGGGAAGGTGCTGAGCAAAAAATCCAAACCCCAAGCCCGACACAAACAAGTTACAGGGGGCTTAAACAGCAAAAAAATCCATAACACCCTAATTTTTTTAACACCTCAAGAGGACCTCTCCTTCGAAGCCTTCTTCGGCGCCTGGCCGCCTCCTCAGAACTCGGCGGCACTTGGAGCTCGAGGCCGTGCTTCTTAGGCTCTGGGGTGCAGTTTAGGGCTGGATGGGTAGGTTTTAGGGCTTTAGGGTTGGGCTTGAGGGCTTCAGGGCGGTAGGGCTTGGGGCTTTCAAACCTGATTGAGGTCGGACTGGAAATCAAAGCGCGAGAGGCCGCCGGACAGCACTGTAGATTTGTTAGGCCTGCGCAGAGTCGTGTCAAGATGTTGATCTATACCTTTACACGTGAAGTATACAATGTACTCATAAAGTTTTCATGTACATACATGGATATCTATGCATGTATGCATGCGGATTGCCAACACTTGAATGTCGCTAGGTGCTTCTCCGAAGTGCCCTGGGCCACAGCCGCGCCTGAGGCACGTCCCGGATGAAGTGCATTTGGCCAAGGTACTCTCGCTGTTTTTATGTTTCTGGGACCTGGGGTTTTAGATTCAGTTTGTTATACAGTCGGGACCTTGCTGATAGGAGTAGGTTTGCTTCGGACTGGTTGGGCCATGAGAACAGTCTCGCATGGCAGTTCCGACGTTACCATGTGTTACTCATAGCGGTCAAAACGACTAGTAAGATCAACATCGGAAGCTACCGCAAGCGTGACTGCATATCAATGCCAGTGATTGCCCTAGATAATGTAAGTGCTTGACTGCGGACTGACGTGCGTTCAGTGCTTTTCCATCCTCATGCAGTGTTGAAGATCTGTTTGCTTCTTGATTGGCCAAGGCTGGACATACACTGAGACTGAGGCATACGCGAGTGTATGTTTATGCAAATACATATACTGACACATACAAACACTCTCGCACACACATACGTAGAGCCAGAGACCCGCAGAAACCAACTTAGTATGTGGCCGTGAAGATGACAGAGGCAGCCTAGAACGGGCTTCATGGTGGGCATGCTGCCCTCGCAAGACATGCTGCCGCAGTGCTGTCAGCGACATTGACTTTGTAAATGCATTCACACAGCACCGATGATAGCGAACTATGCCCCTCCAATTTCGGAAGCACGCAAAGAGCGGCATCAAAGGCTTGGTGCCAGTGCCCAGTCACTTCAAGTCGCTCACACGCCCGAGCCCGAAACCCCAAAGCCCTAAGCCATACAACCTACACACCCTGAAGCCCTGCAAGCCCTTAGCGTTACAGCTTGCGGTCTCCGAGAGAGCTTGAAGCAGGTGCCTATGCCGGAGGAGACAAAGGCCGAAGCTGCGCTCCGCGAGGCGGAGGCGCGGAACAAAAACTGCTCGAATTCCTCAGAGAGAAGGCAATCATCATGAATCATGATAGTAATGAAAGATCCTCTTACTACTACTACTACTACTACTACTACTACTACTACTACTACTACTACTACTACTACGACTACTACTACTACTACTACTACTACTACTACTACTACGACTACTACGACTACTACGACTACTACGACGAAGACGAAGACGAAGACGAAGACGAAGACGAAGACGAAGACGACGACGACGACTACTACTGCTACTGCTACTGCTACTACTTACCACTCCTGCTCCTGCTACTGCTACTGCTGCGACGAATAGCAGGAATAATCATCATGATCAGCGGAGTGATAAGTATAATTTTGGAGTATTGGGGCTCAGGGAGGCCGTTCAGCCGTCCAGTCCAGGAAGCAGAGGAAGCTGCAGAGGGAGCTGCCCTGGAGGCCACTGCCGAGGCCTGTGTCTGCATGTCCCACAGCGGTCTGGCATCTTCCCTGCGTCAACTTTTCATGTCAAGGGCACATCTTAGACAAGGGGCTCGCTGCGATGGCACGGCAGAGACGAAGATATGCTTGCGAAGTACGTACAATTTTGAGTTCCGAAACCAGCTATTTGCAACTGTGTCTCCAGGTACAGTAGCCTCTTCCTCCACAGCTGCAGAGGCCATTCTTCCGAACTCTGAGAGTGCTTGATGGAGAGCGTTGGCTGGTATCTAATGTGGAGAAATGATTTGTCGCATCATGCCCGGTTGCGCGGAGGAGGAGGAGCAGGAGCAGGAGCTGAAGGGACTTTGCATAATTCGACGCCAGAAACGCTTCTTTGCGCAGAAAGGGGTCCGAGCCAAAACGCTGTGCTGGCTGCGCCGCATAAACAGAAAAGAAGCATCGCCGGGTGGGTTGCGGACTCCACAGGGCCTATTTGTCTAGAGAAGCTGCACAGCGCACTGCAACTGTGAGTGGTGTGTGCCGCTGCTTTTCTCCACCAGGCAGCCTAGACAAGCTGTCATGCAGTTCTGCGTAACAGCAAGCTTCGCAGGATGTTAGTCATAAGTGTAACGTCGGCTGGTCTGCGACAGAAGATTCCGATTGCCACAGTAGGACCGGATGCCCACGATGACATGCAACATCATGTACTGGTGTGCATCTACCTCGGGCATAGTATCGGAAGCAAGACGAAGCCTCGCCCTAGGCAGCCTGCATGGCGGTTCTGCCTTGCACCAGAGCCCCCCACACAAACCCCCCACAAGGTGAAAGTCCCCACATCTTCCGATTCCGGGCCAGACGTAAGCTGGCGCGAGTCCGCTTCAGCCATGGCACAAGATGGGCCAGCAGCTGCCCGGGTCTCACCTTCCTTGCGACCCACTCCTAGGAACAGAAGCTTACCAAGGCCGCGGATGCGCCGCCGGAGCGCCCCATCGCCTCCATGCCAGAGCTGACGTCTCAGGCGGAGTGGCCGTGGCGGAAGGCGGGGGACAGCTGCAGTAGAACTCTATAAATTGCGGTAACTTAGACTACGGTAACTTACATTAAATTCACGAACAGAACCACAAAGATTATGGTAACTTAGATTATGGGAATTTACATTAAATTCAAGAACCAGGACCCAGAACTGGCGGAAGCCTTGGGCCCGGAACGATCGACCTCGGACTCGGCTGTGTTCTCTGCAGGTCGAGAGCACCGAAAGCGTGGAGGAGAAGGAGGCGCCTGCCGAGGCCACGGTGCAATAAACACATGAATTATGTAGTATACAATATATAATAGAATATAGATATATATATATATATATATATATATATGTATATATATATATATGCACATATACAGATAGTGTGTGTGTATATATATAGTGTATGTATCTTACCGATGATGCCGATGGTGGTGGTGATGATGATGAGTACCCCCAGTTCAACGAGTACGGGTACAGTACCCGTACCGCTTCTGCGACGACGACTGCGACAACTTGTCATGTTTCTGTGAAGCTTCGCCAACACTGTCAGCAGTGACATGGTAACAATGGTTGTGGCTTTGTGTGATGCTGACTGGACTGCCGCTGCTGCGCATGATGATCATGTTTGTAGCAGGAACCACGTCTGAGTGCGCTGGTGGTTATGACAATCTTTAAGCCATGTTGTGCCCCTCTCGCTCTTCCTCCATCTCGTCCTCGACCTCATCTTCCTATCCGTCATCACAAGTCTCGTCGTGTTGTTGTGTAGCGCACGCGTGCGAGTAGGAACAAGCGCTAGCGATCGACCGCAGCACGCCGGCTCGATCGCTTTTTCTGTTCTCCCCTCGTCCCTTCGCCTCCCAGTGCTCTGGTCATGTCGTCGACTGGAGCCGCCGATCTCGTCGCTGCTGCCGCCGCCTCCGCCTCTCGGGCGGACCCCATGGTGGACGACGCCGAGGTGCTCGACTGGGTGCCTCCTTCCGCCAAGGCAGCTTCGGCAGTGGGAGCTGGGGCGTCCAACCCAGGTTCGGGCGACGAGGAGGAAGAGATCGTCGCCGGTTTTGCTTCGCCCACGCCGGGCATTCACTTCGCCACAGGCGGCCTCGACATGGGCGTCCAGACCGAGGCGCACGTGTTCATTTCGAATTTCGCGGCTGGAGCGACCGATGCTGAGCTCGCCGCCGCAGTTGGGGCTTTGTCTTCGTGCGACCTCGCCCGCCTCATGGCCGCTTGCACGGCCGCCCAGCCGGCTGCTGGGCCAGCCACGCCGGCCATCACGTCGCCATCGTCTTCGTCCGGGATTTTGCCACCAGCGATGCCGACGTTGTCGCCTACGCCATCGCCCTTGCCGCCCCCTTCGGCGACTTCCCCGCCGGGCGCAGGGCCCGCGGAGGCTTGGCTCGCCCCGCCTGGGGCTCAGTCGTCGGTGGTGCCCGGCCCGTCTGCCGCGGAGGCCCGGCAGTACTGGACCGACCAGGAGGCGATGCACCAGGTCGCGGAGCCTGCGGCGGCTGCCAACATCGCCGTGCCGGATGATGACGACGCCGACCTGGAGGGTGAGTCTGGGCTGGACGCCTACCTCGCCGGCCTATCGGGCGCTGTGCCCAAGGCCCCGCCAGACACGACTGTGCCTTTGCCGTTTGAGGCGTTGTGCCCTGCGGGCGCCTATACGTGCGGCCCAAGCGGGGGCTGGCACCTCCGCCTCCCCCGCCGCCTTCTTCGTCGGCTACCACCTCTACTGCGTCGGTGGGCGAGAAGACCGTGCCGGTGGTCGCCAAGCCGGTGAAGAAGCCGCCTCCGCCCGAGCTGGCCGGGCAGGCGATCGCCCCCAACGTCAAGCCATTCGTCAAGGCGCCACCCCCCCCTCTGGTGGTGGAGCCGGCCACGGGGGCGGGAGCCCAAGGGGCAGGCACACGCCAGCCGTCGGGCATGTTTGGTTCGGCGGCGCCTTCGTCGGGGCCTCCGCCGGTGAAGAAGGCGCCAGCCCCGCCGCCGGCCGCAGCACCGGCAGCTGAGGAACCTACGCCCTACGAGCGGCAGCGCCGGGCGATATCTCAGGAGAACGCCCTTCGGGCGCTGGCTGGTATGGGGCCGCTGAGCTTCGACGTCACGTATGACGAGATGCTCCAGCTCCGCATCCAGCGCGAGATGCGGGAGATGACGTCGCCGCCGCCCCCGGCCAAGCCGGCTGGGCATCCGGAGCCGGAGGTGATCGTCCTGAGCGCGACCATCCGCCCAGCGCCTCAGCGGGCATCCCGCCGCAGGCCGCCTCATCCTCGACTACGCCGCCGACCTCGTCTTCGCCCTTCCCGCCTCCGGTGGCATCCTCGTCTGGAGCGTCCTCCGCCTGTGCGGGCGTGCCGCCCAGTGGCCGGGGCGGCTACGGGACCAAAAATCGGTCCCTGCATCGCCAGCCTGCCAGGGAGCGGTGGGAGCGCTATCGGCAGGCCAAGCATCGCCCTGGGGCGGACTTCTTCGACTCCGAGATGCCCCTCGGCCTCGACGGGGCGGCTGCTGATACATGGGATCGGGCGGAGTCCCTGGAGCGCAGCGTCGCCGACGGCATATATGTGCTCCCGCCCAATTCGACAGTGGCGGGCATCTTCCTCCGGAGCCTGCCGCCGAACGTCCAGGGCGGCAAGCTGCCCCGTGAGCCGCCGTCCGATGGCACCTACTGGAAAGGGTGGTGCTTCGCCAAATGCCCGGGCCCATGGTGGCGGCCGGCATCGGCCTGTCGGTGCCCCTACGCCGGGCGCTGCCTCCGCCCTATTAGCTACCCGCCGGTGACGGGGCGGCCACATTCGCACCATCAATGCGCCAGGTGCGCCCCGGACTCTCCGGGTGAGCGGGACCGCTGACTTCGTCACGGCGGGGCCCCCTTCTTCGGGCGTGGCTACCTCGACCTCGCCGGCATCTACATCCTTGCCGTCGCGGCCGTCTCACTCTTTGGGGGCGTCCGCCCGTTTTGCATCTCACCGCCTTCGCGGTCAAAAGTCTTCGGCCTGTGCTTTTGTGCTCTCCCCTCCCCCTCCCTTCCCTTAAGTTTGGCTCGATTGCTCAAGCCCCTCGCAGGGCCTGGCTCGAGGATACTTTGGCTCAGTGTTTCTAAGGTGAGCGTCGACATGGCGGAACCGCCTCGGGGCTCGTTCGCCGAGCTGGTCGCCCTGGCGCGCCGGGCGGGCCAGACCGACCACTTGCCGGCTGTGCGGGCGGCGGGTGTGAGGTGCATCCCCGACCTTTTCTCTCGCATCGACGCCTTGGCAGCCGCGGGCGTCCCGCCGGCGGCCATTGAGGCGCTGCTGGCCGCCCCGCCGCCGCCAGCTGTGGTCACCGACTTGGCCCTGGTGTCGTCGGCCCAGGACCCGGGACGGCCCGACGTCCGGTGCCCTTGCGGGCGAACCTGCGGGCGGCCCTGGATGCCCTGCTGCCGGCGAACCGCAAGCGTTCTGTCGAGGAGCTTCGCGACGGCTACCTGGCAGAGACCTCGAAAGGGCCCTACGCGTCCCGGCTTAAAACGTGGATGGCCCTGTCCTACCAGGGCAAGGTCCATCCTTGGCGGGTGTCCCAAGGAGTATTTCTTGGCCGCCTTCCGCCACCAGGAGCAGGACCTTGGGCTGGAGGTCCCTGAGGTCCTACGCCGCCTGGCCAATAGGGCGGTGAAGTCCATCGTGCGCGGCCTCCCTGGGACTGGTCTTAAGGAGGCCTTCCCCCTTAGCCGACCTGGGCGCCCTGGTGACCTATCGGTGCGACCTAGCCTTTGACAAGGCCGCCGTCCCCCACGCAAATGACGTCATGGTGTTGGACAGGTGGTTCATGCTCAGGGAGATCGAAATCGCCGGGGCACTTGTCGGCGATGTGGTGCTCACCAAGCACGTGGTGACGCTGGAGCTACCGCTCCACAAGACCGCCCAGGGCGGCGAGCGGGTCATGACTCGGCGCTCGCTGCGCTGCGCCTGCGGCGTGGCCACGCACCCCCTGTGTCCAGTCCACGCCATGTTCCGACACTTCGCGCACCTCCAGAAGGCTGGGCGCCTTCGCTCGTCGGCGCCTCTCTTCCCGGGCGCCTCGGGAGGCACCAGGTCCAAGCCGGAGTCCCTCTCGTTCCTCGCCTTGGTGCTGGGGGCGGCCGGCCTCGAGGTTAGCTGGATGGACCCGGCTGCGGTCTTCGGCGGCCACGCCTGCCGCGTCGCCGGGGCGACCTTCCTGGCCGCCCGAAACGTGCCTCTGGCGGTGATCCAGCTTCTGGGGAGATGGTCGTCCCGCGCGATCGAAAGGTACACCCAGGCTGCGCCGTTGACATTGGCGCCTTCCGCCCCGTCGTGGGCGCTTTCTTCCCAGCCCGGGCAGTTGGCCCCGGGCCAGGTAGTCGCGGCGGCACTGCCGGGGCAGGGGGCCCCCGGTCGGAGGGCCCGCGGCTGTGGATGGCCTTACGGCTCCCGCCAGTTCTTTAGGATCTCGGCCGCCCCACCGGGGGCTAGGCTGTGCAAGCGTTGCTTCCCTTCGGGTTCAGCCGGTGAATCAGGGGTTCAGCACGTTGACTCGGACTCCTCCTCGGAGGCGGTGGGCGAGCTCTCGTCCTCTGCGGGCGGCTCCACCTCCGAGTCCGACTGAAAAAGAGAAGGGTCAGGGTGGCGTCGGCACCGTGGGAGTCAGCAGGCGCTCTCTGGCATGTGCGACCATCTGGTTGGCTTGAGCTGCTCAATCGCCGCCGCCTCCTGCCGCCACTCGCTAGGTCGTCACGCCATGGCGGTCCCTCCTTTGCTGCTGGCCCAGCCCGCCCAGGTGCACGCGTTCTTCGTCGACGCCAACGCCTTCGCGGGGCGATATCTCCAACGCCGACTGGGGACACGGGCGCACAGCTTGGGAGCACTTGCTCGCCGTGGCTCGCCCATCCCGGACCCTCCGGTGGTATCTACGGGCCAGCCGGATCACGGGCGTGCCCGAACTCGGCTGTTCCGCCCCTACTCTGGGCGTGTGGAGGCGCGAGTTCGTCGACCCCTACCTGGAGGGCTGGCGCCGCCCTCACTCGGCAGACGTCATCCGGTGCTCGCCGACCGACGTGCCGGGCGACACCCAGGCTTTGCATCTGATGTTCCGCCTGGCTCGTCGCCACGCCGACTGGCTGCAAGAAGATACCGCCCGCCGGGCGGGTTCCATCGACGACCGGTTCGGCATGGACCCGCCGCTGGTGATCTTCTGCCCAGCCTGGGCGCCGCGCCCGGCGGACACGGGCGACTCGGATGAGGCGCCTGAGGACGGGCCCGCGTCCGGGCGACATTGAGGGCCTTGACCCGAGGTTGGTCCGCCCATGGACCTTGGCGCCACGGCAGCCCCTCGTCCCTTCGGGGCGATCCGCCCCGGGCACCTGGGCGCGACAGCCGTGGTACTTGGTGCGTATGGGGCCTTGGCATCGACAGGTGCACCGCCTCGACGTCCCCGGCCGTCGCCCGAGGGCGGTCTGCGGCCGCACCATTGAGCCGGAGAGGGCGGCTGTTCTTGTTTGGGCCCCGCCTCGGGCAGAGCCCGGAGGAAATCGGTACCTCTGGTGCCGCCTATGCTGGGGCGACGGCGTCCCGCTCTCAAGGAGCGATTGTGAGCAGCACCCGGACGAAGAGTCCGAGCTCGAATGACCCCGCCACGGAGCGGCGGGCGCCCACGTCGGGCGTTGAAAAGTCGAGGCCGGACCGCAGTGCACTCTGCTAGGGATCGTCGACTCCTGCTTGTGATTCCCCCCCCCCCCCTAGCCTCCTTTGTTGCCTCAAGCCCGCTGCCCCCCGCCTCGCCAATCATGGCGTCACCTTCGGCGTCTTCGGCTTTGGTTGACTTCGGCCAGCTCGCCACACCGAGGCGGGGGCGGGCGACTTCCTCCGCCGCTACCTGGCGGCCCGTGGTGCAGATCGCACGGCCACCTTGGCACTTATGGCGCCCACGGCGGAGCGCTTCGCCGAGATCATCATCGACCCGCTTGGGCCCGGCTTCGTCGCGACCGGGGGGGATGAGTTCAAGCTGACCCCGGCAGAGCTGCCCACCGCCAGGGCAGTCCTCACCCACATGTGGGAAGAGCTGGCTCCGGCTCCGGCGGCGGGCGGCCCGCTCCCGTTCCCGCCGACGGCGCCGGCTGGGCCGCCTAAGCAGAGTGGGGCACCCTGGTTAAGGCCTACAACGACCGCCTCGTGGACGGGCGACCGAGGGCCTTTCCTACCCGCCGCCTGGCTGGGGCGGAGGAGGTGCTCGCCAGGATCCACTGGGAGCACACCGTCAGCTTTGCATACTCGCCGTTGGGGTTGGGCGAGATCCTATCTCAGAGGACGTGGACCGCCGCCAACGAGCTGAACCCCCTCGCCGCCGGGCGCCGCGATTCGGCTGCTTCCGCCGCCCTCCACCTCGTGGGCGGCAGCCTGGTGGCCGAAGAGAAGCGCCCGTGGCAGCCCAAGTCCGTCATCGCCATTTGCGACGGGCTAGAGGCCGTCAAGTGGGCCTGGATACTCGTCCAACTGGGCGCCGAAGAGGACACCGTGAGGCTCCGATAGTGTACTTTGCGCAACGCCGGAGCAGCGTACATCATTATGATGTATTTTGTTTCCACTGATGTTTTATAGTTCCAACATCTCCAACACGGAGATTTGACTATATCTATGCGTTTGAGTCGGGACGAAAAAACAGAAAGAACCCCATAAAACCCCACTTTCGGCTCAAACTTGTCATTATAACCAGCGCCTCGAGAGAGAAAAAAGAAGAAGACTATATATATATATACACATGCATACATACAGCATAGATATATAT